GCGCTGCTGCGCTAGCAAAAATGCGCTGAAAGGCTGTCCAAGGCGAACGACTAGCCGCAACGCTTGCTCGCTCGATTCCAAATCAACCGGCTCCTGCGCTTCAAAGGACCCGTCAGGCGAATCCTGTAACGGAGTCCCAGGTGCAGACCAATAATCTTCCTCGCTCTGCGTGTCTTCTGCAATGTCAGGCAGCCCTGCCAAGCCAGACAGCTCCGCAAAATCGGGTAGCTCGAGGAGATCACGATCCCACGGACGGACGAACAAGAACGTCTGCCGCGTGGCAAGTGTCCACGAGGACGGAATCAGTTTGTCCTCTGTGGTAATTAGTAGGTCATGAAGACCGTCTGCCTTGACTTCATACGTGGCATGTGAATCCTGGTCTTGAGTACGACTCCGTCTCACTGTCGTGACGCGAAACGCTATGCAAGGCAGCTGTAGTCTGCAGTTCGCGAAACGAGGAGCGCTCATGCGGTCGAGAAGGGTATAAAGCTTCGAAGCTGATTCTATAGCCTCGGCGTTTCGCAGCAAGGAGACCGAAGTCTGAATCTCATCTTCGGACAGAGATGGCAGCGTGCACGGCGGAGCTGCGTATGAAGTGATGTTGGCTGGTAGACAGCTATTGAACTCGGATGATTGTCCGACCCAGTCCAGGGCACTGATGTCGCCCGACTGAGCTACGACCTCCTGCAAGAGCCTCCCGAGCGCCTTTTGCTTCTTCTCCCCATAAATGACAGGTAGGTTGACGCCGAAGATACCAAACAACGAGTATGCAATATCTTCCGGCCATGTGGTAACACGGGCCGACACCCATTGGAGTTTCTCCCGGGCGCCTCTCATCCCCGGACGGAATGCGATGAGGGCCTGTGCATTTATGCCCGTCGCATCTCCCATCTCCTGCATGATTTCAAGGGAATCCTTGTGGTTGGGAGAACGATTGTCGAGATATAGGGTCCAATCCTTCCGATAAAAGAGGACACATTTTGGGGCCAGGAATTCTTGAACTGTCCATCCTCGCGTGTTCCAAATGCTGCTTGCAAGTGCCCCAGGCTGCGACGAAGGTGGAACATCCGACAGGTAGATGATGGTAAGCGCTGAGTGGCGATACCATATAAACATGGAGTTAACCGATTGTTGGACTTCGACATTGTTAGTCTGGTCGATGCAACAGGTGTCGATCCAAGTCCAGCGATACCCCATATCACGAGCAGTTTTACAGAATGACTGCAACTTCGAGATGCCGCCGACTGGATACAAGTCGTATACCACCTTGCCCTGGATGTCATGCAGCGACGGCTCCGTCCCTTCCCACCTATGCGATAGCATGACATAACGGAAGTACATCGCCACCACGTCTTTGACGCGCTCCATTTGAAGGTCTGCATGCTTCATCGTGGATGACAAAAGTTCTTTGTACTCTGCGCTCATTCTGAAGGCATTGATCTGTAGCTCGCGACTGCATAAGTGACCGGTGGAGGTGTTGATTAAGCGATGCGGGGCGTCGTCGAGTTGAGCCTTGATTGTCTCTCGAATGGCTCCTTCTGCTTCAGATGGACTAACATACTGTTGGCGCAAGTCTGGACAAAAAGTCAACAATGTTGAAAGATGTGCTATTCGGGGGCGTACCTTGTGTTTGCGTGTCAGGAGCATCTTCCAACTTGGAGAGCATGATTTTGAACGCCTCGATGGCTTCATCATATCGATGCGCGCCATGAAGCGCCGTATACTTCGATTGATATCCAAAGTAAGATGAAGGGTTGAGTTCGATGGCCTGCATATCACCTAAATGAGCGTCGAATACGAAATGGTAGCTGTCATCGCACCTTTTCCGCATCGAGAAGTGCATCGTCCCATAGCATTTTTCCTGACTTCGCCTTACTGCGGTTCGCGAAGATGGTATCGGTTGCAAGATCAAGGTCGATCGCCGCAGAGTAAAACTCGATAGCCCTGTCGTAATTACCGGCAATGAGGGCAGCATCTCCGCTCGCAGCAAGGTCAGTCACTCCGGCTGCAGCATAGAACATGCTGCACTCTTGCTTGAAAGCTAAGCAAGGCGGGGTTGAGAATTCTACCTGGTTGGTATCACGAAGACTTGCCAGTAGACCAATCAAGGCAGCGTGCTTTCGTAGCCTCATCAGCCCTATCCATCGTATATCGGTAGGCTTTCATGGCTTCTAGCAATCTACCTGCCCGAAGGAGTGCATGACACCAATTCTGGTGTGCAGTTCGCCACAAGGACTTGAGGTCCCACCCGAATAACTAGAAAAAGCACAGTCGGGCGTGAAAAAATGATTTCCAGTTGCGTTCCTATGCACCTACCACCACGAAGATATCATATTTAGAATAGATGTCCGACGTAGATGAGAAACTGATAGTGTTGACAGCGGAAGTGAAGTGACCAGCAGCTTCGTTGTGGCGTGCGTCGTCTAATGCATTCATTCCCACTTGGACGTGTAGATAAGCCTGAAGTGCGAGGTTCGCAAAATCAGTATCGACGCATGAATCTGGAGTTGGCTGTGTCAGGAGCACTCACTTCCACGATACCACATGCAAGAGAATTCGGATTGCGACGAGTGGTAGCTAGCTCTTGGACGCGCAGAATTGCCTCGTCATGTTGATTTGCATTGAAAAGGGCGATAGCCTGACAGCTGTCCTGTAAGTAGCGAGTACATGACACACAATTGACGTGCCTTAATCAAGAGTAGAAGACGAGTTTTATTCAAGTCTACGTCCACGTACATGAACGCGAGGTCAAATGCTTTCATCGCGTCCTGGAACTGTCGTTTTCCGCAGTGGGCGATGCCCTTGGAGATGCAGCCCATCAAGGAGGGCTGAATACTGATGCTCTATATCACCATATAAGTTAGCCTGTGTTGAAAAGGTCACGATGGGACAGTGTATCCCACCTTAAGTGCGTCATCAAGTGCGCGATCCCAATCGGCTTTTCTCGCCATAACAAACGAGCGATTCGCGTAAGAGTCGTAGACGTTGCTATCAGCGTTGATCTCTTGGGTGAGCAGCCTGTCAGCAGTAGGCAAGTCCCCGCTTATGCATGCATCACGGGCTGTCGTGATGGTGAGGATCTGCATTGCGCATGGTCAGATTACGTGGTAAGAGTGAAGGCTAGAAACGTGCCTGGCAATCAGACTGTTGAGCCTCAGCATCAAGATTGAGTCAATATACAAGGAGACGAGTAATGAATGATAACTCACGTTATCTACCACTTGTTCTTTTGGGGCGTCCTCCAGTAACACATCCTTGGAGAAATGAGATGAAGGAGAGGAAAATGAACAGAAACTTACATCTGATGTCTGATCCTCGAGAATGACCTCCAGTAAAGGTACTGCCCACTTTGAGATCATTCTATCTTTTCCTCCGCTGAGAATGTGCTTGCCATCCGTGGAGAAGGTGACACAATACACCTCATTGGTGTGCATGAATGTGGCGATGGTTTGTCGATCCGAAAGCCGCCAAAGGCGAACCTGGTAGTCTTTAGATGCGGAGGCAAGAAGGGTGCCAGTAGGGTTCAAGGCGATCATGTAGACATAGTCGGTATGGCCCTTCCAGGGTTCACCGACCTGCTTCCAGCTCGATGAATCCCAGATCCGTATGGTGGGATCACGTTCATTACCAGCCGAGATAAGCTGTTTGCCATCAGGCGTCCACGCAAGTGAAAAATTCCACGCTCGGTTGAACGCAGAGTGACCCTGGAACATTGCGATGCATTGCCTCTGACCTGGATTCCATATTTGGATGTTGTCGTCTGTCGCGATGGCAAGATGTTCACCAGATGGCGAATACCGAACACAGGAGGTTTCAGCGCCACAATTGATTGGATTTCCTTGCACCTGCCATGTTTTTGTGTTGCAGAGCTTTGCTGAGTGGTCCAATGAACCGCTCGCCAGAAAGGTGCCGTCTGGGGAAAAATCAAACGAGTAGATCTGTCTGGAGTGGATCTGAATGGGCTGGGTGAGAGATTCGCCATCTCTGTTCCAGGCGATGAACTCTCCGCCATAATCACCGCTTGCTATGAATTGCCCGTCTCTTGATACTGCAACTCCTCGTACGCTGAAGCGATGCCCCTCCATTACCTTCAACACAACACTGTCTTCTAAGTCCCACAAACGAAGTGTCTTGTCCCACGAGGCCGTCACCATACGGCGTCTATCGGGGAAGACTGCTACAAAAACACAATCTTCATGACCTTTAAATGTTCGACTAGCCCTAGTGATTTGAATGGTGGGCTGTTGTGCTTCCATCATCCTGCTCGAGGTGGATGGTGTTGAGCACAACTTGCTGGAGAGCTTGTGGATGTCTTGATCTAAGTTTCAGAGGTGCGTGTAACGGGCCTTTGGTGCTTCTTCACAGCCTCAATTCGCTTCGTGTATCATTGGACGCCCAGAACACGAGGCCTATTAGATGACCCGTAGGCAAAATAATGCGGACTATCATATACCGGACTTTGAAAAACAATTTCCAAATTACACAATAAACTGCCTCAGAATAGTGTATCAGCAAGTTCGGAACAGCGGCATTAGATATCAATGCCGCGACTCCGACTGAATCTACTGTTCTTAGTCTTAGAAAGCACCTTCAATATATCATACAATAGACCCGCGCATTATCCGAGTCAGCGTGTTGTCGCCCGCAATCGGATCCTGTGAGTCTTGTGGATGTTTCTTATTCCTCATAACCCACCAGGAAGTCCTTCAGGTTTCCCAAGGTTTCTTAGCGCACCGACGAGGTTGTCCGATTAAGAGAGGTTCGTCTATGTTCATTCTTCAGCATGGATTCAATATTCAGGAGCAATCTTTCTATTGCGATATAGTTGGTGAAACAAAAATCTACTAAGCTCAACAATTCTGCCAGATGAGACGATACGACGAGTAAGCTACCATATAATAGTATTATCACTGACCCTATATGATAATGGCGCGTAGGGCCCCGCCTTATTATCGTACGAAATGAGCGAGGCTTGATAATCGGTTGATGCTTGATGCATCATGATGATGGAAAGCCTTGCAGCTCGCCAGAGGAAGCAGCCTCTGATGCCTAGCGAGCCTTCCCATCTCCATCAATCCTTCAAGATTTACATTCAGACAGCGTTAATTTCTATCATAACCGCTTCAATTGCGGTCTTCATCTTTGCATCAGTGTTTAACACTCGTAATGGTCCTTTAGATCCGGAAGAAGACGAACGCTTGAGATTGAATATGTTTTGGACCGACTTGACTTCCCACACGTGCACGACATACCGCGCCTTTGCACTAGTTCGTCGCGCAGATCAAGGAGCCAGATGGAAGCACAAATGGAGCAGACCGGTACCCTGGTTCGTATCTTTCTTCGCCTTTATTTGTGATTCCACCACACCTCCTTGTGTGCTTTGCGGCTTTTTGTTTTCGTGTTGGGGTAGTTTGACTGATGCATGTGCCACACAGTGTATGTCGTCCCCCATAGCACATTCTCATATGCGATTCGGAAACTGCTTGCGAGTGCGTCACTCTTTCTCTGGCTCACAGAATGGGATAGACTGAGGACTTGATCAGCCAATGCGCACCGACTCTTCGTAACTGACTCTGATTTCGAGCCCAGCTCATCTCCAGGCTCGCCCATGGGCGGCGGACTGTGCGGAATCGTTAGCGTTGTTGACAGTGCGTATTTCGTTCATCGAATATCTTGCTCGTCTACGATGCCTAATCTCTACGATGTGGTTCTTTCTCTTTTCGCGCCCATCGCCTACGTCTCAAATGTCGATCCCACACAACGCATGCGGCACCGATGTGCCTCATCTACATCCTCACTCCTCGTCTCTGAGCATTGTGCGGGGCTTGTCACGCTCTGGGTCACACGCGCAAACACGGGATCTGTCGCAATCCAGCAGAGATTTCGCGCGCTCAAGATCCAGTAGCAGGACGAGCATGCATCTCAGCCAATGCCCGCGAATGATCCCAACTGCAAATGTCAGCAGTCCGCGCCTTGCGTCAAGCTTGGGACTAGTAGATGTCAGGGATAGTCCACGGATGGTGCCGACACTTGGTGCTGGTGACAGAAATTCGTTGGTTGGTTTAGATTTGGGGGAGCTCATGGGACGGCGGGAGTGAAGAATGGAGGCGTGATGTACGATTTTCTTTTGTCTTGTTTTCGTGCGTTGTTCGATGATTTTCGGCAATAACTTAGGGTTCGCTTGTCGTGCCTTTTGTACACACAGATAATGGTTGACAGGGATGTATGTGGGTTTGTACAGTAATTCCAAGCACTGATATCGACTCGTGAACTGCACCGCAAGGCTGAGAATTGCTTGTAAGTACTATTGAAGCTAATCATCAAAATTGTGCATGATTAACTAGGCACATAGTCTTGACGCAAGGTTTTCAAGTTAGAATTATAGATACTTCACGCGAAGATGCTTATTATTCGGCGCTCAGCGCTCAGCACTCACTAGATCCGGCCGTTTGTGCATTTCGTGTGGACCCTAAACTGAGAACAGCATGCCTCAGGCCTCAGTACTCAGTACTCAGTAATAGTACACGAGGAAGCATGCTGTGTGACAAATTACAATACAGCAAGTTCGGAACAGCGGCATTAGATATCAACGCCGCGACTCCGACTGAATCTTGTTCCTAGTCAAAGTACCTTCAAGTTAAATCGGCCCACGCATTGACAGCGTGTTGTCGTGCGCAATTTCCTGTAAGCCTGCTGGATGTTTGTTGTTCCTCATAACTCACCAGGGATGTTCTTTAGGTTTTCTCAGCACTTTGACCAGGTTGTCCACTTAGGAGAGGTTCTTCTATGTTCATTCTTCAGCAAGAATTCGATATTCAACAATAATCTCTCTATTGCGATATAGTTAGTCAACAAAAACTCACCAAGCTTAACAATTCTCCCGGATGAGGCGATACAACAGGTAAGCCACCATATAGTACTAGTATTGCCACTGACCCTAATGATGGTGCGTAGTCCCCCGCCTCGCTATGGTGCGAGGTGAGTAAGGCTTGATAATTTGTTGATGCTTGATGAATGATGGAAAGCCTTGCAGCTCGTCAGAGACAGATGCTCTGATGCGTGACAAGCCTTCTCATCTCCATCAATCCCTCAAGAATTACATGCGAACGGCACTAATTGCTATCATAACTGCTTCAATTGCGGTCATCATTTTCGCATCAGTGTCTGACCCTTGTAATAATCCCTTAGATCCGGATGTTCGAGAGCGCATTCGCAAGGCTTGGAACATCGAACTTCGCCAGCACGAGAAAGAAGTTCTCGAGCGCAGTGGCACCCACAAACGCTGGCGTCTGGAAGATAATGACAGGATTCATCTCCGCGAACAATGGGGAACAGAAGTTGAAGAACACAATCGTGAAATGGAGAGGCTAAAGCGCGATGAAAACCGTAGCCGCGAACAGTGGAAAAAAGAAGAAGATGGCCACGAGCGTGAAGTGGAGGAGAGACGCAAGCACGAAGAAGAAGAACGCTTAAGGTTGAATATGTTTTGGACCGACCCGACTTCCCACACGTGCACGACATACGCCACTCGAGAGTACACTGCCCGACTGGTGAACGTCCCATCATACTACAACCGCCGTGTGGAGGCTTGCATGGCCACACCGGTAAATATCCACGGGGTTGACTACACACCTAAGTGGTGCGAGGATCATGCGAGTGTTCCTGCATTTCTTGGTAGTACGAGCAGCTGATATTCCGTGTTCAGGGTCCAAGCAACGTAATAGGACATTGGGAAGTCGACCAGCACGAGCCAGATTGCGCGTCGTACTGGACCTGGTACAAAGATTTTGTTCGTCGATCCTTCTCGTCAGTATATCTGCAGCTTATTAATTGTCGCAGGGTTGTACTTCGCCTGGATCCGGTCAGCGAGTGAGTTTCTCAGACACGATATAGTAAGCGAAGTTGACGGTATACAGCTCATTGAACATTACCTCGAGAACATCCCGTCTGGAGGCGATTGGAAGGAGTTCTGTGCTACCACTCCTGCAAGCTTCCGTGGGATGCACTTCACGGGGGCAGAGATCTGCTTCAAAAAATGTTTGCTGCTCGGTCACATCAATTTGGCATGGTTTGCTGATTATTTTCCAGAACGGCGCTACATGGGGCCATTGGGTTTTTGATGACGAGAGCTGCACGTAGCCAAGTCACTATCATAACGACCTGTTGTCGGACGAGGACAAGAATGTATTAATTTCGAGTGGTGTCAGTCCTAAACCTTTCCAGAGTGTATTCAGTATCTTAGTCTGTTAGGTTTTTTTTCTCTTTCTCGAATACAAGTCAAGTTGCTGTGCCTGTAAATCCAAAGTAACATAAGCAGTCCACGACAACGATTGCCCCATCGCAGTAGATGGGTGATTTTGTAATGTCTAGATGAACTAACGCACGGAGTCTACTAATGCATTCCTGGGCAGCTGCATCGATGGCATCGTGATCTGCGTGAGGTTGTATGACATATATCATGATGTACGGCATTAGAAATCGACTCCGACTGAATCCACTCATAAATTCTCGAGTCAAAGAATCAAAGATAGGCCCACACCTTGTTACTGTCAAATCCTTTTCGATATCATATCATCGAGGAAGAGGTTTGTAAATATTAATTCCTCAGTGAACATTGAATTTTCAAGTCAACAACTATTCGCTAAAAATTCTCAAGATGAGGCAGAACGGCAGGTAAAGTACCGTCTCGAATACTCTTGGAGTCATTTGTGCTAATGAGGGTATGTAGTCCCCCACCTCAACGTCCTAGGTGTGTAAGCGTCGGTAATAGGTCGATATTTGATGGGTGATGACAAGCCTTGCAGCTCATCAGAGGCAGACCCTCTGATAGGGCCTGGCAAGCCTTATCGTCGCTATCAATCTCCCTGTGTCAATGGAGCACTAGCACTCATTGCTCTCTTGATTCCTGTTGCAATCACGGTTATCATTTTCTTTATGAGCATTTCAAATGACCACTTAGATCGAGATCGCATTCGCAAGGACTGGTACAACGAACTTCGCCAGCACCAGAAAGAAGTTCTCGAGCGCATTGACACCCAAAAACGTTGGCTTCAGGAAGATAATGACAGGACTCATCTCCGCGAACAATGGGGAACGGAAGTGGAAAAGCACGATCGTGAAATGGAGGAGAGGCTAAAGCGCGATGAAGATCTAAAAAATCGTACCCGCGAACAATGGAAAAAAGAAGAAGATGGGCACCAGCATGAAGTGGGGGAGAGACGCAAGCACGAAGAAGAAGAACGCTTGAGATTGAATATGTTTTGGACCGACCCGACTTCCCACACGTGCACGACATACGCCACTCGAGAGTACACTGCCCGACTAGTGAATGTCCCGTCATACTACAACCGCCGTGTGGAGGCTTGCATGGCCACACCGATAGAGATCCACGGGATTGAATACACGCCTAAGTGGTGCGAGGATCAGGTGGGTGTCCCTGCATTTCTTGGTAGTATAAGCAGCTGATATTCCGCGTCAAGGGTCCAAACAACGTAACAGGTCATTGGGAAGTCGACCAGCGTGAGCCAGATTGTGCGTCGTACTGGACCTGGTACAAAGATTTTGTTCGTCAATCCTTGTCATTGGCATATTTGCAACTTATCGATCATCGCAGGGCTGTATTTCTCCTGGATCCGGTCAGCGAGTGAGTTTCTCAGACACAATATAGTGAGCGAAGTTGACGGTATGCAGCGTATTGAACATTACCTCGAGAACCTCCCGTCGGGAGCTGATTGGAAGGAGTTCTGTGCGACCACTCCTGTAAGCTTCCATGGGATGCACTTCATGGGGGCAGAATTCTGCTTCCAAAAGGTTCGTCGCTCAGTTACACCAATTGCGGCATGATTTGTTGATTCCTTTCAGGATTATGGCACATACGGCAACTGGGTTTTTGATGACGAGAGCTGCAAGTAGTCAGTCACAATGACGCTTCGATGTTGGATGAGGGTGGTATTGTCTTGGAATTTTGATGTGCTATTTTTTGCTGTGCCATTGGATGTACTTGTATCACTGTATATTTTTTCGGGTCACTAGTATTCGCAGTTTTGAGTATTCACAGGAGCGTGAAGGACAGGTACAGGGTATCCCAATGGCAGCTACGAACTTCGGAGCGCGCAACGCCACGGGAATGGCTTCGTGGACTGGCTGTACAGTTTAGCAAGTCGAGGGCCGGCATGTGCCACTGCCTTGTAAACTCTTGTAGATCGGCAGGGCACATCAGAATCCTCAACTACTCCTCAGCGGCAGGCACTCTAGAAACATTGAGGGTGCAGCATGGGGCCAGCCAAAAACTGGAACTTGGCAATATACTAAATGTTGACCACCAAACCAATACGGTACGAGAAAGGAGATGCTGATTAACCAGAACTGGCCGTTTGCGCGTGAACTTGAAATTCGTGTGGAGTCTAAACGTTAAACTACCTTAGAATGGTATCAGCAAGTTCGGAACAGCGGCATCAGATATCAATGCCGCGACTCCGACTGAATCTACTGTTCTTCGTCTTAGAAAGCACCTTCAAGTTAGATCATAGTATCATACAATAGACCCGCGCATTATCCGAGTCAGCGTGTTGTCATCCGCAATTGGATCCTGTGAGCCTGGTGGATGTTTATTATTATTCCTCATAACTCATACCAGGAAGTCCTTCAGGTTTCCCAAGGTTTCTTAGCGCCCTGACCAGGTTGTCCGATTAAGAGAGGTTCGTCTATGTTCATTCAAGTTCTTCAGCAAGGATTCAATATTCAGGAGTAATCTTTCTATTGCGATATAGTTGGTCAAACAAAAATCCACTAAGCTCAACAATTCTCCCGGATGAGACGATACGACGAGTAAGCTACCATATAATAGTGTTATCACTGACCCTAATAACGGTGCGTAGGGCCCCGCCTTATTATCGTACGAGGTGAGTGAGGCTTGATAAGCGGTTGATGCTTGATGCATGATGGAAAGCCTTGCAGCTCGCCAGAGGAAGAGCCTCTGATGCCTAGCGAGCCTTCCCATCTCCATCAATCCTTCAAGATTTACATTCAGACAGCGTTAATTTCTATCATAACCGCTTCAATTGCGGTCTTCATCTTTGCATCAGTGTTTAACACTCGTAATGATCCCTTAGATCCGGAAGAAGACGAACGCTTGAGATTAAATATGTTTTGGACCAACCCGACTTCCCACACGTGCATGACATACGCCACTCGAGAGTACACTGCCCGACTGGTGAATGTCCCATCATACTACAATCGCCGTGTGGAGGCTTGCATGGCCACACCGATAAAGATCCACGGGACTGAATACACGCCTAAGTGGTGCGAGGATCATGTGGGTGTTCCTGCATTTCTTGTTAGTAACAAACAGCCAGATTGCGCGTCGTACTGGATCTGGTACAAAGATTTTGTTCGTCGATCCTTCTCGTCGGCATATTTTGCAACTTATTGATTGTCGCAGGGCTGTACTTCGCCTGGATCTGGTCAGCGGGTGAGTCTCTCAGACACGATATAGTGAGCAAAGTTAACGGTATGCAGCGTATTGAACACTACCTCGAGAACATCCCGTGTGGAGGTGATTGGAAGGAGTTCTGTGCTACCACTCCTGTAAGCTTCCGTGGGATGCACTTCACGGGAGCACATATCTGCTTCAAAAATGTTTGCTGCTCGGTCACATCAATTTGGCATGGTTTATTGATTATTTTCCAGAACGGTGCCACGTGGGGCCACTGGGTTTTTGATGACGAGAGCTGCAGGTAGCCAAGTCGCAATGTCGCTTCAATGTTGGATGAGGGCGATATTGTCTTGGAATTTTGATGTGCTATTTTTTGCTGTGCCATTGGATGTACTTGTACTTGTATCACTGTGTGTTTTTAGCGGGTCACTAGTATTCGCAGTTTTGAGTATTCCCCATGGTTTCAGGTATCGTGACAACAATCTACACATACTGTGAATGAATATTAGATGGTCATCATCGTGGATAGTAGGGAAGAGAATTAATTTGAGTTTGTTGACTCTGACCGTGACAAACACCGGGTAATGCATCCGATGAGGTTCTTGTTCACCTTACATAAATTTGTATTTTCACTAGAACGCTTTGAGCGCAATCTCTTGGCGTGACAGGCTCAGGGAGTCAGCTCAGCTCTAGTGAACTTTTGATAAGCTCTTAGCAGGAGACCTTCAATCTTCAACTCAGAGATTGTGATTCTCTGTGATTCTACCGTCAAAATCAGAACTCTCCTCGAAGACGAGTTTCATGCTCTGAATTCCCTCCCCTGGCAATCCGTCTCTAAGGGTTATCAAGTCAAAAATTTGATGTCTGTTAGCATCCTCGGGGTGGATATATGTCCATGTCTGCCATTTGGGCCTATCTGATGACTCGGAGACGTGACTCAATTCCACACTTAGTTCCGACGAATCCGCCCTGGAAAATGATGGTGATACGCTTGGGTATTACTGGCTTTTCGAACCTTAGATGGATATACTGCTCAGGACCCTACCCTGGGCACGTGTATCGGCTAAGGGTGCGTCTGGGTTTATAGGAACTCGTTCTATATCTGCTCTGGATTCTATCCCGGATCTTAATACTAACATACAATGGCGCAGATTTGGTCGATGTACGCATAGTTGAAGTCGACGCAGGCATGTCCGTCGAAGACGCATGCGATGTGAGTTCAATGTTGAGCTTAGTAAGTGCACCTGCCCTGATTCTCTTTCTCTAGCTCCTTCTGCAAGAAGGCATTCCGTGTCTCGCTGTCCGCGCGCTTCCAGATTCGACTCGGACAGGTGCACCTTATCTTGGACTATTTGACGTGCGTTCTTCTTTGGTTTCGTGCTTGTCCAAGCTGACCTGTATGCCCCTCCATTCTGTCCGGATCATCACCATGATATGCTATAACACAACTTGAACAATATGCACGTAGTTTTCAGATGTGAGTGCCTTCCTTACGCTTGCCGGGATGCAGCACACGATCTCGCCCGCAGAGCTTCGCACTAACTCGCGCGCCGATCAGATTATGGGTGCTGCGCAAGAAGGATGTGTACCTGTGCACCTTGTTAGCAGTATGTGTTGAACATCATTCATTACGTCGGTGGCATACTTCATGACTTATTTATCTTACCCTACGCCACGGACTTTGTGACTTCATATCTTTTGCCTCCTCCACCTCCACCTCCATATCCATATTGACGCCCTTTCACTCGCAGACCTCTCAGAAAAGAACTACCTAGAGACCCTCCCGAATAACGCCAGCCTTATTTCACTGCTTGGAGTGTTTGCGAAGGGAACGCATAGGGGTGAGTGCCCCCGTCCGCCTATTTGTTTTCTTCTGCCAACGCCTATCCCCGCGCGTTGCATTTTGTTTTGTGCTTGTCGAATCCGCCCCACCCACTGTTCCCGCAGAGTGTGATACTGCTCCGGAGACGACAAGAACAAATACTACCTACCTTGGCGCAGTCTCCGACCGCGCTCTGCTGGCATACTTCGCCAATTTTACCATGCAATCGGACACCGCCACACACATTCACTTTCTAATGCAATCCCCACATTCTTCTCGGCTATCAGCTTCAATGCAACCTTCTATACAGATTTCCCAACCTTCTCAGTCTCCTAAGCGTGTATTAGCCTTAACAGCTTCCCGCCCCACTACTCTGCCCCAACTCCAGCCCCCTACTCCCACTTTCACACTTGCAACGCTTCTCTTTAACTGACGCATGTACCACACAGTGTATGTCGTCCTCCCCACTAGCACACTCTCATATGCGATTCAGAAACTGCTTGCGAGTGCGTCACTTCTTCTCCGACTCACAGAATGGGATAGACTGACGACTTGATCAGCCAATTCGCACCGACTATTCGTAACTGACTCTGATTTCGAGTCTAGCCCATCTCCAGGCTCGCCCATGGGCGGCGGACTGTGCGGAATTGTTAGCGTTGTCGACAGTGCGTATTTCATTCATCGAATATCTTGCTCGTCTACAATGCCTAATCTCTACGATGTAGTTCTTTCTCTTTTCGCGCTCATCGCCAACGTCCCAGATGTTAATCCCACACAACGCATGCGGCACCGACGTGCCTCATCTACATCCTCGCACTCCTCGTCTCTGAGCATTGTGCGGGACTTGTCACGCTCTGGCTCACTCGCGCAAACACGGGATCTGTCGCAATCCAGCAGAGATTTCGCACGCTCAAGATCCAGTAGCAGGACGAGCATGCGTCTTGGCCAAAGCCCGCGAATGATCCCAACTGCAGATGTCAGCAGTCCGCGCCTTGCGTCAAGTTTGGGGCTATGAGATGTCAGGGATAGTCCACGGATGGTGCCGACACTTGGTGCTGGTGACAGAAATTCGTTGGTTGGCTTAGATTTTGGGGAGCTCATGGGACAGAGTGGCGAATAGAAGCGTGATGTACCGTTTTGTTTTGTTTTGTTTTTCGTGCGTTGTTCGATGATTTCCGGCAATAACTTAGGGTTCGCTTGCCGTGCCTTTTGTACACACAGATAATGGTTGACAGGGATGTATGTGGGTTTGTACAGTAATTTCAAGCACCGATATTGACTCGTGAACTACACCACAAGGCTGAGAATTGCCTGTAAATAGTACTACTGAAGCTAATCATCAAAACTGTGCATGATTAACTGGGCACATGGTCTTGACGCAAGGTTAATATCAACACCGCGACTCCGACCGAATCTACCGTTCTTAGTCTACTAAGCGCCTTCAACTTGATAGACCCACGCATTGTCAGCGTGTTGTTGTGTGCAATTTCCTGTAAGCCTAGTGGATGTTTGTTATTCCTCATAACTCACCAGGGAAGTCCTTTAGGTTTCTCAGCGCCCCGACCAGGTTTGCCAGTTAGGAGAGGTTCGTCTACGTTCATTCTTCAGCAAGAATTTAATAATCTCCATTGCGATATCGTCAGTCAACAAAAACTCACCAAGCTTAACAATTCTTCCGGATGACGCGAAACAAGTAAGTTACCATGCATATACTAGTGTTGTCACTGACCCTGATGGTGCGCAGTCCCCCGCCTTACAACAGTACGAGGTGTGTGAGGCTGGATAATCGGTTGATGCTTGATGAATGATGGAAAGCCTTGCAGCTCGTCAGAGAGAGAGCCTCTGATGCCTAGCGAGCCTTCTCATCTTCATCAATCCTTCAAGAGTTACATTCGGACAGCATTAATTGCTATCATAGCTGCTTCAATTGCGTTCATCATCTTTGCATCAGTGTTCAGCGACACTTGTAATAATTCCTTAGATCCGGATGTTCGAGATCGCATTCGCAAGGACTGGGACATCGAACTTCGCCAGCACCAGGAAGAAGTTCTCAAGCGCATTGACACCCAAAAACGCTGGCTTCAGGAAGATAATGACAGGACTAGTCTCCGCGAACAATGGGGAACGGAAGTGGAAAAGCACAATCGTGATGTGGAGGAGAGGCTCAGGCGCGATGAAGAACACAAAACTCATATTCGCGAAAAATGGGAAAGAGAAGTGGAAGAGTACAATCGTGATGTGGAAGAGAGACTAAGGCGCGATGAAGAACACAAAATTCGTATCCGCGAACAATGGGAAAGAGAAGTAGAAGAGCACGATGAGGAAGTGAAGGAGGGACGGAGGCGTGACGAAGAAGAAAGAATTCGTATCCGCGAACAATGGGAAAGAGAAGCGCAAGAACACGACAAGGAAATGGAGGAGTCACAGAGGCGCGAAGAGCAAGAAAGAATTCTTCTCCGTGAAAAATGGAGGAGGGAGGTGGAAGGGCACGAACGTGAAGTGGAGAAGAGACGGAAGCACGAAGAAGAAGAACGCTTGAGATTGAATATGTTTTGGACCGACCCGACTTCCCACACGTGCACGACATATGCCACTCGAGAGTACACTGCCCGACTGGTGAACGTTCCATCATACTATGATCGCCGTGTGGAGGCTTGCATGGCCACACCGATAAAGATCCACGGAATTGAATACACACCTAAGTGGTGCGAGGATCATGTGGGTGTTCCTACATTTATTGATAGCAGTACGAGCAGCTGATATTCCGTGTCCAGGGTCCAAACAATGTAATAGGACATTGGGAAGTCGACCAGCATGAGCCGGATTGCGCATCGTACTGGATCTGGTACAAAGATTTTGTTCGTCGATCCTTCTCGTCAGCATATTTGCAACTCATTGATTGTCGCAGGGCTGTATTTCTCCCGGATCCGGTCAGCGAGTGAGTTTCTCAGACATACAATATAGTGAGCGAAGCTAACGGTATGTAGCGTATTGAACATTACCTCGAGAACATCCCATCTGGAGGTGATTGGAAGGAGTTTTGTGCTACCACTCCTATAAGCTTCCGTGGGATGCACTTCACGGGGGCAGAGTTCTGCTTCAAAAATGTTTGCTGCTCAGTCACATCAATTTGGCATGATTTGTTGATTATTTTTCAGAACGGTGCCACATGGGGCCACTGGGTTTTTGATGACGAGAGCTGCAATTAGTCAAGTCACAATGACGCTTCGATGTTGGATGAGGGTGACATTGCCTTGGAATTTTGATGCGCTATTTTTGCTGTGCCATTGGATGTACTTGTACTTGTATCATTGTATGTTTCTTTCGGGTCACTAGTATTCGCAGTTTTGAGTATTCACAGGAGCGTGAAGGACAAGCGCAGGGTGTCCCAATGGCAACTACGAACTTCGGGGCGCGCAACGCCACGGGAAAGGCTTCGTGGACTGGCTGTACAGTTTAGCAAGTCAGGGACCAGCATGTGCCACTGCCTCGTAAACTCTTGTAGATCGGCAGGGCATATCAGAATCCTCAACTAGTTCTCAGCGGCAGACACTCCGGAGACATTGAAGGTGCGGGCCGGGCCAGCCAACAACTGGAACTTGGCAATATACCAAATGTTGACCACCAAATCAACACAAGGGGACATGATGCATTTGGTATCTAGCTGCCGGACCGAGGCACGAAGGTACGAGAAAGAATATGCTAATCGAATAAATTTCATCGCGAGGTCAAGAGGCGGTTCATATAAATTTAAAGGACCTACTTTCTGGTGTCCTGCAGACCGTGAACAACACTAGGCCGGGCCACACAGAATATCGCAGTCGGTTCGTGACCATCATCTTCTCCTTTCCTTTCACCTCAGTTATTGTCTGCCTCCAGGGACGCAGGAAACTTGATGTCTAAGCCTGCACTCTACTTTGTGGAAGTTGGATATGTCATCGGCTTTTATTCTTTATTATAGTTTTACCTCACCTACTCCCTCGTTCCTTAAATCTTCTGGCCAACCCATGAGTAGACACGGAATGTGTGTATTTCACCATAATGATGATAATAACATGAACGGCAATAGTAATAGCAAGAATCAACGAGGTAGTGCGCTATGCCATAGAGCATAAAAAAATGTGTGACGCCATTCGTGGATAGGGACAGCAAAGAGCACAACATAGAAAGGATAGTGGATAAAGAAGTGCAACATGGAATGAACTCTACATCTCATGGTCGACGAGGAAGAGGAGAGAAATGCTAATTCAGAGGGGGATCGTTGGTATAGAGCGCTCCCGTAAGAATTGTTTAGTCAAAGACATATCAAAAGGGTCCTAATTGGAAAGTTGCTTTGAGAACCTGCAACCAATCGCTTTTGATGCCCGTACACGCGGTTGTGAAGACTAACAAGACAATTTCAAATGTATGGAAAACCTGTTTGGCCCGGAAGGACGAGTGATACGGTGAGGGATAGACGGGTGAAAAATCCCTTATCCATGACATCGACTCCAGTAAGCATCGAAGAACTTCTTCATCGTTGGACAGTCATCTCGGGTATTGATTTGCACCACTGCGGCTTGCGAACACAGCGCAGAAGCGACAGTGACATGTCCTGACGCGGCCTGAGTCTAGAAGTCTGGATCGGATGGGGCGACAGTCTACACTGGAAATAGCTGGTCACAAAACTGCGTTATTAGTGGGCAGACAGTACTATTTGAAGACGGCCGCCCTCACACGCAAGCGTTTATGGTATCCACAATGTACATCAAGCGCAGTGGTATTCTGCAGCAAAACGTCAACCAGGTAATTCCGCTCGCAATCATTCGCGATTCACCGTAGAGGTTGAATAAGGGAGCGGACAGGAAAGGATAATAGAGGAACACCACCACGTCAAAACAGAAGATACAAGCCAACGGAAGACACAAAATGTGTGCGGTCCGAATGCTTATGCTGATATTCCAACCAAGAGTAAGTATCAGGTCATTGCATACGACCGTCCAGTTTTTCTCCTGCGCCTTCATTTGCAGCTTGCGGTGCGCGGTTGTATCAAAAATAATTTTTGATGTAGTAGGGCCGCAGGCTTAGACTCGCACTTGCCCATGGTTTCGGGTATCGTGACAGTAGTCGGTGAATGAATATTAGGTGGTCATCATATGATCATCATGGATGGTGCAAAAGGTGCATGTGTACAGGGAAGAAAACTAATTTGAGTTTGTTGACTACCGTAACAGGTACATAATACATCCGATGGGGCTCTTGTTCACCTTGTATGTATTGCATTTTTATCAGAGCGTTTTGAGCGCAAATTTCTTCAAATTCTTGGCGCACACAGAACTACTCAAGGATTAGCTCTAGTGAGCTTGTAAATAAGGTCAAACCAGCTCTTCGTCATTTCAAAGCGGTGCCAGGAGACCTTCAATCTTCAACTCATAGATTGTGATTCTACCGTAAAAATCAGAACTCTCCTCGAAGACGAGTTTCATGCTCTGAACTCCCTCCCCTGGCAATCCGTCCCTATGGGTAATCAAGTCAAAAATTTGACGTCTGTTGACATCCTCGGGGTGAATATATGTCCATGTCTGCCATTCAGGCCTATCTGACGACTCGGAGACCTCAACTCTACATTTGGTTCCGACAAATCCGCCCTGGAAAATGATGGTGATACGCTTGGGTGTTGCTGGCTTTTCGAACGTTAGATGGATATATTGCCCAGGACCCTGCCCATATCCGAGGTCAATGTTGTCTCCGAACAAGGTATATATATTGTTGTACCTGTCGCGATGTCCAGCACGTTTCCGGGTTATTGTCCGTCAAGTGTTTCTTCCCCGTGGATTTTTCCAGCGTGGAACTGACTCTGGTAGCCAAAGTTGTGAGGACTGAATTGTTGCTCTGCGAAATAATCACTGACTTGACATCCTGTGGATTAGTTGATATCAACGATACATAACTGTTATCCATCGTTGCTCTTTCAATTGTAAGTTATAACAGTGGTGGGCCATTGGAAGACGGCAGAACTGGCAGTTTTTCTCACGCACAAAATCTCCAAAGCTTCGCCTTACCTTTCATGGCTGCAACATCGATATCAATGACAATGATACCCGCTTGGCTTGCCAGGGCATTAGCAAATAACTCTTGGTTTATGTCTGAAACTGTTTGTTTCTCATTGTATGAACGAGGATATGCTCGCAATCACATGCAGACTCGATCTCTCGTGGCGGAACCACATTCTACGTCGCTTCTTGCACACGGGCAGCAAGATCGATCCAGTCGCAAACTACTCCATCACGATAGCCAGACGATATAGTTACTAATCAGTACTCTAACATTGAACCATATGATCGGACGCGCATTGCGGTGGGCAATCTGAAAGGCAATTACTGCCGCAGCGTCGGAGCCGAGGGGTAGCAAGGGAGTCATTTTAATGCAAGCTGGATGAGGGAGCTGTATGGCAGGAAGTTATGGATTGCTACCCATGCACCCCTTCCGCGCACGGCACATGTGTTCCTCAGTGCCATAGCGCAACCAATTCCGACTCCTCCAACATCTATCAATTCTCCCCATATGCATTCTCCTAGTCGTGTGCGGACCATCGTTCAGCTCGCAAAGTATGGAGAGCCGACGACAAAAAGCTCATGTCTATTTTCCCTCCACCCCTGGACAATCAATGCTATCGACCCAGATCCGACAAGTTGTCGGATCTGGGTTCAAGTGATGCACCTGTACTGGAGGTGACGCTACTAGAGAGCAAGCGAATGAACGAAGCCTGCTGTGTGCAGAGGGAGGTCTCCATCGTTCCTGTCACCTCGACAAATCTGCAGGATGCTGTGGTATTTACCCATCTGCCGTATGTTGCATGGCCGGATCATGGGGTCCTTGAGGATGAATATCGAGCTAGCCTTCTCGCTTTCGTTCATTTTCTGGATCGCGCTAGCAAGGATACATCTTCACTCCCGTCATCTCCGGAGCCAGACTCAGATCCTCCTATCGTGGTCAATTGCACCACTGACATTGGGCAGACCGGATCGTTCATCGCGAAGTTGTCACTATCACACGAATACCATCTTTCGAGCGGTAACCCGCCCTTGAATACTTTGGCACCTCTCTTCGTCCTCTTTGCCTGTCCTTCCTCTGGGTACTCTACTAAAGGAGCTTCAGGAAGACCTGGTAGCACAATAGATTGACAGCGTGCGAGAGCAAAGACCTGGGATGGTCCAGAGTGATGAACAAATTCATCTCATTTACGACATCCTAAATCAAGCCTTTGAAGGGATAATGATGGTTATGAAACTGGTATACAACTCAAAGAAGCTGGACGACACAAGTATAGCAGTACGTTAAACCTGTCGCTCCCTCGCCCTCAATCTGTGCACCCATAAATCAACCGTCACTGTGAAGAATGCTCGATGAATCCTGTCATAAAAGTTTCCTGCGTCGGACGCGAATCAAAGTCGGGCACCTGATCCAAACGCAAAGTCAGCCCATGAACGACGGCAGTTCCCTCATAGCTGTTGACATTTCGAGTGATCGCTTCTGGGTAATTTTGCTCCGCAAATTCGATAAGCCAATTAGGAGAGACTACACATCCGTTGTATTGGACACAAGGAACACGCACTGGTTTGAACAGTGCTGTGGGAACGCAATCTGATTGGACAGGATAAGGGAACAAATCTACCTTGATGGCGTCGGATGACCACGATAGAGAAGACTCATTAATTGTGTGATAGTAAGGACAACCATTAGTCACTCGGCGAGTGCCTCCAACTGAGCGTTATTGAAGGCGCAGAACAGACAAGATTAAAATCTATGTTATGCATGTCGTTAGAATTGCACAGCCACGTATCAATACAAAATGCGAGTGAGCTTGTCACAACAGTGGGATATCACATACTAGTAGATTCTTCATGTGCGATAGCGTATGTCCACCAGAACGTGAATATCAGTGGGCATCAATCGGTCCTCGATGAGGACTATCCTTCCTCTGTCCCGGTGGCAGTCGAACAGGAACTGCGCGACGCCAACACTTGGCATGGGCGCCCTCTATCTTGTCACTGTTGCGTGTCAGTGCATGAATACACGGTGGAAAAAAAAATAGACAACTTACTAAGATGAGCTTCAGCAGACGAAGCCTGCTACTTCAACTTGTAGTGAAACGATTACCCGTAAAACGCAGTATCAGATTCTTTGTAAGTATGTTGGCTTGCTGCAATGCAAGAACAGAAATATCCAGCGGGAATAAACCGTGCCAGTGATTCGTTTGGTGTTTGTCATAATGTTAATCACCTGCAAGGCCTGGGAAGCAAATATTAAGCATGATGCATTGATGCATGACCGGTGACCTTGCAATGTACCAAGATAACAAGATAGAAGACATTTGTCATTTGTGCATGAGTCCGGGCCCTATTTCAATTTGATAGATAGAGATCAGCAATATTAATGTTGTGATTTCTAGTAATGACCGGTGACCGATGAATCGATGACCCCCAGGAGGGCCTTAAAACTTCGTGATGGGGGCCACCGGATAGTGGTTTACATAACCGGACCCCGCACTATACTTAAGTCTGTTTACAGCACGTGTGCAGCTCTTTCTTCATACGCTGACTGCATAGTACCCTCGAACTCCGTCTTTCTCTGCTTTCATCACCCCATTCGTTATCGACATGGAGGCAGCATCTGACCCATTATCTTGGGATAGCATACCCTCAATACCCCCGTCTGCGATGCGAGCAGTAAAAGATATTACGTTCGGGAGTGTGCGTTTCCAAGGCTGATTTAATTTTATCGAGCTGCATGAATGACAATCAGTTCCTGTGACACAGATCGCAGGCATGGTCTCCAAAGTCTTTGAGCACCCATTTGACTTGACGAAAGTGCGATTACAATCTCAAGTTCTCGATACCACCGCTAGATTCAATGGACCAATAGACTGTCTCGTCAAAACATGGAAAAATGAAGGCGTCAGAGGTCTTTACCGCGTATGTGATCTCTTCTCAGTAAAACTTCTTGTTGGTGTGAGCTCATACTGGTTGTAGGGCCTTCCGGCGCCAATAGTGGCTGCCATGCTGGAGAAACGCTTCGTTGTTCATGTCATATAGTGAACTTCAAGACGTGATACGGCGGATCAATTCTCAGCCCTTGTCATACGAACTTTCGTTACCTCAACTTGCATTGGCTGGTGCAGGCGCAGGCGCCATCACTAGTTTTTTACTGCAAGTCACTTACGCCTGCTATACAAGTTGTAATTAATGCTTATTTTCGACTAGCACACCTGTGGAGCTTGTAAAATGTAAAATGCAAGTACAGATGATTGCTCCCAAGCCGCTTTCAGTCTCGATACCTGAATCCACCGCAGCAGCAACCCTAGACTCAACCCTCGGACCTGTTTCTCGACCCCTTCCCGGTCCTATAGCCGTTCTCATGTCCGTCATCCGCACAGAGGGCCTCCGCGGCCTTTGGCTCGGCCAAACTGGCACCCTTATCCGTGAATGCGGTGGCGGGGCTTCATGGTTCGCCACGAAAGAGTTCGTCGGAACAACCCTAATAAAGCGGCGCGGGTCCGAGCTTACACGGAAAGACATCGTCCCATGGGAATCTGCGTTGTCTGGTGCATGCGCAGGCGGTGTATTCAACTTTTCTATGTTCCCCGCCGACAGCATCAAGAGTACGATGCAAACTGAGGAAGACTTGCGTCCTCGAGGCAGTAATGCCCCCAAGCCAACGTTCTTGGCACCGCGAAAGCAATGTACAGGGCGCAGGGTGTGAAGGGGCTTTATGCTGGGTGTGGTATTACCTGTTGCTCGATCAATACCCAGCAGCGCCATTATATTCCTGATTTACGATGGCCTGAGTAGCCGTTTTGGGTAGTAGAATGGGCAAAAATAAATTGCGACTTGAATTCGCACCGAGTGATGCATACTACTTATATAGATGCCGGGATTGCTAATCCGGCCCATAAATACTCTTATTTGGCGATTTTCTGGCTCCGTATCGGGTAAAACGACCGGAAATTGCATCGCGAGTCACATTCAAAATACGCGACAGAATAAAACTTTGTGATCTAGATTCTAGTCTTTGCTGGAAATGATACAATAAGCATCGCAACGTTTCTGAGATAGTCGCCACGATCAATATTATGACTACCCTGCATTCCGCCAGCTACCCACTTGGGTCTGCATTGCCACCCTTCACTCAGCATGCAATCTCTGTTTCGCTCCCTACTTGGGCGGACAATGTGGGATATGAGGAAGGAGAGAAGCGCGTTGCTGATGCGATGGTGTCCGGATACCCAAGGTTCTTTATCCATCTAAGCATCGAAAAGGTATGTGTTTGCTCCAAGTCACACCAAAAAGCAAAAAGTACATCCCTGACTCATTAATCGGAAGCTCGCACGGAAATGCGAACAGAAATTTGGGGCGCCCAACGAAAAATGTCTACTATGCCCATCCAAGAAGATCGCAGATCGATGTCGATCTTTCATGCTTGACCGAGCATCATTAGCAAGCACACCAACGCACGCGCGGCTCGTGCAGTATCACATTTATCCCGAAGACACTCCTTTACCATCTGCGCAACCCACGGTGGAGCTACACATCGTCCTATTCCCCGCAGATGCATGGCCTTTTGCAAAACAATTCTGGCAGCATACAGGTCTCGGTATCTCCTCTCGCCTCGCAGTCTACTGTATTTCCCTTCTCTCGGCTGAATCACCAAATTCTCCAGCACCCTCGCCAATGTCTACCCGTGCTCCATTCAAGGCGCTAAACAGACACTATAGCGTCAAGCGCCCCCAGCAATTGCCGTCCTTCGGATCGACTCCTCCACTCAGTCCGAATCCGCAAGACGTACTCAGTAAAGACCAAAGCACCTATCTTGAAGAGCGATACGGGAGAAACCTCCCACTTAGTGCGGGTTCTTATGCAAAGCGGGCTATGCGCAGACGAATTGCTGGTGTGCTCGTCAGAGACAACTGGGAAGATTGTCCCCAAGGTCCATGTGCAGGCGCAAACGATGTCGAAGTGGGGCCCAGCCAAAGAGGCGTGAAGGATGTGACTGAGGACGATGTATACTTGTTCTCAGCAGGCATGGCTGCAATTTGGAATGCACATCAATTGGTTCTAGGCACACGGCCACCAGCCAAGAGCGTGTGTTTTGGGTACATTTTTCCAGAGGTGCATTGAGATGCGTGCTGATAGTTTGTTAGATTTCCATACACTGATACCCTAAAAATCCTTCAAAAATGGGGTCCTGGGTGTCATTTCCTCGGACACGGTCTCGACTGTGATATAGACACACTAGAGACAATTATAAAACAGGAACTTTCCGCGAACCCTTCCGCACTGCCTATTGCAGCGCTTTTTGCGGAGTTTCCGTCAAATCCTCTCCTTCGCTCGGCTAACCTCTCCCTCCTCCGTGCCCTTGCAGATAAATATGATTTTCTGCTCGTCATAGACGAGACCGTTGGAAACCTCGTCAACGTCGACGTGCTGCAACATGCAGACGTCGTTGTGAGCAGTTTGTCCAAGATCTTTAGCGGTGATGCAAACGCTATGGGCGGAAGGTAGTTGTCTTACCATCCTCGAAATCTTGATCTCATACTCACTACCCTCAGTTTAATTCTCAATCCTCAAGGTCGCCACTACGCCACGCTCAAAGCATATATGTCTGCTACCTATGAAGACACATACTTTGATGAAGACGCAGTCTTCATGGAGCGCAACTCCCGCAACTTTATACGGCGCATTCGCGTCATCGATGAAAACACGCTCGCCGTTTGCGAGTACTTACGATCGAGATCCATCTCAGGTGGAACAACTCTACCATCCCCCGCCATCAAAGAGGTCTTCTACCCCAAATACATCACGCCTGAAAACTACCTCTCATGCAAGCTCCCGGAAGGAGGCTACGGAGGGCTCTTTTCACTTACATTCACCTCGCTTGCTGCTTCGCAGGCTTTCTTCGACAACATGCCATTCCAGAAGGGCCCGAGTCTTGGAACGAATTTTACGCTCGCGTGTCCGTATACCATTCTGGCGCATTATTTGGAGCTTGGATGGGCAGCGGAGTACGGCGTAGAGGAGGGCCTGGTGAGGATTAGTGTTGGGATGGAGGAAAGGGAGGGTCTTCTGGAGGGTTTCAAATTCGCTCTTAGAGCTGCAGAAGCTGCCGCGATATGACGTGATGGCGTCTACTTGGAGTACTCCAACAGTACTTTACTTCGTTCAACCGTTCAACCCGGGACTCGCAGTGTAAAGGATCGTTCGACCTTTGGCGAGTTTACACCTCTTATGACCTGTCTATCTGGCGTCACTGCACTAAACAAACAGTTTAATGTACCGTATCTAATATATGTAAGGACGAAACGTTTGATCTTACGGAAGCAATTCGCGTCCCTCCATGTGCCATGCTCTACCTAATAACTCACATCTCAGTCTCTTGAAATAACTGAGATGTCTGTGCGCTACTGTTGGCGGCTTTATAGTGAGTAGCACACATAGTAACTAGAACATATGAAAGAGAACATAGAATATTGCAGGACGAGCCGCATCGCCCCTCTGTCACGGTCCCTTTTGGCTTGTGCTCGGACCTATCTCGGATCCTTCGGCCAACTCGCATCCCTCAGACTGGGACTCCAACATCCTAATTGCTCACTATCTGTGTGCGCTCCGCGTTGCTTCCAATGTCATATGGCAAATCTGACGGACTATCATGATGTGCCAATAATAAATGTCAGTTAGGACAACTCATCATGCGTCTCATCAAATTGTTATCGCTCACTATATATAAACAGTTGAAGTATAAGACATCATTACAATGCGATGTTGGAAATAGCGGACGTCGTTGCAATGTCTCGTACCTGTCATGCAATGCACCAAACTGGAGAAGGTGTGGTGCACAGGCATTTCAGACGCATAACAGCTCAATTTTCTAATGACGCATTTGAGTCTTTGGTATATAACAGCTCTTCGTCACTCCGAAGGCCTTATAATCGGTTGCGGCGGCTCGCGCGATGATCACTGCGGAGTCCGGACATGGTACTCCGTGCGTTGTTCGCTTATCTCCGTGTGCCTACTCCGATCTTCTTATGCTCTACCTTTTCCAATGTATGTCTTCTGAGCTTTAATTATAACCTTCTGTCAGTGCTTCGTGTCTTGGCAAGGTCCCTTCATCTATGCGCGATGCTCAAGGCACAGCTGAAGCGCTGAGAACCGCAGCTGGCCTGTGCCTATGCATTCATAATTCTGTCTCTCCTATTTACATTCAAAATCAGCACCGCATCACATCAGACATAACGCCACTGTGAGCATGACGCAGAGCATTAAAATAAAGTACTCACAGACGTATCAACGTTTCAACAGCAAAACTGCCCGTGCGCACACTAGTATACACAACAGCCCGTACTGTGATTGACGATTCTTGAACGACTGGGTTTTTTCTTTAATCTAGTGGCACCCAACAAACCAAATTCCATGGACTGCCCGTTGACGTCGGACGCGCCTAAGTGATTCAGCGTCTCCTACATTGCCCTTGAATGCCTTCGCTGTCAATTTCCGAGCTGTGGGCACCCGCCTCGCAATGGCCTAGCCTCCTTCTAGTGATCTAAGCGCACAATGTCATCTTCGGTCATTGTCATCACCCGACTCTTCATCAAGGTGCTGCAGAAGACTCTTGGAAACCTATTTGTGGAGTTTCGGTTACAAAGACCCTTCCGAACCTATAAAGTAGATCGCAGCACGTATTTTGATTATACACCACAGCCCTCATGTGTATCTGTAAAAAACCCTGCCGACGACTACCAAAGAACAAACCAGTGATATCAGTCGGCATGACGCCACTGGTTGAACTGTAGGTGCCTTCAATCCGCATCACTCACCTATGTGATCTTGACATGTTCTCTGCGCCGCTCAGCACCGAACCTAAGGGCCCCAGCTCCAACGGCTTCATTCACAAAGACCCGAGCCCCAGCGGCCCCAACAGCTTCGTCCCCAGCGGCCCCAACCCCTGCCCCCCCATCTCCTGTCCCTGCCCCTGCCCGTATCCCTGCCCCTGCCCCAACCCCTGCCACTGCCTCAGCCTCAGCCCCAACAGCCCCATCCCGTGCCCCTGCCCCTGCCCCTACCCCTGCTTCTGCCCCATCCCCTGCCCCTGCCTCAGCCCTATCCCCATCCCCAGCTCCATCCACCGCCCTTGCCCCACCCCCAGCCACTGCCCCACCCCCAGCCTCAGTCCCGGCCCCTGCCCCGACCCCGGCCCCAGTCCCTGCCATGGCCCCGGTCCCAGTCCCTGCCCCGGCCCCCTGCCCCCAGCCTCTGCCCCCTCCTTCGAGTTGGATCAGGCATGCGCTACGATATCCGCAAGCCCCCGCAGGAAGGGATCGCGCCACCTACACGGCGACAAATCAGCCGCATTCCAGCATTAAATATACCCACATTCAAGATTCTCATCATTTCGAAGGAATTCCCTTGGTCAATCAACATCCATGCGCCTGTTGGGTCTGTAGTCACATGCGGCACGATCTTTGAGGAATTGCATAAACAGCTACAAAGGCACATCGAAGGTGCGGAATGGGCAATGGTGGCTGTTGATAGGACACGGAAGGAAGCAGTCGAGAAAGCTGCAAAGTTAAGGCAAGAGAAGGACAAGATCAATCGACTGAAGAGAATTGATTGGCTGGGGGATAAGTCAATGTTTGAGGGGCTGGCAAAGGACAAGGAATTTGAGAAAATGATACATTTACCCGGAAGTGTGAGGGTCGCGGAGACATGGGTAGCGAGATTTGGAAAATGGTGATGGTGACATATGTGATGTATCATTGATATCGTTGCATGTAGTTTCATGATATTTCTTCTTAACCCCGTGTAACGATAGAAGTGGTAACATTGATCATGATTGCCTTCAAGTTGCGAGTTACCCGCTCCGACTTAACTCCTGCGACGTTTTTCAAATAACTTCATTGATAGCTAGATGACTCGGATATGCATGAAAGAGACCAACACAAAACAGAGGGCATCGTGATTCATGAACCGGTCGCCATGATATTTGGGAAGCCTGCGCGCCTATCACTCAGGCCTCTGCGGGCTCAATTAATCTCTAGCAGGCTAGAAAAAGAGGGCGATTGAAACAAAGTATAAGCGTTTGGGTCGCCGTTGTATTAATGATGACATTGTGCAGTCAAATCATATCAAGGCAAGAGGGTCCAGGCATACATGGATCAACATAGAATGAGTCGCTGATAATATTATTATCAGCGAGTCCTAGTGATGTTCCGGCCCGGCTTGGGCTCAAAGCCCCGGCTTAGGCTTACCAGATTCTAAGCCTAGGCCGTGAGCCCAAAGCCGGTGCACACATACGCATTTTCCCCGTCAGACCGCTGATAGTCCACTCGTCGGAGCCGGGAGGGGCGTCTATCATATCAGAGGACTGGTGAGCCGCAGATATCGTCATATATGCCGATATATGATCATATATAGGAAAAAAAGTCATGTATGACGTCGGAAAACCACCGCAATCAACGTAAAGCACCCTGGGTAGACTCACGAATTCTCTGATGGCCATCGCCATGGCAGTTGAATTTGCATTCCCGACGAATAGCTCGTTGATGACGTTCACAGAATACCAACATTAATAAGCTGTAGCGTATTGGCGGCGAGTACTATGAGGGCCAAAGTAGGCTAGATAGATAGTGAACTGGATGTTAGCTCAAGGTACATGCACTACAGTTCTTCCCGGGACAGGTCAGGTTGGACTCACATCAACACTCATCACCAAAGACATTGAGAAGTACGCAACGGGAGCCAATACAAGGGCATGGGTGACGAGAGGACTGTGAATGGGATTCTGGAAACTAGCAACATGGACACTAATCCAATAAGAGGTATGGGGTGATAGAAGGAGCGAGAATCAAGAAGATTTTCAAACTCGAAAGATTTGGGGGTAACAACGGCGAGCGCTGTGCTCGTGTGCACGACGTGACCAAAGTGTTTTAGAGTCGGGACACTAGCAAACAGCGGGATGACCGAATTTTCGTAGGCAACAAAAGTACTATGGTCACATGCACATGAGATGATAGTATCGTAGGCGGGTAGTCCGTGACCTGCGGGAAAAGGTTTGTTTCTGGTGTATCACTCACCGTGTTCAACTAACTGATGGATGCAAGCCAGGTAAGCATGTAAAGCGCGTTAGATAACGAATGTGCGTCTTACCTGAACGGTGCCAGGTTCTCTATGCCCTCATCGCTGACCATGGACACGAATGCGATGGGGTGTGGTACGATGCGTGAAATCAAAAGCTTGTAGACATCGCTGTCGATCGCAATCACGATTGCGGCTGGACAACAGGTCGAGGAGTACGTACGCCTTGTCTGTTTCTGCTGTAGAGGTACATGAATTACCGAAAACAATACACAGCATAGCAACTCACTATGATTTCTCTGACATATCTTGTGGTATGATGGACTAAGGAGCTGATACTGAGACGCCGAATGCAAACAGGAACTTCAAAGCGCACACATAGATAGATATTAGTTTGAGCTCAACTGTGGGAAAGTTGTCCATCATTATCTGGCGCAACAAGTACTACTGCCTTTTGGCCTAACGGTAACGTTGAGGGACGACAGTCCTGACTACTTTAAAGGACTTACACCGCGCTGCCTATTGCAGCGCTTTTCGCAGAGTTCCCGTCAAATCCTCTCCTTCGCTCGGCTAACATCTCTGTCCTCTGTGCACTTGCAAATAAATATGACTTCCTGCTCGTCATAGACGAGTCTATTGGAAACCTCGTCGACGTCGACGTATTGCAATATGCAGACATCATTGTGAGCAGCTCGTCCAAGATCTCTAGTGGTGGAGCAAACGCTATGGGCGGAAGGCAATACGTATCTTACCATCCTCGAAATCTTGAGCTCATACTCGCTACCCTCAGTTTAATTCTCAATCCTCAAGGTCGTCACTACGCCACGCTCAAAGCATACATGTCTGCTACCTGTGAAGACACATACTTTGATGAAGACACAGTCTTCATGGAGCGCAACTCCCGCAACTTTACACGGCGCATTCGTATCATCGACGAAAACACACTTGCCGTTTGCGGGTACTTATGATCGAGATCCATCTTAGGAGGAACATCCCTACCATCCCCTGCCATCAAAGAGGTCTTCTACCCCAAATACATCACGCTTGAATACTACCTCTCATGCAAGCTCCCGGAAGGAGGCTCTTTTCACTTACGTTCACCTCGCTTGCTGCTTCGCAGGCTTTCTTCGACAACATGCCATTCCAGAAGGGCCCGAGTCTTGGAACGAACTTTACGCTCGCGTGTCCGTATACCATTCTGGCGCATTATTTGGAGCTTGAATGGGCAGCGGCGTACGGCGTAGAGGAGGGCTTGGTGAGGAGTAGTGTTGGGATGGAGGGTTTCAAATTTGCTCTTAGAGCTGCAGAAGCTGTGGTGTGAGTGTGACGTGATGGCGTCTACTTGGAGTACTCCAACTTCGTTCAACCGTTCAACCCGGGAATCGGAGTGTAAATGATCGTTCGACCTTTGGCGAGTTCACACCTATTATGACCTGTCTATCCGGTGTCACTGCACTAAACAAACAGTTTAATGTACCGTATCTAAAGTGATCGCACGGGTGTGCTCCCTGAGCTCCACATGGCACACACTCCTGCGCTCATACTATTTGTGTGCTTGGCGGTGTCCTATTTGCGGGCGTTGTTCGCTTATCTCCGAAATCTTTTTGCAATTGTGCTCCACCTTTTCCAATGTATGTTTCTGAGTTCCCATACTATGACCTGTGTCCTGTCAGTATTTGGTGTCGCCTAGATCTCTTCATCTATTATATGTGCGCGATGCCCGAGGCACTAAAGACTGCACTGTGGCTATACATTCATAGTTCTGTCTCTCCTATTTACATTGAAAATTAGCACTGCGTCACGTCATCCAGCACCGGGCATAACACCGTGAGCATGACGTCTGCCAGAGCATTAGAACAAAGTACTCACAGACCATCGCGCGCGCGCATAGAATAACGCGGTGGACACAATAGCCCGTGCTATAATTGACGAAGTGGAAGATTCTCGAACGGCCAGGTTTCATCTTAATCCAGCGGCGCTCAACGAATCGAATGAGTCCACGGACTACCCGTTGACATCGGACGCGTCTAAGTGGTTCAGCGTCTCGCGTACATTGCCCCTGAGCGCCTTCACCGTCAATTTCGAATGTTTCAGCCATGGGCGGTGGCATCTACCGCCCTGTCACCCTCTTTTGTCTGCTTCCAATGACCTAAGTGATTACAGCGCACAAGGTCATCTCCGGCCATCGTCATCACGCGACGAGTCTTTATCAAGGTGCTGTAGATGGCCCACGGAAACCTAGACTTTGGAGAGTTTCGGTTACAGTTCTTTCCGACGGGCTGACGCCCTTACCGTGACGAACATATAAAGTATATCGCAGCATGTATTTTGATTATACACCTCAGGCCTCATGTGTGGCGGTAAAAAACCCACCCGACGACTATCAAAGAGAAAAAAACCAGCGGTACCAGCCAACACGACGCCACCGGTTCAATTGTATGTGCCCTTCTATCCGCATCACTCATCTACGTAATATTGATATGCTTTCTGCGCACCCGCTCAGTATCAGACCCAACGACCCCAACCCCTACCCTAGCCCGAACGATCCCAACCCCTACCCCAGCCCGAACGATCCAAACCCCTACCCCAGTCCCAAGTCACCCCAGCCCGAACGATCCCAATCCCTACCGCCACCCCAGTCCATACCCCAGCCCCAAGTACCCCAGCCCGAACGACCCCAACCCCTACCCCAGTCCCCACCTCAGTCCTAAGTACCCCAGTCCATACCCAAGCCCCAACGACCCCAGCCCCAACGACCCCCAGTCCCTACCTCAGTCCTAAGTACCCCCAGTCCATACCCAAGCCCCTACCTCAGCCTCAAGTACCCCAGTCCATACCCCAGTCCCTACCTCAGCCCCAAGTACCCCAGCCCGAACGAGCCCAACCCCTACCCCAACGGCTATCCCAGCCCCAAGAGCCCCATCCCCTACCCCAGCCCGTTGGACGACCCCAACGGCTACCCCAGCCCCAAGAGCCTCATCCCCTACCCCAGCCCCGGCCCCAAGAGCCCCTACCACAGCCCCATGCCCAGCCCCAACGGTCTCGACCCCATCCTTCAAGCTGGATCAGGCATGCGATACGATATTCGCAAGCCCCCGCAGGTAGGGATCGCGCCATCTACATGGCAACAAATCAGCTACGTTCCAGCATTAGGGATGCCCACGTTCAAGATTCTCATCATCTCGAAGGCATTCCCTTGGTCAATCGTCATCTCTGCACCTACTGGGTCTGTAATCACATGCGGCAGGATTCTCGAGGAATTACATAAACAGCTACAAAGGCACATCGAAGGCGCGGAGTGGGCAATGGTGGCTGTTGATAGGACACGGAAGGAAGCAGTCGAGAAAGCTGCAAGGTCAAGGCAAGAGAAGGACAAGATCAATCGACTGAAGAGAATTGATTGGCTGGGGGATAAGACAATGTTTGAGGGGCTGGAGAGGGACAAGGAATTTGAGAAAAAGAGACATTTACCCGGAAGTGTGAGTGTCGCGGAGACATGGGTAGTGAGATTTGGGAAATGCATCGATGATAACATGTATCATCGATATCATCATGGAGTTTTATGATACTTTTTCTTATTTTTCTTGTTGATCATGATGATTACCTTGTTTACCGACTCAACAGACGGAGTATAATGAGAAAAGAACAACATGCAAGAAATATCGAACATATCTCAGCATCGTGAACAGAGCCGCCGAGGGTACTGACGAATGCAACAGGATGCGTCGGGGACTGGCGCGGCTGAGCGCCGTTACGATTCTAATATAACAGTCCCCGACTCTGGGATCCGGGTCCAACTTGCAAGGCACCTGTATGTAAATGTGCGCGTGAATGTGTTTCCTTTTCCTGCCACTCGACTTTGAAATTTGATCCACGAGGCCTAGCCTTACAACGGAACGACTCGATTTACTGATGACTTTTCAAGTTGTCCAGGTCCTCCTTTTCCTGTCCTTCACCCTCGTCTCTCTATCGACCCGATATCGCTACCTGATTCCCGTTCTGTTGGTCTGCTCTGCGGTGAGTTTTTCTGCTGTGATTGTCACATTTGAGTCAAATGTGGACAAAGTCGCGGCTGTGTGGGAACACTGGCAATGAGTTTGACTCATTGTTTCCACACAGCCGCGACTTTGTCGTGGGCGAGATTAGTAGATGTCGCCGTTTGTGTGCAAGAGCCCTGTACACGCGCGCGCGCGTCCCCGACGTTGCTGATTGTCCACCCCATGATGTCAAACATGAAATACCCTCATACCCTCATTGTCACGATTCGTTGTACTGCCCTATCCATCATTCAGTTATCTTTGCCACTTCGGCCAGTTTCTTTCGCTGGTTACAGATCACGCTCGCAGACCACGCCCAGCGTTGTTCCACGTGCTGGCCTCCTGTGGATGCCATCTCAGTCCAATTTGCCACATCTCATATAGTGGTTCAAGCGGGACATCGTGCTGTTCCATTTTCCCTTGCCAATTTTGAGAGTTCAATATACACTCACTCACTGTGCGGTGTTCCAGCGCTTTGCGCTTCGTTCGCGGGACACGGTTTCGGACATGGAGACATAGTTTTCTCACCCCATTACGTGTCATGGGGCTAACCTGAGATCCTGAGGGTATTGCCGGCTCCTGTTCTGCGAACTGCTGCTCAGATCGTTGGCTGTGAATGATCTGATGCCCGCATCAAAGCTACTTCTTGCGTGCAGTTTCTCATGTGTCACGTTACTCATATTCGGACTGAACTTCGCGCTATAGCTGATGAGGACCTGCGTGGTCGCGCTGCTGCAGTTCTTCCATCATTATCTTTGCAAGTAAGACTAAAAGACGCAGGCAGAAACATCAGGCTGGCCGTTGTGATTCTATAACAGTCTATAACTCGTTTAATTTTTTCAAGATTTGACATACTTAGTCTAGGTTTGCCATCGGAGGGTTTTCCTGTCAGATGTGCAACGTCAGATAACTAATTTCTTGCACTTTCCAGAACATGGATCGGTTCTGCGCAGGCGTGGCTAATTCTGGTTCTAGCAAGCCTAGAAAGCTCACTCGTGTTGCTAGTACAAATTATCTGTGATTGCCTGATCGAAAAAAGGAGTATGAAAGCTTCGAATACAACTACAAAGTGAACAGAAAAATACAACAATGAATGCATGTGAACCATAGTGCATGGAGGAACGAAATCTCTACTCTATTCAACTTTCTATGAGCCATGGCGACAACGAGAAAACGTGATAATGATAAGGGGAAGGGAAAGTTCATAACAGTTTTGAATCCGCGTTTACTGAGGAGACGCTGACTCGGGGGAAACATTGTTCCCATTCGGGGCCTCAACGGTGTTTTCGGCCTCTTCTGCCTTCGACCCAAGGACACTAATGATCTCGCCTATCCGTTGTGTGAGCTTTTCAAGCAACGGAGATACACGCTCTTTGACCTCTCTGCCTACGCGATTGAGCTTCTCGGGGACAGGGAGAGAAGGATCGGTAATGATAACGCGCAAGTCTACGACGGCTTTAGAGACGTCAGGATATGTATCCTGTAGGGTCTGAGGGAGCTGAGTGGTCGAGTGATGTATTTTCTGCATCTCGGAGAGCAGGTTTGCAGCAGCAGTTTGAGCGTTATTAATCCCGTTGGAAGCAAGAGTAGAGATAGAGTTCGCAGTGTCGGTCGCACGTTGACTGAAGGAAGATTGGTCAGAATTAGTGCGTATATGCGCTAAAAAGAGATCACTCACACCAGGACATTTTGCAGCTGCACCTGCTTGAGGTGCTCTGATGAATAGACGTAGAAATTGTCCTTGAGGTGCTTGGAAAGGTTGATCGCGCGCTGATACTGGTATTGAGAGTCGGAAGATGGGGACGAGAGCTGCGAAGCATCCGATTCATTGGACATATTTCCAGTGATTCTCTCGAAGTAGTCAACGACCGGTGCAAATTTCTGAACACGAGTCTCAATCGTGTAACAGGGGTTATAGGTCACGTGGATCCCACCTTGTCAATGCCTTCTGCAACGTCAACTGCAGGGGATTTGACGTTCCCAAACGTCCTTCCCGCAGTTTCACGCACGTAGCTTGCCACTTCCTCGGGCTTTGCCTGGAACGGATAAGGATACCTCGACTCAACTGCATCGAGACCCTTGTTGGCGATACCGTCTGCGCGGTCGATGAGTGGGGCAAGACGAATCTGAATAGGTTGCGAATAGTTATAAGCGGTGCTGGTTATTACTTGAGCGGCGTGGTACGGAGAGCGGGTGAGCATGTTTTTCTCAAGGACAGCATTTATCTGTTCAAGTGAAGACGCAATTAAAGGAATAGAAACGACACGATTTAAAACCGTAATTTTAGGGAGTTGGGACTGGGGCTGCGCGACTGATGCCATTATAAAGGTAAGTGTGAGGGTACGTAGGCGTGCAAGAAGGGAATGGAAAAGGAATGGAGGCGCAAGGGGTTCATATACAAATATGAATTGACATGTGATTATACTCATATCGCGTCTGTCACGCTTATCATATCTGTCACACCTCTTTAAGTACTACTATGACTTCCCCTGGGATTCCCCACCAATCAAGCCTTGTTATGCGGCATCTGTGAGAAACAGGCCATAATCTGCTACTTCGATCGATGCGTTGTCAATCCATCTATTGCATACGATGATACCCTCGACGTCAGGCGAATTCTCTGATTCTTCTTCACCGCTCTAGTGACGCCTTCTTGACATATTGTGGTAGCCTGCAGTATACGTGGAATGCTATCGCTCATGGCGGCCGATCCCTCGTGGTTGGTTGTACAAGCGAGGGGCTGGAGCCTGTAGAACCACCCCGCATAAGAACTATCGCATGATGAGAATGATGACATGACAAGACGCGAATAGCACGCGATCTTCGATTCAAACCTTCAGGTTAGACTAGCCTAGAGCCCAAGGCCTGGCCAACCCCTGTTTCACCTCAATACCCACTCCTGCAGGGTTTATTTGTAAGGGAGTGGTGAACTCTGCCAAGTTTTCACCAGTCTGCAGTCTTGGTCAATCATTGATCGGATGGCTTGCCCAGCTCACTCGCCAAAATAGTTGAAATTAATGAACCGATGACTAGTACGGATACTTTCTATCAGCAGGATCAACAATCAAACCACCAACCTGCCCATGGCCATCTCGAAATTTCTGTTGAGTGTCATATGGCGTCGGTCACAGACCAGCACAAACGATACAGATGGGATCAATATTGATGATGGCGACCTATACAGTTACTGCTACACTCTACGATAAACTACAATAGGTACCTATAACCTTTGGGAAGGTGCAGCTCACGCTCTTCCGCTTCGGCAGCTTCATTCAATCGCTCAAGATGCCGTCTAAAGATCCAACACAGTATTATAGCTATGCTAGCCAGCGCGACGCAGATGCGAAACGAGTTGTTATATGTCGGACCCCAGCTCGATACCCAGATGTATCTGGTGTTGTATGTCATCAACAGTGACATAAAGAAGATACGAGAAAGGAACTGACGGCGATAGGACACTTCCCAACATTCCAGTGGAGGTGATGAACGCAATCGCAACTGCTCGCTTGGAGCTGGAATGAGCGAATGTGTTACTGATCCACGTCAACAAGATGACATTTCGAGACCTGCGACTGAGCCATGAGAAACCTGATTGGATGATAAGAGACGCCAGGAAGAGCGGTATATGAAATCTTACTGACAATGACAGGTAGCGAACGGTGATATTCATCGTAGACATAGCTAGAATACATCCCGTAATTAACATCGACAACGCAAAGGCCGTGTGCCCGAAGCGTTCACGCGTCGCATCAGAATGACTTGAAAATTGTAAGCACTTCCACTGAGATGTGTCAGAATAAGGCCTACTGTGCTACAATAATTGCGGGTAATCGTGCTCACAAACCACGGTGGTGCACATAGCAGAAGACTAATGGTAGGCGAGTACCCCATTGTGGCCACCAATGTCGGGAAGAACATATTAAAGGACAAAGATGTAGCACAGCAACACAATGCCGTACCAACCAACCACATTCTCCAATCTGTGATTATCGACAGGAGATCGGAAAAGCCGCCGGATGCACTAGGTCCAGCGGGGCCGTGGCCTCTCAAATCCTCTTCCATCCGCTTTCGAGCAAGAGTAAAGCTCCGCAGATGTGAGCCAACGCGCAGGGCCCGAAGGAAAATCAGGAAGTATGAACATCCCGCAAATGCCGACGAAAACTGTCAAATAGCCCTCTACGAAAAACAGCCACCTGATAGCAGTCAAAATCCATAAAATCCATTGAAATATATCGTACCAACCTCCAGGCTGCATAGCCGAGAACGCCCTCCATGGTCGCCAAAATTCCGGAGGCAAACAGAGAACCAAAAACATTGCTAATACAGACTGCTGCAGTGAAAAACGCAGTCCTGTACCCAAGCTCTTCTCGCTTATACCTGCATCCATTTAGTAAGCCGGTTTGTTGTATGAACTCAGGGGAAGTACCATCTTGAAAGCAGATAGAAAACACCAGGATAAAATGTAGCCTCTAAAAATCCTACCAGAAAACGCAAGGCAAGTGCTTGATAGTAACTGCAAAGATGTGTATCAGTGTTTCAATCGTGCACAGTTGTACAATACACCAACTTCGTGGATATCCCTGCGAGTTACCGTTCACTGTAAATTCGCCACAACAAACATAAGTAAGATAAGAAAACACACCAATGAGAGTGGTCAGGAGACCCCATAGCGATATACAGCTCGATAGATACAGCGATGGTTTCGCTATGCGAGTGAGAATCATATTTCTGCCACCATAGTTCAATGGTCAAAGGGGGTTATAAATCGAAAGCTCAGATTGCTCACGAAGGTATTTGTGTGAACAAATAACCGACGTATAAACTGCTGATCAACGTATTGAACTGTGTACCTTTCATGCCGAGGTCTTCCTCGAAACCACGAAGCCTTGCAGCGCTGTGGGAAAAAAACGGATATTAGTTAGAAACAGATATTTCTTGCAGAAAGTCTTACGCAGCGTTATGTCGATCCATCTTGAGTTCCTCAGAGGCGGAGATGGACGGGACAACTGATGTTACGCACCTGATTCAAGATGTAGATAAGAACAAGATACGCTGTTCTGAAATCTAGCTTTCGCAGAACATTTCTCTCCAACACAATCCTAGAGATGGACTCTGGGTCGTCATTGGTATTCAAGGAGGCACCGTAGGCAGTGGGCGTAGAGTTACCGAACAGCAACCTACTCTCGCTCGGAGATGACATGAATGCTCGGACTCGGACCTTGTAGATATGAAAAAACAATAGTAAGCCACCTACTGCCAGCCTCAATTGGGAGCTCGACCTGGTTATATATAGCCACCACTGTGGCATGCTCTGAGTTGACAGAGCATCCTCGGTGACTACCCTACAAGCCTGAGGGATGTCCGCATCATGATCATCGATGTGGCTGAGTTTCACATTCAAGCTCCATACACAAAGGAAAAGTCATATAAAGTCATATATTACGTACGAGTCCGACGTAAAGGCTCCACGATCAACGTACACTAGTACTCTAAAGGACTCGTCGGTTCTTTGATGGCCGCTGGTATCCCCGGATGAACATTGTTTTTCCACTGGAATTCAGGCTGTAACACTTCGATCAATCAAATATCATCCCTCGAATCTCACTTACGCGACTTAAACGTTGGATTGTGGTATATCAAGCACGAATGCGATCGTTATAGGTCCACCAAGTTCCCCCGCTCGCTCACTCCCATCTTCTAATAGTGCATATGACTCTAGTCTCGAATGATCCTAGTTGGTGGCCACTCATCAATGCGAGTATTATTGGCAGCTATTTTGCAGGTTCGTGGAGAGTCAGCCACATGATGACAGTGACTGACGTTCGCTGCTATTTCACAGTTGCCGCCTCTGTCGGGGTGATGTACGATTGTGGTGAGTAGGTAAGATTAGGTATGAAAAGACCGCTGACATCGTTGTGGTCTTCTCAGCGCTTACGTTTGGCAAGAGGTAGGTCGATCCGTTATTGGGGCAGCCTAGCTTGCTTAGAATTGTGTTATAGATTGAACTGATCTGGGTAAGCGGGCTCCCACATCAAGAGAACGACGTGAAAATACAACTTGTTCACGGCAGAGGCAACACTGGTCCTCGATGACCTTTCTCTATCTCGGTGTATGTACCTTGTGTTTCAATATTTACGCTTAACAAGTCTAAGTTCTGCTGACTACAAAATATCTTAGGTGCGCTATGTTGGAATAGGATATGCTGTGTACGTTTGAATATTTAAGCCATTGATGTTGCGCTCATTACCCATCTTTCACAATCAGAATCTACATGCTGGGTATGTATCCTGGCATAGACTCTGACTTCTTTCTTGTGACGGGCGGCATACAGTCACTGTTCCAACAGTTTCGATGTACAGATGCAGTGAGTGTTCCGCACCGATGCCTTCCATTTCCGTCCAAACAACTCAACTACCATGCAGGGGTGAGTGAGATCAAACAACTTGTTGGTTCAAAATAACAACTCCCACAGCTGTGAGTTTGTCTCGAGCCTGTGATTCTCTGAAGCTGATAACTAATGTCGCTGGATTTTTCAGGCCTTATCATAAACGACGCAATGGATTGGACGGGTGACGTTGTGGATGTAATACTGGGCAGTGAGTCATACACCTCCGTGATATTGACAGTTAACTTGACTGAAACATCATACAAGTCATCATGATCGCTCGGTTGTATGCCATGTATCAGCAATCCAGAAAGGTGCTGATATTTCTCGTTGTCAGCTTTCTGGCCATCAGAATCGCCAATGTAGTGATGAGCGCAATATTGACGATGCATATTTCAGGGGGTAAGCTTTAGTTATGTATGAAATGTACAAGTGCATCAGGCTCATTGACAAATAACAGAGGAATTCGTTCTCTCCGGCACCTATCAGTGCTTGATTGGCTATGCGGGAGACGTCCTACTTCTGAATTCCATGACTTGGATACTTAGCACTGTATGGGAGGTCCTTGCACTGTGTCTCGCGGTCTGGATTGCTGTAAAGCACTTCCGTGAACTGCGACGATCCTCAACAGGAGGTATTATCGGGGACTGTTTCACGGTGTTGTTGCAAACTCACGTTATTTACTTTGCAAGGTGAGCTCATGATGTGAATGTGGTTCTCTTGTTCGGCTGAATTTTTGCACGTGCTAGTTTTTTGGCTATCTCTTGCTTCCAGATCGGGTTTTTCTCTCCAACGCTCTTAGCGGTATGCCGACCGTGTCATCGACCTCTACATGCAACTAAGATTCATCATTTCTATAGGACCCATATTCCCTGGACACTCAGATTTATTATGGTCTCGCTCAGATATTCCAGGTCGTGCAGATGTTTGTGTTGGGACCACGCCTGATCCTCGGTGTTCGAGATTATTATGCTGAGCTCGTGGCCAACTCTGATACGGCAACCGCTATGACTTCAATTGCTTTTCAGGAGCACGTCCAAGTGTCAACCAACAGTAGTGTGTAGCGCAGGAGATGCTTGACATGATTGATTTACGATGGGGGAGTAGTACGCAGGGAGCCGGAGAATTTGTTTTTATTTATTCCAGGTTTTGTCGTGGTACTGATTTATGCAAGTCGCAAAGTAGGTCATAGAAGAACTTTTGGCAAACTATGAGTAGAAATTTCACCCTGACGCTGAGGCTCACTAGCAAGCACTCGATCTTAGTAATGCTGTCAAGCTCGTACTGGCTGGCGGAAGTCTGTTCGCTCCTCATGTTATCACTGATAGATGACTGTTTCTAGGACCTCATATGAAATGTACTTAACCACTCTCGTAGCGCCTATGCACCCTTTCACCCCGTTCATCCTACCCGCTCCGTATCAAGTTCCTCTAGCAGGACTTTGGCTCGTTGATCAGGCTACTTCATTGAGCCCAAGCGGATCTGGTGCTGCAGTGCCATCGACCATAACGAGGGCGAATGGCGAGAAACGTGCGGGCGCAGACTGTCTAACTCGGAGTTAATTTTCAAGTGTCGTTAGAACATAATGGATGCCTTAGGGTGTACAATAAACAAACTAGTTAGAAGAATGATTTGCCCAAAATCTTGAAGTCTAAGAACGCGAACACTAACCACTAGTTAGTGAGGTTCTGCTCTGGTAGACCAGCACAGACGATACAGATGAGATCAATATTAATGATTACGACCTTTACAGTCACTACTAGACTCTACGATAAGCTACAACATGTACCTATAACCTTTAGGAAGGCGCAGTTCACGCTCTTCCGCTTCGGCAACTCCATTCAATCGCTCAAGATGCCATCTAAAGATCCAACAAAGTATTATAGCTATGCTAGCCAGCGCGACGCAGATGTGGAACGAGTTGTTATATGTCGGACCCCAGCTCGATACCCAGATGTACCTGCGTTGTATGTCATCAATAGTGACATAAGGAAGATACGAGAAAGGAACTGACGGCGATAGGACACTTCCCAACATTCCAGCGGTGTTGATGAACGCGATTGCAACTGCTCGCTTGGAGCTGGAACGAGCGAATGTGTTGCTGGTCCACGTTAATAAGACAGCATTTGAGACCTGCGACTGAGCCATGAGAAACCTGATTGAATGATAAGAGACGCCAAGAAGAGCGGTATACGAAATCTTACTGACAATGAGAGGTAGCGAACAGTGATATCCATCGTAGACATAGCCAGAATATATCCCGTAATTAACATCGACAACGCAAAGACCATGTGCCCGAAGCGTTCACGCGTCGCATCGGAATGACTTGAAAATTGTAAGTACTTTCTCACTTAGGCGTTTGTCAAAATAAGGCCTACCGTGCAACAACAATTGTGGTGATTGTACTCACAATCCATGGTGGTGCACATAGCAAAAGACTAATGGTAGACGAGTACCCCATTGTGGCCACCAATGTCGGGAAGAACATACTGAAGGACAGAGATGTAGTACAGCAACACGATGCCGTACCAACCAACCACGCTCTCCAATCTGTCATCAGTGAAAGGACATCGGAAAAGCCGCCGAATGACGTAGGCTCAGCGGCACCATGACATTCTGAATCCTCCTCCATTCGCTTTCGAGCAAGAGTATGCTCTGCAGGAGTGAGCCAACGCGCAGAGCCCGAAGGAAAGTCAGGAAGTATGAACATCCCACAGACGCCGACCAAAACTGTTAAATAGCCCTCTATTAAAAACAGCCACCTGATAGCAGTCAAAATCCATAACACATTGAAATATATCGTACCAACCTCCAGGCAGCATAGCCGAGAAACCCTTCCATGGTCGCCAGAATTCCAGAGGCAAACAAAGAACCAAAAACATTGCTAGCTCCAATTCCTGCGGTGAAGAATGCGGTCCTGTACCCAAGCTCTTCTCGTTTATACCTGCACCTCATTTAGCAAGCCAGTCTGTCATGTGAAGTGAACTGCAGGAGGTACCATCTTGAAAGTAAATATATAACACCAGGATAGAAGGTGGCCTCTAAGAATCCTACCAGAAAACGTAAGGAAAGTGCCTGGTAGTAGCTGCAAAGGTGTATATCAGTGCTTCAATCGCGCACAGTCGCACAATACACCAACTTCGTGGATATTCCTTCAACATGAGTTGCCGTCCATTTTAAATTCGCCACAACACACATAGTAATACAACAAAACACACCAATGAGAGTGGTCAGGAGACCCCATAGCGATATACAGCTCGATAGATACAGCGATGGTTTCGCTATGCGAGTGAGAATCATATTTCTGCTACAATAGCTCAACGGTCAGAGGGGATAATAAATTGAAAGCTCAAATTGCTCACGAAGGTATTTGCGTGAACAAATAGCCGACGTATAGACTGCTGATCAATGTATTGAACTGTGTACCTTTCATGCCGAGGTCTTCCTCGAAACCACAAAGCCTTGCAGCGCTGCGGGTGAAAATGGATATTAGCTAGAAACAGATATTCCTTGCAGAACGTCTTACGCAGCATTATTTCGATCCATCTTAAGTTCCTCAGAGGCAGAGACGGACAGGAAAACTGATGTTACCCACCTGATTCAAGATGTAGATAAGAACAAGATACATTGTTCTAAAGTCTAGCTTTCGCAGAATATTTCTCTCCAACACATTCCTAGAGATGGACTCTGGGTTGTCATTGGGATTCAAGGAAGCACCGTAGGCAAAGGGCGTAGAGTCGCCGAACTCTGAAGGTAACAGCAACCTATTCTCGCTGGGAGAGGACATGAATGCTCGGAGACTCGTCACTCGGACGAAGTGAAAAAACAACAAGCCAATACACAACAGCCTAGTGCTTGCTGCTAGCCTCAATTGGGAGCTCGGTCTCGTCATATCGTTATAACCATCACTGTGGCATGATCAAAGATAAGCATGACCGAGAACACCGTCACGCCTGATGAGAACTCAGCATACCTAGTTGCTCAATATTGGTCATTGCTAACGTACTGATGCATAGCCTAACTTGTACAGGCAGACGCCGTGCTGTGGCGTGCCGCATGGCCAGCGGTCGAGGTGCGCGTCATAATTAATAAGTCGATTTAGAAGCGGAAGGTCTGCAAAGAATGTGTACGGTACTACTAGCCCTGTTACCATTCCAAGGTTGATCGGGGTGGGAAGCACAAATACCTGAGCGCATCAATTAATACATCAGCGGCAAAGACCCCAACCACCGCTCGGTTCCTTGAAGTTCGCCGCCCTCGCGCATACCTATCCTGCGCTGTTACGCCACGTTTGCACTGCTCCCTTACACGGCATAGAGGAATTTTGCCCGGGGGGGTTTTCCTGATGTACTCTGGTAGACCAGCACAGACGATACAGATGAGATCAATATCAATACCTTTATGGTCACCAGTACACTCCACGACAAGCTACAATAGGTACCTATAACCTTTAGGAAGGCGCAGCTCACGCTCTTCCGCTTCGGCAGTTTTATTCAACCGCTCAAGATGCTGTCTAAAGATCCAACACAGTATTATAGCTATGCTGGCTAACGCAACGCAGATGCGGAACGAGCTGTTATATGTCGGGCCCCAGCTTGATACCCAGATGTACCTGGTGTTGTATGTCACCAATAGTGACATGGAGAAGATATGAGAAAGGAACTGACGGCGATAGGACACTTCCCAACATTCCAATGGAGTGAATGAGCCCAATTGCAATTGCTTGCTTGGAGCTGGAACGAGCGAATGTGTTACTGATCTACGTTAACAAGACACCATTTGAGACCTGCGACTGAGCCAGGACAAACCTGGTTAAATGATAAGAGAGGTCAGAAAGAGCAGTATGCGAAATATTACTGACAATGAGAGGTAGCGAACGGTGATATTCATCGTAGACATAGCTAGAATATATCCCGTAATTGACATCGACAACGCAAAGGCCGTGTGCCCGAAGCGTTCACGCGTCGCATCAGAATGACTTGAAAATTGTAAGCACTTCCACTGAGGTGTATGTCAGAATAAGGCCTACCGTGCAACAATAATTGCGGTAATTGTGCTCACAACCCACGGTGGTGCACATAGCAGAAGACTAATGGTAGGCGAGTACCCCATTGTGGCCACCAATGTTGGAAAGAACATATTAAAGGACAGAGATGTATTACAGCAACACAATGCCGTACCAACCAACCACACTCTCCGATCTTTCACCAATGAAAGGACATCAGAAAAGCGGCCGGATGACGTAGGCTCAGCGGCACCATGACCTTCTGAATCTTCCTCCATTCGCTTCCGAGCAAGAGCATGCTCTGCAGGAGTGAGCCAACGCGCAGAGCCCGAAGGAAAGTCAGGAAGTATGAACATCCCACAGACGCCGACAAAAACTGTTAAATAGCCCTCTATTAAAAACAGCCACCTGATAGCAGTCAAAATCCATAAAATACACTAAAATATATCGTACCAACCTCCAGGCAGCATAGCCGAGAACGCCCTCCATGGTCGCCAGAATTCCGGAGGCAAACAAAGAACCAAAAACATTGCTAACTCCAATTCCTGCTGTGAAGAACGCGGCCCTGTACCCAAGTTCTTCTCGTTTATACCTGCACCTCATTTAGCAGGCCAGTCTGTCATGTGAAGTGAACCGCAGAAAATACCATCTTGAAAGCAAATAGACAGTACCGGGATAGAAGGTAGCCTCTAGGAATCCTATCAGAAAGCGTAGGAAAAGTGCTTGGTAGTAGCTGCAAAGGTGTTTATCAGTATTTCAATCGCACACAGTTGCACAATACACCAACTTCGTGGATATTCCTACAACATGAGTTGCCGTCCATTTTAAATTCGCCACAACACACACAATAATACAACAAAACACACCAATGAAAGTGGTCAGGAGACCCCATAGTGACACACAGCTTGACAGATACAGCGATGGTTTCGCTATGTGAGTGAGAATAAGATTTCTGCCACCATAGTTCAACGGTCAGAGGGGATTATGAATTAAAAGCTCAAATTACTCACGAAGGTGTTTGCGTGAACAAATAACCTATGTATAGACTGCTGATCAACGTATTGAACTGTTTGCCTCTCATGCCGAGGTCTTCCTCGAAACCACGAAGCCTTGCAGCGCTGCGTGAGAAAAGGGATATTAGCTAGAAACATTCCTTGCAGAACGTCTTACGCAGCATTATGTCGATCCATCTTGAGTTCCTCAGAGGTGGAGACGGACGGGACAACTGATGTCACGCACCTGATTCAAAATGTAGATAAGAACAAGATACGCTGTTCTGAAATCTAGCTTTCGCAGAATATTTCTCTCCAACACATTCCTGGAGATGGACTCTGGGTTGTCATTGGTGTTCAAGGAAGCACCGTAGGCAGAGAGCGTAGCGTCGCCGAACTCTGAAAGTAACAGTAACCTATTCTCACTGGGAGAGGACATGAATGCTCAGAGACTTAGACGAGGTGAAAAGATAACAAGCCACTACATAATAGCCTCAATTGGGAGCTCAGCCTCATTATGTCCTAATTGCTCAATATTGATCCTTGCTAACGCGCTGACGATAGACTTGTACAGGCGGGGTGCCGCATGGCCAGTGGTCCATGGAGGTCAGCGTCGTAATTAATAAGTCGAGTCGGAAGCGGAAGGCCTGCAAACTTTGAGTGTGTACCAGTACCCTGTTGGTAACATGAAAGATAGAGAGCTGATTAGTTCGGAATCATGTAACAGGTCACATGCACACATCACTCACCGCCAAAATAAAGAATATTCCCACGGGTGTCCGTCTATAAACTTTAAAAGGTCTGTCTAGGGCAGACTACTTATATTGGTCTGGGTTTTTGGCATTACTTAGTGGATGTATACACCGCGCAGCGTGGGCCCTCAAGCTGGACACTGAAGGCGCGAATTGGAACTGGGACCGATCAGTTGATTGCTCTCGGCCTCGTAAACGCTAGTAACTCTACTCAACCGCATTTCACGTCGTTCAACGCTACAGCAGGTATCTATAACCTTTAGTAAGATTCAGCTCGCGCTCTTCCTCACCAGCAGCTTCATTCAATCGCTTAAGATGCCGCCTAAACACCCAGCACAATGAGATGCATGAGCTGGCTAGCATAATGCAAATTAAGTATGACTTTGTATATGTCGGGCCCCAGCTGGATGGCCAGATGTACCTGGTGTTGTATGATATGTCATTAATGGTGACATACGAGAGATAATAGAAAGGGACTGACGGGGCTAAAGTGTTCCCTGATGTTCCAATGCAGTTCAAGAACCCGATCGCAATTGCTCGCTTAGAACTGGAACGAGCGAATGTGTTACTGATCCACGTTAGCAAGATAACATTTGAGACCTGTGCTTGAGCCATGAAAAAACTGTTTGAATAATAAGAGACGGCGAGATGAGTGATACAGGAAATATGACTGACAGTGAGATGTAGCGAACGGTGATATTCATCGTGGACATAGCCAGAACATATCCAGTGATTAGCATCAACAACGCAAAGACCATGTGCCCAAAGCGTTCACGCGTCGCGTCAGAGTGACTTGAAAAACATGAGTCTTCACCGGTAAGTTGAAATTTTAGTAGGCCTACCGTGCGACAGCAACTGCGATAATTGTGCTCATGATCCATGGCGGTGTGCACAGCAGGAGACTGATGGTAGGCGAATACCCCATTGTGGCCGCCAAGGTCGGAAAGAACATATTAAAGGACAGAGATGCATTACAGCAAGATAATGCCGTACCAACCAACCACGCTCTCCAATCTGTCATCAATGCAAGTACATCGGAAAAGCCGCCGGATGACGCAGGCTCAGCGGTACCATGACCTTCTAATTCCTCCTCCATTCGCTTTCGAGCAAGAGCATGCTCTGCAGGAGTGAGCCAACGCGCAGGGCCGGAAGGAAAGTCAGGAAGTATGAACATCCCACAGATGCCGACCAAGACTGTTAAATAGCCCTCTATGAAAAACAGCCACCTGAAAGCAGTTAAAATCCGTGCCAAACATTGGCTGGGAAAAGATGTGTTTCACACCTCCAGGCCGCATAACCGAGACACCCCTCCATGGTTGCCAGAATTCCGGAGGCCAGCAGTGAACCAAAAGCATTGCTAATTCCAATTCCTGCGGTGAAGAACGCAGTCCTGTACCCAAGCTCTTCTCGCTTATACCTGCAGCTCGTTTAGCAAGCTAGTCTGTCGTGTGAAGTGATCTGCGGGAAGTACCATCTTGAAAGCAGATAGACAGCGCCAGGATAGAAGGTGGCCTCTAAGAATCCTACCAGAAAGCGTGAAGAAAGTGCTTGGTAGTAGCTGTAAAAATGTATATCAGCGTTTCAATCGTGCACCATTATTACAATACACCAACTTCGTGGATATCCCTGTGAGTTGCCGTTCATTTTAAATTCGCCATAACAAACATAAGTAAGACAATAAAACGCACCAATGAGAGTGGTCAGGAGACCCCATAGCGACATACAGCTTGATAGATACAGCGATGGTTTTGCTATGCGACTAAGAATCAAGTTTCTGTCACCATGGTTTAACTTTCAGAGGGAAGTATTAAAAGCTCGAATTGCTTACGATGGTGTTTGCATGAACACATAGCCGATGTATAGACTGCTGATCAACGTATTGAACTGCGTACCCTTCATGCCGAGGTCTTCCTCGAAACCACGAAGCCTTGCGGCGCTGCGGGTGAAAATGGATATTAGCCAGAAACATAGGTATTCCTTTCAGAACATCTTACGCAGCGTTATTTCGATCCATCTGATAGTTGTAGGAATTAATACAGAGACGGAGAACGGACGAGACAAGTTACTGATGCCTTACGCACCTGGTTTAAGATGTAGATAAGAACAAGATACGCTGTTCTGAAATCTAGCTTTCGTAGAAGATTTCGTTCTACAACCTTCCTGGAAATGGACTCCGGGTCATCATTGCTGTTCAAGGATGCGCTGTAGGCAGACTGTGTAGATTCGCCGACCTCTAAATGCAGCAGCGGGCTGTTTTCACTGGGAGAGGACATGGATATTCAGAGGTTTGCAGCCTCGTGCAGCGATGACACAAGTAGCGTTATTTCTCATTTGCCTCTAGCTCTGAAAGTTTCATTTTTAGCTGGCATTGCCCTAAGATAAGCCTGAGTAAGCCAGGTGTGTACACACGCCCGGTGAGAACGCATGTCGTAGTTTCTGATTAATATTGGCCATTGCTGACGATAGACTTGGTAAGGTGGGATGTTCGATTGGAGGTAGTATTGAAAAGCGCGTCGTACTACCATCGCTGGCCGTATTATTAATATTAATATTGTGTTTGTAATATTCGGTTATCAGTAGAACTTCGACTTATCAACTATGTACGTAATCGACCCCGAGAGTGGATTTGTCCCGTTCTCCGTGAGATCTAAATTTGGTGCCTCCACTGCCAGCTCCGCTCGTCCTCATGAGCCACAATTTGAATTTCACGACAACCGTTCTACGCGCAAGAGATGGGTCATCTGATCCTGTATCCACGACAAGTGCTGATAAGTGACGCCTAACATGCTGAAGCCAATCGCCAGCTGCACCAGCCTAGCAATCTTGCGGCTCACACAGATATCATCTATCCACAAGAATGGAGTCAGGTTGGCCTCTTTACACTCTACGCCCGCAATCCAAAGAGAGGGCTTGGGAGATTTGGCATTAACAGACCGGGTTGCGATTGTCACCGGAGGTAACCGTGGTCTTGGACTCGAGGCCGCGTTGGCGTTTTCTGCGGCTGGTTCGCGTGCAGTGTATTGTTTAGATCTCCCGGAGAAGCCAGGTGAAGATTGGAACGTCGCTCACCAGAGCTTAGCAAAACTTGGGGGTGCAGGAAGACTTGAATATGTGACTACTGACGTTCGCGATCAGAAAAGGCTGCTCAAAACGGTAGAAGAAATTGCAACAAAGGAGGGGAGGATGGATATTTGCGTCGCAGCAGCGGGCATTGTTGGAGCCATGCGGCCTTGCTTGGAGTATACAGATGAAGAGCTCGAAGAGGTGTGTCGACATTCTGTAGTTGACCACAAGAACATAGCCTAACTCTGTGAGAGGTTTATGCTGTAAACATCAAAGGAGTGTTCTTTAGTGCTCAGGCTGCTGCAAAGCAAATGTCTCGGTTCCAGATACCGGGAAGCATCATCCTCCTGGCCTCCATCGCTGGTAGTGTTGCTCTAAAGGTAACAATAGTTCAGCTCTTCTCGCTTACATACCCTTGACTACACTCGCAGCACACGTCAGTACTTCCATATAATACTAGCAAGGCTGCAGTGATACAGATGGCCCGCGTCATGGCATGTGAACTTGCACAAAAGAACATCAGGGTGAATTCGCTGTCACCAGGTTTTATTGAGACACCGTACGATCTATTTTATGTTTCAAAATGCTCTGACGTATAAGTTTGCAGCATGATGACAGCGGCATTTTCTGCAAAACCGGAATTCCGAGCTATATGGTCAGAGCAAAGCTTCATGAATAGACTTGGCAAGCCTCACGAACTGCGTGGAATTATGACATGGCTGGCATCCGACGCATCGAGCTTTTGCACGGGAAGCAAGTGCGTAGAATATTTGGTTCGAGATGTGAACCTTGACGTGACTATTTTCTAGCATCGTTGTCGACGGTGGATATACCGCATGGTAGAGCCGATTTGAGTCCTGAATTGATTCTACTCGTGTATTTGTACACCGACAGAGTTTGCGCAGAGTCGTATAAACTATGAAAGCACTGTCAAGTACTGTTATTCTACCTTATCTTCTAGGTTTCTCCACATTGATTTACATAAGTGTGGAGTTGATCTACGTTGACTTGAACCTTGAGGTTGAGCTTGAACGTTTGAACCTCTAGACTCGTACACTTGTAGTCTAACCAACTCTCGTCTCCCCTTTGCAACACCCATGCTAGCTTTTCTGATTTCCCGACACAAGTGTGTTTTGTAGACCTTGTTATTATATAACTGTGCAGCCGTTGGTCATGACACCGAGTGCGCATTAATCCTGCCATCAGGAAATACTTGGATACTATTGTATCGTGTATTATATACGCCTTCAACGGACAAGAGTTTAAGGGAAGCAGCACTTTGATCAAGGTTTGAACTACTCCGAATGGTTACACTGACTCCAAATCTTGGACATCGACGTCCGATGCTTCCATTAAAATTCTTTACTGTGTATATAATAGCTTGCAGGTGGTAAGTGAGCTCAAAATATCCTATGTCATAAACAGTAAGTCAGAAACCGAAGAGGCAGAAGAAAAGCGAAGACGAATATCAGCGTTATCTAACGTCTACCTCTTCTCCACTGCTAACAGGAGGATGTACGTCAGCAACTTCGCTCTGTTGCTGGTCCTGCAGATGTAGCGCGATTTTTTCTGCAAGGCCATCTTTCTCATTAAAGCTCTCGGGTTCTCCATCTCTATCTCCATCCTCATCATCATCCGCCTCTTCTATGATGGCACCTTGTTCTCGGAACACGAGGTAGGAGCCCTCAAATACCTGCGAAAGTACGATCAGGACTGAGCGAGGCTTTGTAGGGGGTGAAAACTCTGACCTTGGAGTTTTGTGCAGCACAGATTGCCTTGATTATCTGACCCTCATGCTTGGCGTGGAGTGTACGTCGGAATGTGTGAGTCAGGAAAGGAGAAAGTGAACTGAGTGGCCAGTCTGGCGGTACGAGGGGAATGACCTGTAAATGTTATGAGACATCGTAACGACCAGGTAGTGCACATTGAGTTCGTGTATGTAAGAAGGAATGCACTCACATCAACAGCGTCTAAACTCGCGGCCTGTGAGCTCAGTAGTCTTGCTGGTTTGCTGGGGCTCCCTGCGAAACAATCATATGTGCCAAGACTAGGACTCGTGGGGTTATAAACGTACCCGTCTTCCATGTAAACTTCCAAAAGCATTCTCACCAACTCTCCCTTCCCCTCTGAACTCTTCTCCCTCTCCAAAATTCCAGGACCACCCTTAGCTGCGAACAGCGCGCCCCATTCACCCATTCCGCAAGCTTCGACAGCTTTTGAAGGAACGACAATGCCCCCCGTCCGAGCGTATGTCTCTGCCGAGACGGGATCTCGTAGCGTGAGGGCCAGTGCGCGGAGGGCCATCCTGTGCATGCCCATCTGGAAAGTAACTTAGAAGACACGAAACATTGCGCATTAAAAAATACTGACTTTGCCGTCAAGTAACGCCACTTCCAAGCCAAGGACTTTGCCGAAGCCGCTAGCAACAATTTGTGACTTGACCATTTCAGCGTTATATCCCGATAAAGCCTGCAGAGCAAACAGGGCTTTGAGCCGTACGTGTTTCGATGGAGAGTTGGGTGTTGTCGATACAAAATAGGTAAGGAAGGATGATTGTGGACGTTGAAGCTGCGTGGATGGAGGGGAGAGCGCATGTTTTTGTGAAGATTGCGAGGTGTAAGAAGCAACTATTATGTATGCACTGGGTTGAAAATTTGTGCAACTAGCGTGAAATTTAACACACATTTGGCGCGCCAGAGCTTCAGAGTGCTTTCGTCTTGCAGGCACTCGAGCAGCTCGTCGACACATGCTTGCACGAGCTGTGCGTGGAGTTCCGCGTCCTTTCAAAAAGATCTACAGTAAGCTTCGATCATGAATGTAGCAACAACGAAATGTGCAACATACATCTCGCCTCCTCACAATGACTAGCCACTCCAAGAATTTCCTTGCTGCACTGGGATGTAATTGTTGCAACTCGGAAAGAACGCTGAGATCCTCCTCTCGGTCTTTTGTGGATCTCTTGGTCGACATGAGAAGCTACACCATAGCGCGATCAGTTGCGCACAGTTACTGCTGTCTCATGCTTACCATAAGCCCTCGCTCCCAATCTCGTGCTGTTAGCCATACTCCCCACTTTCGAAGCATTGCCCTGTCTTTTCCTTGTTTTGATTCTAGCAAGGCAAACATATTACTCAGGGGATCCGACACGGAAGAATCACTATATCGTCCCTCAACCAACCTAAAGTGAGCATCAGCATTATCAATCTCTGCTGAATAATGAAAGGCAGGGTCAAAACAGTACCCACCCCTTCCAAATCTCCATCACTCGTCCTTCGTCACCTCTGGCCCTGAGTAATGTACATAGAGCACCTACTTCTCCAGCTTCGAGGAGTACAGGTTCCACAGCTGAAAGGCTAGCAGAATTCGTGCTTTCAAGGTGAGAGATGAGAGACGTGGTGTCACCCGATCGTGCGAATAATATAGCGAGGGCTGTATCCGTCACCTGGAAATTCCTTTAGAATCATATAACTCAAACATAAAATCGCGTAATAACCTCCTGCTGCTTGTATTCTCCTTGTCCCTTGAAGCCTTGGAGAACAGACTTGATCATCACTATGGCTTCGTCCCGAAGAATCTTGTGGATTTCCTGGGCGGCAGGTGCCTCACGAGTGGAGGGCGGGAGGTAAGGGGAGTAATTCCTGACTAAGTTTGCGGCAACTGTCAGTTCCGCCCAGACGGGGGAGAGGGGTGGGTGAGTCGGGTGCCGGGGTGTCGGAAAGAGGTAGGGGGCATGGTCGAGAAGAGAAGGATGGGAAGGGGAATTTGATAGATTTAAATACTCACTGAGATCATCAACGCTTGCCTCTATGGGCATTCGCTTTGCAATACCGTCGTACATGTCCGCTTCTTCACCATCAGTGAACAATGGCCGTGATAACTCGGGGAAGTAGGATACAAGGATACGGGGATCGAGCGCGCCTGCGAGAAAGTGTGGGGCTGCATCCACGAAACGTGTTTGAGAGAACAGAGTAAACGCAATAATTTGGTGTATGTATTCCAGTGTTTCCACCTTTTGGACTGGTCAATATTCATCTGACAAGTAGATGAAGCAATAGCACCTCGTCAGAATCTAATGCCTGACCAGAAGCGAAGTTATTTGCGAGGTCGGTGGCATCCTCGATTTGGTTGTTTTCGAGCAGTGCTTCAACTTGAGCAATGACAGTTGATTGAACCAGCGAATGAATAGTGTCCTGTCCGTAAACCAAAATGGAAGAACGAGGGAAAGAACTATGGCGCATCCTGACAGACTTGCCAGTGCGTTCAAATACTGACGAGCTTTCAGTTCCTCAGTTTCAAAAAAGTTAATAGTCGAGTGCGGTCGATATCCAAGATGAAGCCGTCCTGGCAAGCTTATGGTTAGAATTATCTGTTGCTACTTAAAGCGTGATATACTATTGCTGTAGCATAACTGATTAGTAAGCACTTTACAGCAGGGCAAACTTCTTGGGGCAAACCAAAGTATCCATCGACCTAGTAAGCTCGCTGCCATGCTTGACGAAGGCACAATGAACTGGGATGCGCTGCGAGCTCAGAGCCTCCGTCCTGGTGGATTCGGAAAGGAAAGAACACGTGTCTGGTGCGCGGACTCGCTGCAACTGTTTACTAGTTTTCGCCGCGAGCTGCTTAACTTATCATATGCTCACAGGCCTGCCCTTCTCGGAGTCCGCGTTCCGTCAGAACCCCCTCCATATGCAGAGGTGTCTCCGGAACCTTCTACAAACGATCCGCCCCATCCCGAGGAGCGTCAAGTACGTTTGGACACCGACCGGAGCTTTGTGATGTATCCCGTAGGCAATGTATCTCATGGCTGCTTTTTTACGAGTATTCGAACATGTTACAGGCAGACGACGACGACGAAAGTCGCCGAACTGTATTGCAGGCTTCTCTCAACAGTTTAATCGTTTCCCTCCTCCGAAAGCGTCGGAAGTTGCACTATTTCCAAGGATACCATGACATTGTCACTGTTATTTTACTAACTCTTCCACCAGAGCTTCAGCTCCCTTGTGTAGAAAAGCTTTCCCTCCATCGAGTGAGGGACTCTATGGGACCCACGTTAGAGCCTGTATTGGGACTTCTCCGGATCACGCGTAATCTTCTGCGTATAATCGACCCTAAGTATGCAATGCTGCTTGAGAGGTACCTTAACGCATTTCGTGCCCTGTCACGTTTTGTTCATTAATGCATTATACATTGCTCCATAGCATTGGACCCCTACCGTTCCATGCCCTATCAAACCTTCTCACCCTCTTTTCACACGAGGTACCCACCCTACCCCTTATTCAGCATGTCTGGGATTTTCTACTCTGCCGGGAACCTTTGGCAGTGGTGTGGCTAGCCGTCGCTGTAAGTGCTCTTTTCCACGGCCACTGTTGTGATACCATTCCATGGCAAATATCGTTGTTCGAGCAATTCCATCATTGACTCATAAATCGTGCAGGTCATTCTCGTTCGAAAACCTGATGTTCTTCAATTAGCAGCAGAAGACGAGGATGGCATGATACACTCAATTTTGAATGCTCTGCCTGCACTCAGCGATGATCCCGAAACAGAAAATGCCGTTCCCTCCGATCAACATACCCGATCAGGATCACTAGATGAGGAAGATACAGTTACCTTCAACACGGAGGAGGCGACGCGGCTCTCAGATACACCCGACGAAAACATAAGCAACGAGCTTTCTATAGGACAACCTCAAATGATCGAACAGAAACCAGTCCCCTGTTTGACAGAGAATGGAGCGTTCACAAATATCACCGGTGATCAAGTCGTACGCGGAGAGAGCAATTTGGCTACTGATGCCGGCCACTCTGCTGAGAATTGGGCCATCCAACCATCGGATGATTCACGCCCCGCGTTATTCTCAGCTCAACCTCAGGAAACCGAGGAATGTCCGGCCATAATTTCTTCAGAGACTCTCATCGATAATACTGCCAAAACCCCACCGTTCCTTTCTAGGCCGACATCCCCTACGTCGTCACGTATATCGCGTTCTAGTTTCCGCACTGCCTCCCGTTCGCCCTCATCACCCCCTCAAAAATTCTGCCGGCCTCCAATCTCACTTCCGTCCCTGCTAACACACGCCGCACAGCTCCTTGAGGCTTATCCTCCCACCCTTCCCGAGCTGCGTGTTAAGGACATACTTGGGCCCAAGAGCGTTATGCACACGTGGAAACCTCCCCAAGATAGTTTCTCCACACAATGCGGCAATGAACTTGATGACGAGGCAGAGAGCTGGGTTGGGAGCCCTGACGTTGTTGTCCCGTTTATGGAAGATGAGGATATTGAAAGCGAAAATGAGCGAAAGACAAAGTCACGCACAGGCCCCGTGACAAGGCACCGGAGACTCGTTCTCCTTCACCGCCTGCGTCTTCGGCTCGGACTGCTTACCCCTACAGAAAAACGAATACTTTTGCTAGGTGCGGTAGCGGCAGTTGGCTTTGCCGTTGCCTTTCGGCAGAACAAGGGCTTTTTAGACACGAGGAAAGGGTGGATAACATGGGCATGGGCATGGGCATTCAGCGGTGGAATTCGGTTTAGAACTGTAGAATGAATCACACCATAAGTAAGTGCCAGTACTACTTCAGAACTACTTCAACACTAATCAGTCTTCCTAAGAATATCTGTGCATCGTATCACATATAATCACTGGACAACTTGGCATTTTTATGGAACACTTACCTAGTCTTCAAATGTCAGGAACCTCGATCACAGGCGTAGCATTCTGATCAACTCGCGCGGGAAGTTTTTATTTTGGATAGATTTTATGATTACGGACAAGTTTTACTGCTGGCGATGCTGCAACAGTTCAGGATTCCATTTCGATTGTGGCGTTGTGACTGTGATCACGAAGTCTCCCTTCCACAAAAACTCGATCGAACATGATTCTGGCATACCGAAGCCGTTCCTTCACACGTTTTCGCAATCACTAACAGTTGGTGCACTGAAAACTGGTGTCTTATCGACAGGAAGTTGAGGTGATATCTAATACCATCAGAACGTTGACAACACATCTTTTAGCTATGCCGGTTACCGAGTATGGATAAATCAACATCGAGTGAATTCGATCTCCTGCACTGCCTGCTCTATAAGGTCCACTGATCCGTGGTACGAGACGATCAGGTCAGTGTTTGTAGCTAAGCTTTGGATTATCATGGATGCAAAACAATCACGCGACTCGGCATGCTCGTATCCTGGGATAATCTCGTTGTCGATGCCGCAGTAACTGTACGTCGACCTGCCGTTGATGGCGGCATGAGATATTGATCTATGCAGTTGAAATCCTAGCGAACAAACAGTCAGGAAGTGTGTTTATAAATTTAAACAGCCGCGGAGAACTCGCGATGCATAATATCAAAATATCTATCTAGCTATCTATCTACATGGATTAGTCATGCTGTGTTGTTGCGTTCTGTCTTCTCTTCACCACTCTTTCGGTCATTGTTGTAGAGCCGACCGAAGGGGATTTTAGAGGTGAAGAGGAGACAGAACGCAACAATACCATGACGTGGTAGACGCAATAACACCCGATACCGGCGGTATCTCGTGCTTAATACATGTAGACAGATTATTGCCACTGCGTGGCTAGCGCTCATCATTTGAGATTCATCGATATCTTCTATATACGGAAATATGTAGTTAGGCCATCGTTCATCTTGTCCTTCGAAAACAGGATATGCGAGCAGTTGAAGTATGAAACACTCGCATGGTTGTAAACTCAAAGCGCATGCGAGGCCGGGTGGCTCGGGATTATGTTTAGTCCCCCTTGAAGGTGTGTGACAGATGTGAGAAGCAATAGCCTGAGCTTTCAGTAAGTAAGTGCTCGGCGCCGAACTCAGACTCATCCGAAGGACCGAAGAGTCCCAGTCCGAAAGCTAAACGTCACAAGGTTTGCATTGTTTTGTTTTAAGTCAAACTTTGACATAGCATTAGCGCTTGAAATGTTACAAGGTTGGAAGGGGGTCCCTTTTGAGCAGACATGTTGTGCATGAGTAAGAAAACCCTCGTCATCTGTTCCCGAGTGGCTTCCTGTGGTGTTCGCCCTGAAGTAGGAGAGGCCTTACATACTAGTATCAAAAAGACGAGCTTACTGCGGAGAAAGAATCCAAATGCCAAGGGGGGTTTTCAATCACCCCCGTGTTGGCTCATTCTACAGTGAGCTCAACTAGCAGTGGAAGACAATTGGTAACCTGCTGGAGTCCCGCCGTTCAAAAATGCTCAAAGTGGCGCCAGTGAGGAATTCACTATTGACATCTTCAAATTTAGCTAGATCTGCATTGCCCATCCATAATACAATTGGAGAAAGATTTTGCAAGCAAGTGTCGCTTTATAGCATCAAATTAGTCGGTGTACAGTCGCTGGATAAAGGCTTACCTCAGGATCATCGGTCCCGCACGTGCTCAATTGATATCTTTAAGTCCTGTACAGACCCCGGAGCACGCGGAGTAGTAAGTACATGCAGCTGGAGTCGAGTTACGGATTTAGCTGAAAGTTCCAAAGTAAAATAGTAGGTACACTGGTTTCGAGTAATTTGCAATTGTAAATATCGATCGGACTTTGAAATGAAGCACGGCAAATCGGCAAATCAGATTGTCTCAGTCATTGTTACTTCCATCAAGTACGAGTTTACAACTGTTTACAACCTTGGCGGACCGATCATCGATCGTCATCGGAGCTGTTATCCTGTTTCCATATAAATCCAGATAGACTCATCGCTTTAGATCGATCATCGATCAGCTTGACCCGCGAGTCATAGCATGGTGTCGCTCTCTCTTGCAAGCACGTTCAGGACAAGGAGCCTTGTTATGTTTGTAGCGTTAATGTAAGGAGTGCTGCCCTGATCGCATACACGGTAATAGGTACGCTGCTCGTTTGATACTGTTGTGAGAACACTGGCTCACAATCAACCCACAGTAGCTTCAGTAGCAGGCTTAATGTTTTATGTCAAAAACCGTAAAGGTGGCATAGATGTGATAATATGTAGTAGTTGGAAAGTGATTTATGGCATACAAATGGCGCATCAGGACCAAATTAAACCAGCGGTAAGTGATCGATCGATCCATACCTGTAGTCCCGTTATCTACGGGTCATTGATAACTAGAACAAAGAGCACGTACCCGGCCGCCTAAAAGCGATTCTTGAACACAGGCCATCAACAAGTACATGTGCTGTGCCGTGAACTCCGAACCCGGAGGGATAACTACTTGCGGTCCGAGTCGCTGGTAGATTCGGACTCACACCAGCTGATAATCACAGCATCACTTGGCTCGATGGCAATCATGTTTTTTTCTAGATCCAGATTGAAAAAGCACGTAGCCTTGAACCCGCGAGCGGTCTGATAGCGTGTCCAAGTAGCAACTGGGTTCTTGTGCTCAATCCCTGTGCATTGTAGCAGGAAGGTGCACAGACATCCTGTCAACGTGGAGTATAGCACGATATTCGCTTTGGGAGTCGCGTACAATATCGTCGAAGGAGACGATCCTGACAAAAGACAACGGGCAACGTTGAACAGTCCGCACTCGTGGAGACGACAATGGATAAATAGGCTGCACAGAACCCACTCAGAACCCACAGCACACCCAACATACTTTCAAGATGTCCTTCAACGCAAACTACCCCGAGACGCCCCAGAGCAAGGCAGACTTGCAGCGCATATACAGAGAGAAGGAGGGAGAGGGATTCGCGGAGCTTCAGCAAGCAATTCGTGAAGTGACAGATGGGAAGGTTGACCTGGCGAAGCGTCATGAAACACTGACGAAAGGCATGCCGGTCTATTCTGTTGATAATCAATTGCCTAACACACACTCCAGCCGCACAGAAAATCAGGGAGCTCAATCGTCAGAATGAAGAGTTGCGCAGACAGCTCAACAGAGCACCTGATTCGTCGCGGGGACCGCAAGGTGCATTAAATGACTGTTGGACTCTCTCTAATGCTAAACAGCACACAGGTGGTCAGACGCATGGGACATGGCCCGGGGGAACTACCGCTATCCCCTACGCCACTCAGCCTGGTTTCGGTGCTATGGGAAATAACTTTGGCACTGCGCAGTATCCCGCTCAATATTACCCGGGCAATGCTGCGTCAAATACAAACTTCTCGCGAGGGTATCCTGGACAAGGCAGGGGCATTTAAGCGACTGCGATATATCAGTGTCACGCGGCGGGAGCAAGATGGAATAATATATATCTCATTATTGATTATACATTAATCCCTAATAATTCTTCTTGTGCTTTTTGGAGAATAGTTGAATCTGATTCCTTCTTTTGAACTAACAAGAATGCCACTAAGGATCTGCTTGGGTGACAGAACAATTAATTCCACGCATTCTTGAGACAAATCGTCTTTGCCTCCGTCTTGCAGGTGAAATTGTCATACATCTATTTTATTTTATTTTAAAATCCAGTTTTTTGTCCATTGAGAGTGATACTATATGTAGGACAGTACTATCTAGTCTTGGAGCCCCGTGCTCCATGCTCTCCTTTAGATTCCCAAATGCACTGGGGTAGGGCGTACACCCACCAGTCCGCCGTTCCCCCCGGCCGTTACATCTGTTTTAGAGGCTAAGCACGCTATTGAAATTTCCACTGCTATCATCTGAGTCGATAACGACCCGCTTGATTGCCTATCGATAAGTGCAATAGTAGTGATCTTACGAAGGCACTAAAATAAGGCTGCATGGAGCGTTGGTGTTATTATATTTGGACGAAGATAAAAGATTGAACATTGAACATTGACAGTGTCATCATTACCGAGGACAAGTCCGATTGAGGCTCGTGGGTTCTATTCACCACCGAGCGACATGGAAGGAACAGTGAGGATGGTGTGTTTGTCTTCCGTTCAGGGCTTGATCGATAATGGCACCGACGAGACTATGTGCACACTATTGTCTTCCATGGATACCATATTTCATTGTGGGGAACTTCAATGAACTTAAACTAGATGGCCTGTGTAAGAGCAATCTTACGTATGACGTGCACAACTGTGTTATCGGTGACAGACAGATGGCAGAAGTTAAAATGCGATATGTCATTGATGGTGAACCCGCTCCCCTTGGGCATCGGATGTGTTGGATGCTTTAAACAGATACCACTCGTGGATCCATTGTATTGCGGTAAGGTCCGTAAGGGTTGCTGAGAAGTTATATGAATACATGCGTGACTTGCCAAGGGCCAGGGTTCAGTAACTTCAGTTTTACTGGTTGAACGCCTGCAATGGAGGCGGGGAATATACATTATGCCGAGAGGAATCACTATGCGCATAGCCTCGTGCGGGTAGTCACGGACCTGAAGGTATTGACGCGCAACCCACTGCTAAGGACCCAATGAAATTAGGTTGACTCTGAGATCGTCATATTCCGGATCACCTTTCGGACCCGACATATCCGGATGAAATTTGCTTCAATGAGCGCACTACTTAATTTGTTTTGCAGAGTATCGAGGAGAGACCTGAAGAAACTGTATGCTACACCACCGTGACATTAGAAGCATCGAGGCGGAGAGAAGCGTTCAGATGACAAACTGAGTAATAAACCAACCATCACCGTCGAGGCACCCGACACATCACACCCCTGTACTGGGTATAGTCGTCCCTGAGCTAAGCACGGTCCTGTGCTCTACGAGTGATCCGATACGATGATCGATTCGGAACAATGAAAACAACGCAACCATGTGGCATTCAGGCAAAATTCATTAGGTCGAGGAGCCCGAAGTACAACCGATGTCATCCTCGTGAGATTCCACAGCCACGAGCGTCTTGGTGTCTAAATTGCATGTTGTGCTCGCCCTACGTCGCGACATGTCCGAAGAGGAGGAAAATCTCAGTGCTGTGTTTGTCACGTTCATGCAGAAGAAAGGTTGCGAGGGTAATGTGAGTATTTAAGAGGTTTTACATATGACTCACCACGACGTACTCCTCCGTCGAGAAAGCGCGCCCTAAATCCTCGTTCTCTCCAAATTCGGAAACTTTCGACATGATGCAAGACGACACCACAGGGCGTGCATACAAGCAGAGCAAGTCCACGCAGCAAAAGCAATACAGAGATAGGGAGGTCGATAGCTTTGCCGACCTTCGCGAAGCCATTCGCGAAATGACAGACAATCAGGAAACCCCCAAGACCAAATATGATACACTATCGAAAGGTGAGTATATCAGAGTAAAAAAATGAGCTACTGGAGAATTCAACGCGTGGCTAGCTGCACAATATATCAGGCAGCTTAGCCTGATGAATCAAAAGCTGCAACGGCAACTTCACACGCTGAGATCATCACGAATGAACGAGGAGGGCAGTATGATGACACAAAGTAGGTGTCAATTTCTGCAGGTCTGGCCGCAATTATCTGATAAACAGACCCTACAGCGCAGGCACCTGCCACGTCTTTGGGCTGGAACGCTGATATCAAGTCGGTTGGCACACACCGGACGACACAAATCGTATCGCAAAGCACACTGCACGATTTTTACATCGGCATGAGCTCGGGGGTGTACGATGCTGCGATGCTGGAGGGTGCGCAGGACCAGACGAGCATAGTCCCACGATTCAGTAACAACATGAGTCAGATCGACCAGTATACGTCCTTTGGACACCCCTTGAACCAGTCTCGCATCCCCTATGATAGATATTCATACTAGAGACAAAAGTATGTGTACAGAACTTACCGAGTTTCCTATAATGACGGCACGGTTGTACCAGTAATGGATGGGTGGTTATAACTGATGTACTTAATACTGTATAAAATGCATTCAACTTGAATGTGGGTGTTTCAAATGGCGACATCATATGCATCCACGCACTTTACATGACACACTAAATGTTCGGCTCGGAAAATACACCTGTACCGGTACCCGGTATCGGTAGTACTGAAGACCGAGCTTTTGTATAAGGTAAATAAACTTGGTGAAGGCAGCTCGGGTCCCGGGGAAGTTGAGCGGAGTTTAAAACGACGCCGCCGGCAATTCTAGGAACCGGAAGAATCCGACGAAGGTACTGTTCGAGTATACACATATATGGGATGGGCTAGAACTTAGGCTAGCGCATTATCAGTGTACGTGTGCCCAACTCTAATTAATATTGGTAGATGCATGATTATGTACGTAGCATGGTTCCTCTAGCAGATTGACGAAGATTTTCTTCGATCACTCAGATCGATGATCATAAGAATAGCGAGACAAGCCGGCGGCCTGCGACTGTATAGGGTTAAGCGCGTCAGTACTTTTCCCATGATGCAGCACCTGTAGGGTGTCCAGAATTCGACGATTCAGTCATTCATGGTTCTGGTAGGTACCGTTATCAGTCGGATCTTACTCGAATCTTACTCGGTTCCTTCAAACACTGAGCCAACAAAGTCCGGGCGCCTGACAATATTCGTAATGAAAAACCCCTAGATTGAGTCTACATGTTCGCTTCAATGTGCAGCCGCATCACTGAGCGATAAGATGCATTCCGTATATCCCCGCCACTCGCATGCTTGCTCCTCCTTTTGTTATTTTGTTTCCTTTGTTGACATCTTTCCTTATTTACTGCTTTTCATTCAAGTTGATACTTCGTACTGTTTTCATCACCACTCTCGTTGCTGACGTCACGACGTGGCGCCGTTGACGTGGTAGTTAAATCTTCGGATGTGTTTTTTGTATATCGATGAATAGAATGTGACGGACGGATAGTTTTATTCAAGGGCACATTGCCACACAACCGCAGAGCCTGCTTGTAATATCCGTAAAATTAGTCAGTGCTTGTTGTAGGTTGAGTTGACCGAGGTTTGGGTGACGCCACGTATCATGTTAACATATATATGAAGGCCAGCATAATATATTGTCTTAAAAGTGGATAATCTAAGTACTTGTACAGTATACTGCGGTCACAGACATGGCTCCGCTACTCTAGTGTCTGGTCCGATAAGGCTAGGTCGCTGTTGAATCGATCTTACGCTAATTTCTCGCGGTGATTAGGAAGCGGAGTCCCCCCAGCTCCGAGATCTGGGGTACTCGAACAGGGTTTTATTGCGAACCTAGCGAACCGAGAGATAGAAGTGGTACATAACACGGCAGCATAAGGCTAAAGTAGATGCGAGAGGACCACTAGTGTGCGACGTGCAGAAACGGAATACGTCAGTTAGACACTTATACCCAGATAGAAAGGGACCTGACGCTGAAGTTAAAATTTTCGACCAGCGTGACGAATCGATTCGAAAGAAGTTTAACCCCGATGAAAAAATGAATGACGTGAATATGATCATGATCATGATAGTATTGGGTTAGCTACCGGCGAATGTTCGCAGCGGAGCGGCCCGCATCTCAACCTGCTCTCGGCATTGTTAATGAAGGAAAGCTAACATACTAAAAATACGAGAAAGAAGTAAGTTAACATGTCGAAAGAGGTCACGAGAAGATCAAACCGAAAAGGTTGAAGTAGTAGAGGAGTGAGGGAAGGAAAGCATGCGAGTAGCGGGTATACACGGATTACAGAGTCTTATCTCTCGGTGATGGTTGCAAACATTAAGTTGAAGCAGACACGTCTGGGAGTTTTTTCATCCGAGTCGTGAATGCCGTGAGGGCGTCCGGAATTTAGTTGGCTCAGGGTTTGAAGTTGTTCGAAGGAACCGAGTAAGATGACTGGTGACTGATGACAGGTACCATGTAATCGTTGATTTACGTGAATTACTTTTGGTAAGAGTGTTTAGAAACGGTATACGCATTTCGAATTCTCAAGCTCAAGTTGAGAATAATATCGAGCAAAGCGCCAGATGGGGTCAGAAGACAAGAGGCAAAAGAACTCATGCGTTCGCCGATTGTTCGAACTGCACACAGACTAATCTATGAAAAGCCCCGAGATTACTTCTGCTTAGTGCGTCCTCGGAAATCACAAACTTGTGAGTGGTGTTGGTGGCGTCGAATAAGGGCTTACGGTACGCAACCTGCCCGGAGTCAGAGAATCTAATGCATGTGATTCATAGTACTCCGTAAGTCGACCCCCGATAGATAGTATCTAACTATCGCAGGTACAAGTTGATGTAAATTATAGTCCTAAACGTACTTATATGTGTTCACTATGGTTATAATACTGGCGACCCGGACTCCAATGAGGATTCACCTGGCCGATGATCTGATCATAGTACGCAGGAGCGGTATCCGTGTTCCCCCGATGACATGTTGGCATCACATAGCTTCATAGCCTGTGCCACTGGTGACACATGAATAAAATTCACTTGGCGGTATGCCTGCGAGCTGGCAGGAGTTGTTTGGTTGCTCGATAAAATATTCGTAAAGCACTGGGGAATATGGGCCCTCCGTACAAGGACCTGCTGGCTGTCAATGACGTGCAGATTGACTGTGGAAAAAACACACTTACTACTAAGTGTTGTCGGGACCCCTCCCACATAACTTGGTGGTATTTCAGAGCCCCGGGTGTGAGGGGCATTATAAAGTTGGTGTTGCAACTTTGTGTTCAACACTGAAAGCTCCCTGATCAGCCGTGCAGCTGAACAACCATACTGTCAGCTAGTTAAATGTTTTCATTCACTATATATACACACCTTTTCGTAGAACATCTTGTCTCGTCTTGGGGTCCAATTCTCCTCCAGTAGCATGACGAATCTCCTTCCGTACCAAGGAAAACCCATCGAGCTCCTTGTTCCTGTACTGTTTTTGCAAAACCGACTTGTTTTGCTTTGGCATTGCTTCAACGAGGTATTCAAGTGGTGGAATCGGAGTAGCTGATATGAAACAGGATGGTACGGTAGGCATGGATCTGGTACTTTCCCTTGTCTTCTTATATCGCGACCACGATTTTACCATCCGATAGGCGCCAGCGGCGGCCCTGAAGGTTAGTTTCCCCTAGTCAGACCAAAAGAGAAGGAAGACAGAAGACAGTCGTTCGTTCTCGTGAAAGGTAGGACTTACGTCCAACTCCTAGCTTAGCGGGACAATAAAACCCTAAAAATCCATCGTTCGAACAGGTGGAAATTATTCAGCGCCTAATCAAGTCGCCGCATGAAGTTCGAGCGGCAAAGGTCGTCGTCCTACTTTCGCTATGGAAGCGATGATTGAAAGGGAAGTTCATTATTTTTGGAGACCGTCGAATCAGTGCGTGTGAGTGCGTGTGGAGCATTACAGTTGCTGAGCTGATGATGATTGCTCACATAACCGGTGCATGACCATACGCCTAAAGCGCTCTAGTAGCGCGCCTTGCACCTTGTGGTGAGGAACAAGCGCCAAATGCATAGCGTACTTATTACTTCCTTCTGAATCGAGTTTGCTAACAGTTAATTATACTTGGAATAATGCCGATAAACTATAACTGGCTGCTACTGCCACACCGTCTGATGCTGCATGGTACCATAATCTCCGTACATCCCGCTCACAAAAGTCATTTCCGACCTATACACCTTCACAAGGAATACAGCAAGAACTCGAATAGCAGAACTGAAATGGGCAGCGCTACTAATGCGCACCTAGTATTGAAGACATGCGCATCTGAGACTGCCGCCATCATTGCAAGACTCGGGAATGCTTCTAGCCACCTTGGTTCACGCAGCGCACGGCATCAGTGAATTCATGAATCATTGAATGCTAAATGTTGTAACCGTGGGAACTACAGAAGGATACAATCTACTTCTGCTAGATAAGATGGCATCATGGGGACTTTATATGTAGCGCTTGACCCCTGCCCTACAGTGCTTACTGGTAGTACCCACGATTGCCCCGGACATTGACGGGGGCAGCCGAGAATAATCTATCATCGTGTCAAGACCCTGGGTTGTCGAAGCAGACAACTTTGCAGCAAGCCAAACGCGGACCATGTCGTGTCACATCGGAATGGAAGTTACTAAGCACAGGTGCCAATCAATTGTATTATGTTCGGTCAGGCCATTGTCCGCCTAGCTTGCTGTAAAGTTATTTGTACTTCCCTGGGAGGCCGGATTTTCCTGTGAAAGCTCTCAAAATAGGAATTGACGCGAGCCTTGGCAGTCAGAAAGCGCGCGACGATTTTTTTTTGTTGATCTGACGGGTCGAAAGCTGTTCAATCCATTGAAATTGATTGTTCGAGTGGCTTCCTATTTCAGAGCTCAAATTCAAGTCTTGAATCATTGATCAAACGTTTCTCCGGAATCATCCTGGCATCATCGGATCAGGGATGGCATTTCCGTGGTACAAGGCCGTATTATCAGGCTTCAAGTCTAGCGCCAATCTAGCGCGCGTATCTAAAACTTGTCTGAAAAGGAAAGCCTGGCTGCCTAGTTATACCGTGACTGTAAAGATTACTTGTTAGTGCTGGAAGAATCTGTCGCCAGACATCGCCACACCATTTAGAGATGTCGGAATCGTTGTCAATGATGGGCTCCATACGCTAGCCGAGTATTGGTGTCTTTCATCTACATGGTCATTGCCCCATTGCCAGTCAGCCAATGGGTGTTGGACTGGGTATAATACTAGGTCAATGGTCCTGTGCTATATCTCGTAAGTGAAGAAACCTGGCAGTTGAAGGTTGCTGTGGTACCGTGGCCTGACTCCAGATGAGGAAATTTATGGAGTTCCTGCAGCATGGTGCTGCGGCGATAAAGGGATCATTAGCTGCAGTAAAGATTTTAACGACGTCACGATCAGGGGGCTAGTTAGCGAAATCGGGTCACCTTGAACAATCGTCTCAAGTCGAGTCTGATGGGTATCTGCGTTTCGAGATATGTCACGAAGTAATTTTTGGAGTTGCACAAGTGCATGCGCTTCCTTTGCTCTGTACTGCTGTTGCAACATAGCTTTGTCCTGGGCTGGGGTTGCACGCTCCAAGTCTGCGGAATAAGATTGAGGATGATGAGATGAGTATATGACTTTCAATGATTCGTAGAATATGTTCACTAAAGGGTTAAATACCTGACATCCTGCGACGGATACATACAAGGAGCGCACAGGATTCTCTTGACAGACCCTTGAAATTAAAGCAATACGACGCAATGTTACTTGTACTTCAGAACGCTAAAACAACGTTGAATTTCTGCTCGCGCACTCACCGTGGCAATCTTGCAATAGAAATTGTAGGTCATAGACCATCGAGAACATCGGTTGCGATGATCATGATGATCGTTCATGATGGGAAACGACGGAATCACATGGGATGAACCTTTAAGTCGGGCAAGATCCAACGTTTGTCTAAGGTTTGTCTAACCCTTCTAAGCCTATTTCTAGATACGTGACTTTAGTTCGCCGCCAGGGACAGCATATTACGCACACACAGCCAGAGTAATGCGAGTAGCCCGGTGACAGCTGTTTATACTGCTTGAACTTTGGGCAGTACTGAAAAGGTTAACCTTCGTAAGGAAGGAATAAACCGCTGACGTGACAAGCCGCGGACCTTGTGCATTGCGGTTCGGAAGGAAGGGATCTACTGTGGCCGGGTAAGCAATGAGTACTGAGTCACCGGGGCCAACCACGACATGGCCATTGACTTCCTGTTTTCACTGCATATATTTGAAAGGTCGTCGTCTGAAAAATTTGAGCCGAACAGTTGGAACTTGGCGTGCTCACTGCTCAGCCAAGTATAATTCTCACGGTGTTCTAAATGCTGAGACTTACTTTGATACTTACGTATCCTCCACAAAATATTCATGGACATCCATAATACTTCCCTAAAATTCCGCTCGATATTATGATAGCCAGGGTCATTTTCTCTCACTCCGCGCAGATTATTAAATTATTAAAAATACTTTGAGGTAAGTAATGCCGGAAATCAGAAATGAAGGATAAGTGACCTGTTTCCTATTCAAGCACGGTACGTCATTTATGGTAAAATATTGGAAAATAAATGTACTAGTCACATGATCTGGCGACGTGTCTACCAGCAAGTAGACTTGGCGATTTAGCACTGGTGTTTTTGGTTTACTGACTACAAGTTGTAGGAGTCAGCAGTAATGCGTTCTGGCGCACTTGTTGTCCTTGGATGTGCACTGCTTGCTTTCAGCGCATCTCCTCCAGTCGGGGTGTCCTTGCGTTCTTCTTTCAGTGCTGCAGATCCATTACTTGAGGCGCTGTAAGTTCGAACTATATACTTGACCCTCTCGTGCAACTAATATCACATATGACTTACCAGAGAAACCCTGGCCCTTGCCTCTCCCGAGCACCTGTTTTCACTCCTGAATCATTTTCCCCTCCTACTGAAACCTGCAACGCCAGAAGAATCACATAACGCCGTGTTAGATCTCGCAAAAAATTACCTTCTGCCTCCGGAGATAGCTGCCGTGAATGTCGGGCTAGCTTTGCATGCTGCAAGTCCGAAGCTTGCTGCACAGCACATATATGAAAGTGGAAGGGAAGGATGCGAGGACTGGGTGGATTGGTATGGAAGTATTGCATGCAATGCAGAAGAACTCAGGCGCCTCGTCGAAATTTCAGTTGCAGCCTCGGACTCCGAGTCCCAACCAAAAATGAAGCGCCTCCAAACAGATCATACGCCACCTCTTCAGCCATCACTTGACGCCCCTAGGTGGACAGCAATACACTACGCTGATCCTATGGTACCTGAATTCAAATCACTACATGACGCACTACTCTCTTTGAATCTTGATGTGGAGTACGTGCTACGCTGGGCCCGACCTGTCATCGTAGCAGATGGACCGTATTTGTCCGGGTTCGGCGTCGCGCTGGACTTGAAGAAGATGGATTACCTCGCTGTGGATGACCGGAAGCGGGCTTCTTCCACCTCTCTTGATGATCCCTCTGGCAAGAGTCAGGAAGGGAATGAAAATGACGTGCTAAGCTGTATTTTCGAAGCCATGTCGTACATTAATACCGAAATGGAGAAGAATGCTACCACAAATAATCCCTTGAGTACGGAGGAGATTCAAGGTAGCTTGACTTTTATCTTTATTATATTACCCAGTGCTCATCTCGTATGGCATAGACCTCGGCCTTAAAGCAACATCTTTCCTTGCTCTCCTTTCTGACCCCGCTTCCTTCCCCCCAGCCATCTCTTCATGCTTATTTGGAGATTCGCTCAACCCGCTGCGTGTATTGCACACATTGTCTGCGAATTTCCCGCACTATGCTGCTCCACTTGCGCGCAAAGTCCGCGTACCCGATACAGTGCGAGACGAAGTGCAAGATAACTGGGGGAAGGCGACGATGGGCGTAAACATGGTGTGGGTCAATGGGAGGGTGCTAGAGGGTGAAGCTGGGATTTTTGGGTGCGTTTTCTGTCTCTAGCATTCTTCTTTATTTGTACTTTCGTTCCGCCTCTTGTGCTACATTGTGAGGTTTGTTCAGTTCTGATCCAAGTTTAGGCTTCTACGCAACTTTGCGCGCGAACGCGCTCTTATTCGCTCACTCGTCGAGCTTGGTTTGTCGCGGTCGCAGACCATAGAGTTTGTCGTGCACCCAGTGCATTCGGGTCCGTTCGATCCACCTCCATCGAAATTGAAAGTCAAGAAAGGCACAACGTTTGGTTCAGCGAAGCGCTTTGCCCAAGAAGTTCTGCGCACAGATACCGAGAACAACGCGGAGGCCGAGTCCTTGGATGAAGGAAAGAGGAGATATGACATTCTTCCAAAGTGGAACGATCTCTTAGACGGCCTCGTCGACTCTTCAGATAGATCAGAGGGGGGCGGCGTTATATTATGGCGGAATGATATCGAGGAGGACACAAGATACGCTGAGTGGGGGACGGACTTGACACAGGTGGGTGTATATACGTTCAGTCGTGGATACTTTGATTGAGACATGCTAACTTGTTTGGTTTGTGTTACATGCATAGCTTCTCCGCATGCATCCGACTCAACTTTTCAGTCCTTACTTGCGTTTGCGGGTCAACATCATTAATGTCGTCCTCGCCCTTGACTTTTCGCAACCGCGGTTCTTTTCTCTCATTGCAAACCAAGTGGATAGTATCGTCGCCCGCGGGTTTCCTGTCAGGTGGGGATTTGTTCCAGTTTCTACCGGCGACGGGGACGGTGCGTGAGGAGACTATTTTTTTCTCAACAATAATATTTATCGTCATACGCGGATAGGCCTTAAGATGGCGAGAATTATATACTATGTTGCACAGAAATTCAGTCGTCCAGAAGTGGCTTCGTTTTTCCGCTCTGTATGTCCTTCACTTTGACCTTATTCTATGTCACTTGATCATTCTTTTCCATAGTTATCCACTACACACATGCAGCAGAACCTCCCTGCTCTGTCTTGGAGTATTGTCCATGCAACTTTCAACTCTCTTGGGACAGCAGATAACTTTGCAGACATAGCTAGCGGGAAGGTGCCCGGCGTTGAAGAAGCTGTTGAGAGCGCAAGGCGGTGGACGAGGAGGCTTGGTGTGAGCGGCAAGGATGGGGAAGGGTTTGTTAATGGAAAGTGGTATGAAGTGGGGGACAATTTTTTGCGAGATTTGCAGAATGAGGCGGTTGCACAGATGCAGTTACTACAGGAACTGGTCAGCGTTTAATCCATATTCCCTCCTGGCCTCGCTATCTAATTGACTATCTCATTCACTTACCCCCTTCCCTTAGATCTACCTCCAAGAACTGACCGGTGCTTCCGTACCACTCATCTCAACATTCTTTTATGACCTCCCTACAACACTCTCCAGCCGGAATCCGTACATTTTCAGCAAAGCGCCCTCTTCAGTGCATGCTCCTTCGTCAAGTACTGGGAATCTCAAAATTTTCGATCTTGGCGATTTGGGTAAGCGCACGGGTTGGAACCCACTCACATGCGCATGGGTGACATCGGGTGAATCCTGGCGTGTTACATATACTGTTTAAGCGATGCTAATTCTGTCCCCCGCTGTCAGATGCCGAAAGGACACCTGTGAGCATGGCTGTCATCGCCAATCTGGATTCGGCGGAGGGGCAAGCACTGATTCAGGAGGCTGTGTCATTTGTTTCTGTGAGTGACCTGTGTCTGCGCGCTTACGTGCTAATACGCGCGTAGAGAAAGGGATCGCAATCACGCATCACATTCCTACACAATCCCTCTACCGGCTCACCTGGCGGTAATGTATCATCTTTCTTTGCACATGTTGGGTCAACAAGCGGCCTTGGGGAGCTCTCTCCGGATGTACTGAAACGAGCGCTTGATAATTTGGAAACGCAAGACGCTACACAGGTATTTACCGCCGAAGGGATTAAGCTCCGATCGGACCAGCAAGCACACACAGCATTTCTGACTACAAGCCGCCTTCTTGCGCGTGAGGCGGGCCTTCGGCCTGGAGAACAAGCCATCATTGTTAATGGCCGGGTACGTTTCTCATTCATGTTTCAGTCCAACGTGGATAATAAAACTTCATGCATAGCTCATCGGTCCTTTCTCTCCTAAATCGGAGTTCGTATCCGAAGACTTTGCGACGTTGGAGACATATGAAATGAAGAAACGAGTTGGACGTGTTGCGCAAGCTATTGAGGAGGTTTTGGCTGACGACACAGAGCTTGATGCGTGGGTGGACTTCATCTGTGCTGCTTTCGGGTTCTGATATTGGATTTTGTGTACACAGGCTTGCATACGCAAACCTGGTTTCGGTGGCATCGTCGATTATATATGCAGATCAACAGCCAGATCCAAGTGAAGCTGGATTGTTTGATAGCGCACCTCGAGCTAGGACTAGTATTTACAGACTCTTATCGGGCAGTTACACGTATGTGTTTCCTCACCTGCATGCAGTCTTGAAGCGGCATGTTGAACGAACTATCCTTTTCCAGGAAATTTGAATTCGGTGATCGAGAGAATGCACTGACCCACCTTGTACTGCTCCTTGATCCCCTGAGTGAAGGAGCACAGAAGTGGATCGCAATCTTGGAGGTAAGCCGTCGTGGGGATTGTAGAATCGTCGAGTTGATGTAGGTGACTGTAGAAACATGAGGAGCTCTTCCCAGAGGTGTACTTTGAACTGTACCTCAATCCAGCTCAACATTCCGAAGTGTGCAAAGCCCCTTCGTACCGCTTGATTAAACTAATCAGATTCACAGATCCCACTCAAACGATTTTACCGATATAGTATCGAGCCTCGCGTGCAATATGACAACAAAGGGTGGGTGGGTCTGTTTTCCTGCTTCTGATGCCACTGAGGAGCAGTCCAGCAACGAGATTCCGGCGCAAGTAACCTTCAATGGCCTGTCCGTAGACCCGATATATACTCTTGGCATGGACGTTCCCCCCTCGTGGCTCGTTCGCCCTCGAGAAGCTCTCTACGACCTCGATAACATTCAGCCGAACACACTTCCACCTGACGGCCTTCTTGCTCTTTTCTCGCTTGACTACCTCGTTGTTGAAGGGCATGCACGGGAGACGAAGTCCAATAGCCCTCCTCGGGGCGTACAGCTGCAACTGACCACTTCATCTCCTGTTGCCAATCATACTCCGTCTGTAGTCGATGACACTCAGGTTGTCGCGAATCTTGGCTACCTGCAGTTCAAAGCTCGCCCAGGAACGTTCAAACTTACTATTCGGGAGGGAGGAGGTCGTGAGGTGTATGATATAGCCAGCGTGGGGAGTGAGGGGTGGAATAGTCCTTCTGTGGAAGATTCTGGAGAGGAACTGACTGTGATGAGCTTTGAAGGGCTAACCCTGTACCCAAGGCTGTCACGGAAGCCGGGCATGGAGAAAGTGGATGTGCTAGCAGGGTTGCAGCAACGGTCAGGCCATTCCCAAACCGTCGTACACGATATCTTGTCCAAGTATGTGGTTCTTTCATTCCTTACTGCTCTTGTTGGTCCTGAGTTCACTTCAGGGTTTCATCTCTTTTCAAATCAAAGAGCACGACCGAAGTCGCAGAGACGGGCGCCAGACAAGCGGACATCAACATATTCACAGTTGCTTCTGGGCTGCTTTATGAGGTGCGCTCCCTTTCCTCGTCTGCAACGCTCGATGCCTCCAACAACTCTCCTTTCAGCGATTCGCTTCCATCATGATTCTTAGCGTCCTGCGCAACACAAACAGCACTGTGAAATTCTGGTTCATCGAGAACTTCCTATCGCCTTCTTTCTTGGTCAGTTGGTATGACGTATTGCTTGCAACGTACCTCATTGTCATATTACAGGAATTCATACCACACATGGCCGAAGAATATGGCTTCCAGTATGAGCTCGTGACTTATAAATGGCCTTCTTGGCTCCGCGCCCAGAAGGAAAAGCAGCGCATTATTTGGGCATACAAGATCCTCTTCCTTGATGTTCTGTTTCCCATGGACCTTAATAAAGTCATCTTTGTTGACGCGGACCAAATTGTCCGTGCGGATCTGCAAGAACTGGTTGACCTCGACTTGCACGGTGCACCATATGGCTATACACCCATGGGCGATGACAACTACGAGATGGAAGGTTTCCGATTCTGGAAAACTGGATATTGGAAAGACTTCTTAGGTGATCTTCCGTATCACATCAGGTGAGTTTATGTGTGGATTGTGCGATGTTGAATCGATCTGACGCTTCCCCAGTGCCCTGTATGTTGTAGATCTCGTCCGTTTTCGCCAGGTACGTGGGTCACTCCTGATGACGGTCCCTGACTGATGGACTTTAGATGGCTGCGGGTGTACGTTGGCTTCTACCGCGTCCGAGGACTTTGGGTGACATTTTGGTTTCAGGACATCCTCCGTGGACAGTACCAGATGCTTTCGGCTGATCCAAACTCCCTTGCTAACTTGGACCAAGGTCAGTAGTGTGAGTCTCGAGATGGCACCTGCTGATGCTAGCCAAGATCTCCCAAATAATATCCAAAGAGACGTGCCGATAGTGAGTTGAGATTGCGTTTGAGTGATATACAGGTCATTGACTCCTACTAGTTCTCTCTTCATGAAGACTGGCTTTGGGTATGTAAACTTCAACTTCAGTATTCTTCCAATCATACTGATGACGTGGTTGATGCAGTGTGAAACCTGGTGTATGTCATCAAATTCACCCTAGACCTCTCCCTTAACCATCTGAATGTTATATGCAGGCGGCGCAGAACGCCTTCATCGTGCCAAAACAATCGACTTGTGCCAGAACCCCCTTACGGTCAGCCCTTCCAGACCATATCAGTCGTTCATCTGACGCCTGGTTGATTCACAGAAAGAACCAAAACTATCTCGTGCGAGGCGGATCCCTGAGTGGGAGGAATACGACAGCGAGATTGCACAATTTGCAGGCAGACTGGCTGCCGAAGGCAAGATTCATTCCAGTGTTGCTACCGCTCGTTCGGACGTCCTTGCGAATGTTGGGCTGGCTCAGCCAGCACACAACGATGACGTCGGGGGTGCTTCGGGGGGTGAGGACCTTCAGCGTCCGCATGACGAATTGTAGATATTTAGGTAGACAAAGATCACGGACAATTTTGCCGATGGAATTTACCGCGTTGCTAAGTTTACTGTAAACACTGATCCACGTTGATCAATTGAATATGCCAGGTGTCACTTCGTGAGTTCTCCGCTGTTTGGTGTTGCGCCCGGATATTCTTGAGCCGGCTAGGATCAGAACTAATGCTGTAATATGATACCATCTCGCACGGCTGTTTGTGAGTTACATCTTCGCCTTATCAGTAGGGGCCTAGTCTCCTCTAGCCAGGCCTTATAGAAGGAAAACTGTGATGCCGGACCGCATTAAGCATGACAAACAATACATTAGTCAGAACAATCTGTACAGAACATGCTGCCAGGGATGATCGCACTGTCATATATCGACTCACCCTAAACTTTTTTCATTGCTGGCGAGAGATAGTGGTAAGCCAGGGTCGACGCTATGGCTTCAGGCTCAAAGGAGATACATGATCCGATTCGATTGAACCCAATTTATATGCCTAGTGTAGATGCGATCAAATCTGCGTTCCCTCTTAGGACGGGATAAAACAAGTTTTTTCCGAGTCGCAAGAGAGGACGTTGCACGGGTAGAGACCGTCGGAGGGTACCTAGGGGAGGAGGAATATCTTGATTTTCGATACTCATTAATGTCTTTCAGTGACTCCACACGCACCTGCCGAGTAGAACGTGAAGGCGCATTTCAATCGTTTTTATGACCTACGTCAGATTCTTACAAGGGCCGTGATCGGAAGGAAAATAAATGCGCAGCATTAGATATGAATCGATTCTGAACAGCATGATCTTATCCGGGATGCTGTAAGAGAGCATTCATTTCATAGAGAAAGCATCTTATCGTCGAGTGAAGGCTGATACGAGCTGATACGAGGACAGAAGACGTTGGGCGTAAGTAGGTGTTTAACTTTGTAGGGGCAAGCGCGGTAGAAATAGGTGAGGGCATCGCAGCCTTTGAGCGTGTCGCCTCCGTTCATATAATTTGATGAAATCCGAACGGCGGGGAAGTATTTACGCTACGAGCTCCACTCATATCAGCAGGTGATGCATGCAGATTTCATAACGAAAGAAGGTTGATGAATCTGTGCAACGAGGCGTCCAAGAAAGGTGAAAGCGGCCCTGCAGGGGAGACTTGAAAGGGGATGCCAGGTAAGGTGTGCCCCCAAAAAAAATACAGCTAGGCTCTAGCACATACGAGAATAGCGCTGCTTCAAGAAGGAATGATAAGAATGTGATGCAGACACAGGAGGATACAGCATACAATGATATTATTGTTATTGGGGATAAAAACCTCGAGTGAGCAACGTTGCGGTTGCGTCAATAGGTGTGTGAAACGCAATTATGGGCAAGCATGGTAGGGGCGTGCAAGTGATTGTAGTCTAGGAGATCAATGACAAGAGAATCACCGCCTCTCCGAGTCACTTTTAGTGGCATGGTGTAGGTTATTGTATTAGGTTACAACTACAAACCATAGTGATAGCATCTGCTGTTCTATTTCTTTTGTGGCTTCATCTTAGTGGAGACTGAGTGGAAGATCCCGAAGCAACAAAAAGGAGAGGAGCGGTGGCAGGCGCAGATACAGAGGATCTACGGCACAAGGAAGCCAACCTAATCAAGAAAAGAAGGCACACAAAATTCAACACTAGTACAAACAATTTCCAAATACGGACATATTCAGACTCAGATAATAGAAAGGTGTCACAAAATACTATATATGGTAATGCGTTACTACTGCGCGGTGTCGGAGAACAAAAAGAGCTCCATGTGTCATCCGCCGAAGATCAGTCATCCCACGATATCCTCGTTTTTATTCCTCTCACACATCATCGTCATCGTCGTCGCCGTCGTCCTCAACCTCTTCGTCGTCGCTGCGTTCGTCGTACTCTCTCAACATTTCACCCTTAACCAAATGCTTCTTGCTCACAAACCACATCCTCCGCCCTTCATGTCGCCTAACATCTCACATCGTCGTCATCCTTCGGCTCCTCCAGCAGTCGTAGTTCAAGCAACGAAAACACCTGGCTTGCTTTTCATTTCAAAGCAGGCTTCACGACCTTCAACTCCTCGCAATCATCAACAGCTTCCTCAGAAGCAGCATCGGTCTCCAAAGCCGAAGCAGAAACAGCTCGTTCCTCAGTCACAAGGCCGTGCAACACAGCCTCCAATCTCAGAGTCATCCGATGAACCTACTAAGCCTCCTACCCAGAAAAGTCATTCCGATGTTGTCTCGAAACTAGCTGTTCACCCGGCTATGTCATCGCCGGACAAGGCTGTACGAGGTAGACAATCCAAGGCACTTAAAGATAAGGGAACGACGAGGTAATCAATTATACCCCTTTGTATTCACTCAGCAACATTTCTGAGTATCATTATTCGTTCGGTTCTCCCTTTTAGAAGCTCTTCTTCGAATGCGCAAGCGCGACGCAGCAACATTCGTCAACCTTCACCACCTATTCTCTCGCAGGCTGAGGGTATAACTTCTTCGACACAAACTTTTACCCATCACAGCAACAATCCTGCATCCAACTCTTTTGATCCCTTCGTTGTCAGTTCCGATTCTGATTCGGATAACTCGCTTCCACCCATGACTTTGACGCCCAAGAATCCTTCCTTGCAAGCTCCTTCCCTGACTTCTCAGCCTACTGGAAAGCTTGCTGCTCGTCGCCGTCGCCCTTTCCCGCAGCAAATTGCCACACCCACCCCTTCCACTCGAGCAGTTCCTGTCCCTAGATCTAATATTCAGCCCACTCGTCACAATCTCTCTCGTTCAGCTCCGAGCCAATCTGCTGCGCCACTCAGAACCGCACGGCGCACTTCCGCCGGCTCTGCCGTAGATTTCCCAGTTTGCGATGACACCACTGATGTTGATGATGATCATTCTCCTCCATCAACCCCCACTCGCGAGAGATCTGCTGGGACTCGTCAACGACTCGTATTTGAGGAAAGCCCCCGCACAGCACCGCTCAATACGAGCGCAGGGTTTCCATTTGGTGGGCAGTTGAGCTGCAACACTCCGTCTCCATCCCGCAAACATTACAGGACGCCCAGTGATGGTATTTTTCACATGTCCTTGGACGAGGACATGGCATCGACTTCTGATACTTCTGAGGAGCAGAAAGAAGTTGTTTGGCTTCATGCCAAGGAAGTCTGGGTCAGTTGGACCGAGCGTTACCCGCGCTGTTAAGGACAAGGCTGGGTTCTTTGCGAGTTCAGTGTTCCAAAACTCGCCGAGCCCCGACGAGTTGCCTCCGCCCGCTTTTTGAGCGGTATTTTCGTTTCTGTCACATCCATCAAGTGTAGAGGTTGGTGGTTTAATCCTTGCGGTAAAACGCCCGTTGAGCAGCGGTTTAGATCTTCGTATTGGCAGGCAGCCCCTAGATTAATATCACCTCACCACCGACATAATCTCCCTTTCCTTTCGCCGCGGAATATCCTCGAACGTATACTGAATCTAATACACCCTCATCGCGAAAAAGTCGACATACAACCTGCTTCCGACGACATGATCTTCCGTGGCGCAGTGTCTTATACCTCTTTATACCGATATCATTATCCTTTCGAAGTCTTCCATCAGGCAATATTTTCGTTGTGGTCTTCTCTCTTGGGCTGTTGGCTCCCACGTTTCTTTGGCATCGCCTGTCTAATGGACTTGCCCCTCTGCACTTGTCTTGCTTGTCATATAATCCGGTCTATTTCGGTCATGGTCACCCGCACAGGACACATTCGCGGCTTGCCCAGATTTATTACATCTGGGTCACCACTCGGTGGCGACATTCATACCTCGCTCGCTGGTGGTTCATTTTCTATCTATTTCTTTTCACCCCTCAATGTGTCACTACCACGGCTCCATCATCATCATGCTTTCGCAACATCGCATCGGCATTTCTTATTATCTCGGTTGCCCGACAGCACTCGGGCTTGTATAAAAGGCAACGCAAGGCGCAGACTATCCACTACATAAACGACAAAAATATTATCATTAAGCCTTGCGTTGCCCGCTGCGTATTGTGTATATGACGCCACGCCAATCCCCTCCACTCCCCCACTCCTAGCCGATCGTGCTTATTTATCTATCGGCCTCGCGTCCACATGTGGGGTCCTAGTATTTCCACCCCTGAGCGTGTTTTTGGATCTTGGGACTCGTCTTGTGATATTCTCATCTTTTTCCTCTACCTTTCATTCACGAGAATCTTCCTTTTCTTTGGTCTTAGTATCGTATACTTTCCCGGCACCCACCTGTGTTTTTAGCCCGATTCCTTGGGTGTTTGGGTTATCTATTTCGTTTCACTTCATTCCCCCACTCCCCTCGCAGCTGCCATGTTTTTTTTTCCGATTCTGAAGGCAGCTATATTTTTTTTCCGGAAAATACAAAGGTGTATCAATATCGACTCGGCCTACACATTCTCGGACTATCACGTCGCATCATAATTCTTCACTTCTTTTCCTAAATGTGCTATAGTCACTTTACATTTTCGTAGCATCCGTGCTTCTTTTTTCCCCTTACTTTTGTTGTCTGTCATGATGCGACACGATTTTCCAGTGTATAATCCGTCTGGGTGTGCGTTGCTTTTCCCTGAGTATCGTGACTCTTGACTAAGTTTCGGTTACAGTTTTATCATACGTTTCCACCCGGTCGTCACTGCACAGGCGCGGATGTACATACATACATACTCTGCTTCGTGTGCCTCTTCTCACTCTCCGCCTGTGCATCTTTGATTCGCCATTAAGATCATACTTAAAATTTCACTCGTTAAACATCTCTATATCAAACCGTACACTCCTTATTGTGATTTGCAATAGACTTCATTGACTTTTGGGCACCGAGGTCTGAGGATCGACGTAAACCATGGCGACGGGCATTGAATATTGAATTGTGAATTGCTCATGATCAGTTACTGTAGCGCTAATGCTTCTGCAATTAACCTTCTGAGTCATGCATATGCAGCAAAAATGCTGGAGTGTCATTGGCAGAACCGGTAATCGATATCGAGATCTTATTTTTCCAAGACACCTTCGTGATCGCAGATCACGCCTTTCATATTCTTACATCACTAACACACAGAAAATGGAACCCGGAAAGTACCTACAGGTTGCCGTGGTGGGCGTCGGAGGCGTCGGGACCCAAGTCGTCGAACAGCTGATCGCAAACCCGATCTATGGCTTCCAGCTCGTAGCGCTCACCTCTTCCAAGCGCATGCTCCAGTCCACCAAAGACCTCTGCATCAGCCCCCTAGCATGGAAGGACGCACTTAACGCCAGCGAGACGCCCGTCGACCTCTCTGCGGTGAAAAGCACGCTGCAGGAGCTCGTGAAGCAGGGCGAGAAGGCTGTGTTTATCGATAATACATCTTCGCAGGACGTTGCGGAAATGTACCCTGCGTTGTTGAGTGTGGGGATCAACGTAGTTACGCCGAATAAGAAGGCGTTTTCGGGTGAGGTGGGGGTTGTATCAGGGTATTGTCCAGGCGAGCAAGAGTGGAAGGTATTTGCATGAGTCGACGGTGGGCGCTGGGCTGCCTATCATCTCGACGCTGAGAGATTTGGTAGAGACTGGGGATAAAGTGAGTCTTTGGTAGGCTGATGTGCGATCGATGGGGACTGACTTGCGTGCGATCAGGTCGTCAAGATCGAGGGGTGTTTTCTCAGGGACCATGAGTTATATCTTCAACAACTTTTCTTCCGTGGAGGGAAGCGATGAAAGCTTTTCGTCGATAGTCAAAGGAGCCCGAGCACAGGGCTACACGGTATGTGTTATTTTCATCTGGGTTTGCGCAGTGCTCAAATGTCAGTCCTCAGGAACCCAACCCGGCAGACGATCTGAACGGCGCAGATGTCGCTCGAAATTGACCATCCTAGCGCGTATCATTCCCAGAGCTGAAGGATGGACAAGGAAACTTCCCGCTTCTGCACGGGTACCAGTCGGTGGAGACTACTTTCTTTAATTCAAGACGCCCTGCGAGCGCTGTTTCCAATGGGGACGAGTTTATGAAGTGGCTTCCCCGAGCAAGACGCGCATTTTGCCTCGATGCGTGAGCAGGCTGCGAATGAGGGCAGTGTTCCTCCGCTACGTCGGGCGTTGTCGATGTAAAAATAAAGTCGTTGAAGCCGAGTTGGCGAAGTATGTCCCACGATGAGCTCACACGCATTCTTTGTTCTGATCAGCTTCTAGATTACTCGAAAACTCATCCGTTCGCAACTTCGTTGGGAGAGATCGGACAATATTATCATGTTTCCATATACCGAACGCTACGGTAAAAGACCCCTGATTGTCAAGGCGCTGGTGCTGGCAATGATGTAACAGCCATGGGGAGTTGTGAGCGATATCCTCAAGTTGATTAGGCCGTAGGCTGAAATACAAACTGACTGAATGTAATACAACTATCAACAGAATCGATGCTTCTAGCAGTGCGTGATATGAGAATATGTGAGCGAAAAATTGGGGTCAAGGGTACTGCAAGATGAATTCCTTCATAGGCTGCTCCCAACTGCAAAACGACAGGTTTGAACCCCCGCATGTTTCCACAGGTCGGCCGCGCAGCTCCTTCATGATCTTCTTCAGGCCTTGCTGAATGCTGTGAGTACTCCTCGCCTGTATCGCCGCGCGAACTGCGTACCGGCATGATGCGCGACAGGTTTTCCATACGTTTCCTTCTGCCCCTTGTTGACGTCCGCCATAAACCGTTTGTTGTAATCTGGTTGTATGGTTTGGTCCCCGGTGCCGTGAGGTTGGCGAGCAGGTTGGTTGTCTCGTCAAATACGATCTTGATGAGGGTAGGGTAGAAGTGGACCATGGAGCCGGGCGTGCCGCAAACTTTGGGACAGTCAGGGTTTGGGCCTCCAGGTGGGTTCACGCCGTTTGCATCTGACACTTCCATGGAAGTAAACCCGGGAATATGGCTTTCTCTAGGCTGTTGTAGGCAGTACGGTTGTAGGCTGTCAAGACGGGGGCGAAGTATACGATAGAGTTCTCTACGGCTTGCAGCGGGGATGAGTTGCTCGCTGATCTGGGGTCGCCTGTGCGTGTCATCGTGATAAGTTTGACTAGACGCTAATAATAATTGAGATGCACTTTCCAAGTTCTGAAGGGTCGTGAGCAAGATGTTTTCGTTAGCGGCTTAGGTATTCGTTGGTGATATCAACGATGCAGTCGCCTTCGCAGGCAGTTACGGCGACCGGCGCCAGGAGAAGGAGAGCATGGGAAGAATAAGCTGCATGTTTAAAATAAAGAGTGTGGTGGGCTCGCTCAGCGAGATGGGTGGTTCGTTGATGAATCGATGATGATTCGTGAAACATACTTTGCATTTTAACTCGCGACGTGATTTCGTCACGTGAGAAAAATCAAATCCACTTATTAGTGTAGTCACGATAAACTTCTACTTGAACGATGAGTTCTGCTACAAGTGTGGATACCAAAAATGCTGATGCAATTTGCTCAAGTCAACGTGCTCACAGCAGAAGCAGTCACAGTGTCTCCTCTTTCTTACCCGCATCTACTCGCTTGTATCATGGATTGCTGAGCTTCGGTGGAACATCTTCGATCTGATTGCCCCTCCTAACATCCCTGTTGGTACTGCTGGGGAGACATGGGTGCTTTTAGACACGAAAAAGACACTCCTGGCGCTTGCCTTGACATGCAAGTCATTCACTGAACCTGCATTGGACCTTTTGTGGCGACACCTAGGCGGGCTCGAACCTCTTATCAAGTGTCTCCCCACAAAGCCTATGGAAACAGAACTGGAAAAAGCTAGTTAGTCAAGCTCTGGCTCATGCTGAAGAGTACGCTACTTCACATCATTTGATAGGAATTTCAAAGAAACATGACGCTCGATGACTGGTCCATTTTTTGCAAATACAACTACCGTGTCCGTTCATTGCTCAATCAATGTCATGAGAGGTACTCGAAGGATACGATCTGTAGCACCAAAAATCTGGCGTGCCCTCAGTCGCCCTCCCTTCTCCTTCCCTTGCTCCCCAACTTGACATCCCTTACCTGGGATAATGCCTCCGACAAGACATTTCAATATGTTCAGTTGTTTGTGACCCCAAAATTGACGAGCTCCACCTTTTCCCCTTTCCACCGCCTATTACGGTAGATTCACGTTTGGCCCATCCAAACAGTCCATATTTTCATCTATCGCAAAGTCGTGCCCTTCTATCTCGGATCTCGGTTTTGATTTCGGTCGAAATAGGGATGAATACACAGAATCAGTCGGAGATACGTCGACAGTGTTGCGGTTGTGGTCTCATCTAACGTCGGTGAGAACCGGAACGATTTCCGAAGCAACCATACTACACTTGTCCAAATTGCCTTCACTCCGAGTTTTGAAGTTCACATTACCCTCAACTTCCATATCTACAGATGCACAGAAGCTCCTCCAGCGGCCTGTGTTCTGCGCGTTACAAGAGCTGGACGTGACATTCAACAGTCTAGTCATCTTGGATGCTTTTTTGGAGAAGCTCGCTATCACTCCGAAAGTATTATCCTTTGCGATCACTCGTGGAGTGGGTTCCGAACGGGCTCTGCCGGGTCTGATTTCTCGTCTATCCGATGTCTGTGCACATAGCTCATTGCAAGAGGTGCGACTCAGCATCACTGGTCAGCCCGCTTATTACAATGCTTCAATCGAAGCTGCGGCCTTTCAACCACTCTTTGCCTTTCGCAATCTTCGCAAGCTTGACTTCGAACCGGGCGCCTTCTGCATTGTGCAAATAGATGATGCTTCCCTTCTGCAGATGGCTAAGGCATGGCCGTACCTAGAAGAGCTATGCATTTCCAAATACCCTTCGAGATATCAAGTCACTCCACATGCCTTCGTCGTGCTGTTGCGGTATTGCCCGCGTTTACGCTCGGTTACCGTTCCCATAGATTGGTCCACGATAGATGTGCATACCATACCCCCTGACATTCCTTACCAAGGATTTTCTCAAAAGGCACTATCCAATTTATTCGTCGGCGGTTCGCGTATCACGCGTCCAACATCAATTGCCGCTTTCATCTCAGCCGTCGCACCCAACTTGCGGTCAATTACGGGGACAGACTCCTCGTGGAAAACCGTTCAAAATTTGCTCGAAACTTTGCCCATGGTTCGTGAGCAGGGAAGGAGAATGATGCTGAACGAGATAAAGCGAGGTTACTACGGGGTTGATGGTAACGTTTGTTAGGAGGGTTTTGAGGAATAGAGCGGAAGCGAGCACGGATATATTCTTCATCTTAGCCATCAGACTTCGGGGAGGAGGAATTGAGGAAGGATGTCTAAAACCCACGTCTTGAGTTCTCCTTGTTGATTTGCGCTCGTTGATCTAAACTCGAGTTTTTTTTATCAATTAGGTGACTTCTTCCAATCAGAGTACCTCAAGGAATCTTTACATATCTCACAGTATTAGAACAGGAGTTCGTATGTTGTATCATATGTTATCAGGATTACAGTGCTGAATATTACATGCATTGAAAGACGATCGACTATTCAGATGACAGCCACTTTTGCTAATTCGCCAGAACTCATGTCATCCTCAAAGCTTCTCGACTATCGGAGGTCTATTGTTCGAGGCGTGCATTGCATATATGCACTCCAATTGATCATGTTTCAGTTTGCTAGTATGCGTAATAGAGGTGCAGATATAGTCCCGGCTTGCGGTCAACACCATCGACATCGTTCGTGGGGACGAGTTGTTCGCTGATCTGCGTGGTCGTGAGCGAGATGCTCTCGTAGCAGTTTCCGTATTCGTTGGTGATATCGACGATGTAGCTGCCTTCGCAGGCAATTACGACCGGCATCAGGAGAAGGGAGAGCATGGAAAGAATAAACGATCAAGCTTCCAGATGGCAAACTCACCTTTTCAAGTTGCTTCCAGTATTATCATGCTCCTTGCCGGCTCCAAATCATCTCCACGAGTTGTTCGCTATTGTAACTCGAAGTGTGCATTGGATGTCTGGGTCCGATTGGTGAAGTTTCAGTTTGCTGATTCACCGAAACGCCTACTTGATGTGAACATCATCAACGTCTTTTAGAGTATACAGAGGTGACTTGGAGATGGTTCATTCTCTATGGTTACCCTGATAATGACAAATTACGACTATGTGATGTAAGGCTGATAGTGAGTTCGACGGACAATGGTTTTGAGAACACGAATACGAGTTATGACGAACATTTAGAAACTGAGACTTTCGTTAGGACTTTATATAGGACGTGCTCGGAGTGGGGGAAAACACTGAGTGAGATTCTGCTATCGAAAATGAGTGTACACGTCTGCGTATATACGTTCGCGAGTGGTTTGGCACTGGCCAGAATGAACATACTAAAGAGAATCAAAACGAGATAGTTTGGTCGCAAGGAGTATTCGTGAAGCTGAGCTTAAGGGAGAGGATACGACGATAGAAGGGAACTTAATTAAGAGGCAAAGGGATCGAACGACGTCGAAGTCGTTTGGTGGCATGAAAGATAAGGGGAATGAAGCGTCTATATAGTATGCTACGAAAGGAAATAAAGAAATGAATCTGTATATCTCGGATGCGAAGAGTAAAGCTCTTCGGCCCATCAGGCATTTTCACTCGCGCGATTTCGTCACGTGAGGAAAATCAATTCCACTTCGAATTTCCCTAGTCACCGCGGCCTCATCACTTGAACGATGAGTCCTGCTAAAAGTATGGAGGCCAAAAATATTGAGGCAATTTGCTCAAGTCAACGTGCTCACAGCAGAAGCAGTCACGGTGTTTCCCCTTTCTTGCCCGCATCTACTCGCTTGTATCATGATTGCTGAGCTTCGGTGGAACATCTTCGACCTGGTTGCCCCTCCTAACATGCCTGTCAGTGCTGCTGAGGGGACATGGGCGTTTATAGACATGAGAAAGACACTCCTGGCGCTTGCCTTGACGTGCAAGTCATTCACTGAACCTGCATTGGACCTTTTGTGGCGACACCTAGGCAGACTCGAACCTCTTATCAGGTGTCTCCCACAAAGCCTATGGAAACAGAACGGAAATAGGCTAGTTAGTCAAGCTCTGGCTCGTGCTCAAGAGTACACCATTTGACACCATTTGACAGGAATTTCAAAGAAGCATAACCCTCGATGACTGGTCCATTTTTCGCAAATACAACCACCGTGTCCGTTCATTACTCAACGGGGGGTACTCGAAAGAAATCTGGAGTGCCCTCAGCTGTCCTCCCTTTCTCCCTTCCCTTGCTCCCCAACTTGACATCTCTTACTTGGACTAATGCCTCCGACGAGACATTTCAATATATTCGGTTGTTTATGACCCCAAAACTGACGATGCTCCACATTTCTACCGCTCATCACGGTTCATCCTTTACGTTTGGCCCATCCGAACAGTCCATCTTGTCATCTGTCGCAAGGTCGTGCCCTTTGATCTCGGATTTCGGTTTCGATTTTCGTCGAAATAGGGATCAATCCACAGAATCAGTCGGAGACCCGTCGACCATGTTGCAATTATGGTCTCAACTAACATCAGTGAGGACTAGAACATTGTCCGAAGCAGCGATACTACATCTGTCCAACTTGCCTTCACTCCGAGTTTTGAAATTCACATTACCTTCAACTCTCGTATCTGCCGATACACGAAAGCTGCTGCAGCGTCCTGTGTTCTGCGCATTACAAGAACTGGACATATCATGCAAAAATATGGTCTTCTTGGATACATTTCTAGAGAAGCTCACTGTCACTCCAAAAGTATTATCCTTTACGATCACTCATGGAGTGGATTCCGCACGGGTCCTGCCGGGTCTGATTTCTCGTCTATTCAATGCATGTGCGCACAACTCACTGCGACAGGTACGGCTCAGCATCACTAATCGTGAGCTCGCTGATCGTGGTACTTCACTGGGAGCTGCGGCCTTTCAACCATTCTTTGCCATTCGCAATCTTCGCATGTTCAACTTCGCAACGAGTGGCTATTGTGCTGTGCGACTGGATGATGCTACCCTTTTGCAGATGGCTAAGGCCTGGCCCCTCCTGGAAGATTTATCTATCACCGGATACTCCGATTCAAGTGATCGAGTCACTCCGCACGCCTTCGTCTTGCTGCTGTCGCATTGCCCGCGTTTAGTCTCGGTTGCTATTCCTGTAGACTGGGGCATGATAGACAGGAGTGGCATACCCCGTGACATTCCTTACCAAGGATTTTACCACAACATACTATCCCGTTTAGTCTTTCGAGGAACAAGGATCGACAGTCCAATATCAATTGCTGCTTTCATATCAGCCATCGCGCCCAATGTAACATCAATTGAGGGAGATGATTCCTGGAGCATGGTTGAGGATCTGGTCATGGCTGTACCTGCTATCCGTGAGCAGGGGATGAGAATTATGCTGAATAGAATGGGAGTCGAGGAAAATAGCGGAAACGAGGGCGACTCGGAATACTAAATGGACCTTTCTTACTCATTTTTGTCTTCATTCCTCCAAATCGGAGTCCAGCGACGAATCTCTTTCCCATCCATGTCTCGCAATTTTACAGCAGGACTACATACGTCACAGTCCTGATATATTGATGTGCTATTCAATATTTGTTGTAGTATACGGATACAGAACGATCATCAATCAGGTTTTCTTATCTCTTCGGCGTTACCTTCGCAAAGTTCGCATTGCATAACATCTTCGTGTCAAACTAAGTATATGGATATCAATTGATGATTAGTAACGGATGTGTTCGGGTTTGGAGCACCGGTAACGCCGAGCTTCTGTTCGACTTCGACGCTCACAACAATATTTGGTTCCAAGTAGTGTGTGGTCACCCGAAGGCGGCGTACCAACAGGGCAACGCGAGCGCGACAAGGAAGCAGACTTCCCTAATTCTCCGGAACTTGTGGAAGGACTATGAACTTATGAGGTGATTATCTGACACACTTTCAAATCGATCGTACCCACCTACACCCGCATCCAAGCCACGCGTTCGAACGTGGTAAATTCTTGAAGTCCCTTCAAACAGGTGGGTCCTCATTACATCTTTGGTTTACGCATATTATGGCTCGCAATCAATATCTCGCCGTCCACACCTTCCACATTTTGTGTTTCCTATTTTAGGAACTGCGACTCATGGTGGTGGAACTCCGGAGTGAAGTAAATGTGCCAGAACGAAGGACAATGATGCCACAAAGACGTTCCACTGCCAGAGTCCACGGAATCCACCGCAGCTATGTGGTGATATTTATATTTGTTCTTTTGATGTACTTACATGGCCTGTGGCAAGCGCTTCTGAAATATGTGGACCCAGGCATCCGAGCACTATATATTTCGTGTTGGCAGTGTCTCTCTTCTCTCCATCACCTTGCATCTCTCCATATACTCACCTACTTTCTACTGTCATTCCTCATGCCTAACAGCGTCCCTAATCTCTATCGTTGGGGAGTCTTTAGAAGACTGGCTACTCGTCTTGAGTCTCTGGACCATTATCTGGACGCCATGACTGAGATAATGAAATTTAGTGATGCGGAAGACCGGCAAATTCGCCACTATGGCCGCAAGGTCCTGTCTCTGTTATTAATCATCTCTTATAGTCAACTGATGATGATATTTCCGTGCAGATCATCTCTCTTACGGAGGTAAATATGATTTCAATTCTAGCAGGCTCTTCCACTGATGCCCTAGGTAATTAAGATTGCATATGCCACTGTTAATTGTAGTATTGGCGCGACCCTGCTCGTGATTTGTTCAGAGGAAAATGTGCCGTACAAAGCGGCATATTTTAAAATCCTTGTCCTGATCAGGCGGCGGAGGTCGGCGTTCCCTGCTTACTTGGACAGTAAGCATTGGTTGTTATTGCGTTTGATTTCCTTTTCACCATTTGTATAGCTCGTATCAGTGCGCTCTTGGATTATTCCATAGAGCATAACATAGTCCTACGGACCAAAGGAATCGATCCACGTGTCCAATTGGGTATTAAGGAGTTGATAATCATCAGAAAACCACGAGCGGCTCGTCAAAGCACCATCGAGACTGCAACCCCTGTCTCGTCGGCACGTGGATCATCTACCGGCTCTTCTAAAACACCCAACGAGCTACTTGGTGCCTCCATTCCCTCGAAGGCTGTTTGCGCGCGACTGTCGAACGAAAGACCGAGGCTGGTGAGGTTGAACTAGGAAACAATGATCATGAAGTTGATATTCTTCTCGAGCCTTAGCTGGACTAATGGCTGCCTCATTGTACTTTGAAATTACAACCTTTTCATTTCATACTTAGTTGTAACTATACATCTATTGCACCTATCGACGGACAATCTATCTTGCTCAGCTGCCGCACCAGTAACTTGACTTTGAAGTCTGAATTCATTTGCCTCATCTCGCCTGCAAATTCGCAATCTATCTACCCCTTTCGTTTATAACTACATCATGGCTTGAGGCGTCTTGGGATGTCTTCTCGTTGATGATGGTGTTCATCATCCTCCAATGGATCAGTAGTAATTCCCGGTTCTGACGAGCATGTTCAAGTACTTGCTAGGTATCACAAAGTTGTATTCGGTGATCCGAACCTGTACCTGACACGGATGCAACTGAAATATCTCACTGATGTCTAGACAAATTAAAGGTGTGCTGAGATTGTCAGTGAAACATGCAAGGCTCATAAATTCCCCAAGTCTGAACTTGCTTTATGCGGACATTTTCCCGCGCCACAAACTTGTGAGACTTGCATTTTAAGTCGCAACGCGATCGATTTCGTCACGTGGGGTAAATCAAATCCACTCCAAATTCCAAGTACCCTAGTAAATTTCCACGCCTGCTACAACTTACAAGTATGAAGCTTGCCAAAAAGCGCTGAGGATGAAAGTGCCCGCAGCGAAAGCAGCGTTTCCTACTTGCCTGCATCTACTCGCTGTATAATGATTCCTGAGCTGCGATGGAAAATCTTTGACCTAGTCACGCGAATTGATTCCGAGACTGTAGTGAGTACTGCTAAGCGGCTTTTCAGACTTTGAACGGGTGATGGATTCCTTGTGATAGTGGTTGATGAAAAAGACACTCATGGCGCTTGCCTTGACGTGCAAGTACTTCAGCGGACCTGCGCAGGATCTTGTGTGGCGAGACCTGCATAGTTTTGAACCACTTATCACATGTCTCCCGCAAAGCCTATGGAAACAAGACGGACACAAGCTAGTTAGTCAAACTCTGGCTCATGCTCAAGACTACACAAATTGACATCATTTGACAGGAATTTCAAAGAACCATGACGCTCGATGACTGGTCCATTTTTTGCAAATATAACTATCGAGTCCATTCACTGGTCCATCAATGTCGGGAACCGTACTCGTACACGGATGACGAGACGATTGGAACTGAAATTTGGCGTGCCCTCAGCTGTCCCCCCTTCTCCCTTCCTTTGCTCCCCAACTTGACGTCCCTTACCTGGACTGAGGCTAGCGACAAGACATTCCAATGTGTTCGGTTGTTTGCGACTCCAAAATTGACGATGCTCAATATTTCCCCCCGGCACCGTCCATTCTTCACCTTTGGCTCATCCGAACAGTCCATCCTGTCGTCTATCGCTCAGTCGTGCCCTTCTGTTTCGTATTTCGATCTCGCTCAAGAGAGATATGGCTCTACTGATTCAGTCGGAGACACGTCGACCGCATTGCAATTCTGGTCTCATCTAACATCGGTGAGGACTGGAACAGTTTCCGAGGCAGCCATATTACATCTGTCCAACTTGCCTTCACTCCGAGTTTTGAAATGTCGATTGCCTTCAACTTCCTTATCTACAGATGCACAGAAGCTCCTACAGCAGCCTGTGTTCTGCGCGTTGCAAGAGCTGGACGTAACATGCACAAGTCTAGTCATCTTAGATCCTTTTTGGAGAAGCTCACTGTCACTCCAAAGTATTATTATCCTTTACAATCACTCGTGGAGTGGATTTCGCTCAGGCCCTGCCGGGTCTGATTTCTCGTCTATCCAATGTCTGTACACACAACTCACTGCACGAAGTGCGACTCAGCTTCTGGGATCGGGGCATTGATCCCAATGCTTCAATCGGAGCTGCGGCCTTTCAACCACTCTTTACCTTTCGCAATCTTCGCAAGCTTGACTTCGAAGCGGACGGCTACTGCATTGTGCGAATGGATGATGCTTCCCTTTTGCAGATGGCTAAGGCCTGGCCATGCCTGGAAGAGCTATACATCTCCAGACACTTCCATTCAAATTATCAAGTCACTCTACATGCCTTTGTCTTGCTGTTGTGGCATTGCCCGCGTTTACGCTCGGTTGCCGTTCTCGTAGATTGGTCCACGATAGATGTGTGTGACATATCCCCTGACATTCCTTACCGAGGATTTTCTCAGAAGGCACTATCCGATTTATCCACCAGCGGTTCGAAGATTGAAAATCCAACATCAATTGCTGCTTTCATCTCAACCATCGCACCCAACGTACGATTCATTCACGGGTCAGAATTCGAAGAGTCCTCGCGGTGGGGACATCGTTGAAGAGTTGTTGCCCATGGTCCGCGAGCAGAGGAGGAGAATGATGCTGATGCTGAATGAGTTAACGCAAGGTTACTAAAGGATTGTGCAGCAGGGACGCCGACAGTGAGGGAGCCAGTGGTGATGGTGAGGTGAGGGTTTTGAGGGAGAGAGGACGGATATATGCTTCATCTTATCCAGGTGTCGTCGGACTTCGGGGAGGAAAATTTGAGGAAGAATGTCTAGAACTCACGTCTTGAGTTCTTCTTGATGATTTGCGCTCGTTCATCTAAACTTGTGTTTTTTCTCGGTCAGTTTACTTCTCCCGATCAGAGTAGTACCTCAAGGAATCTTTTGCATATCTCACAATGCTAGAGCGGGAGTTCGTATGTTGTATCGTATGTTATCAGGGTTACAGTGCTGAGTATTAAATATGCATTGAAAGACGACCGACCGTTCAGACAAGTCACTTTGCTAATTCGCCAGAACTCATGTCATCCTCAAGGCTTCCTGAGTCCTATTGTAGGTCCATTGTCCGATTAGTGCATTGCATATATGCGCTCCAATTGATCATGTTCCAGTTTGCTATTATGCGTAACTGGGACGCCGCTTGCAGTCAACACAATCGATGTCGTTCCCAGGGACGAGTTTGCTCGCTGATCTGAATTGCCTGTGCGTGGTAGTAAGCAAGATGTTCTCTTAGCAGTCGCTGGTGATATCGACGATGCAGCTGCCTTCGCAGGCAATTACGACCGGCACCAAAAGGAAGGGAGAACATGAGAAGAATAGACGATCAAGCTTTCGGATGCAGACTCACCTTTCAAGTTGCTTCCAGCGTCACTTGCCGGCTTCAATCGTCTCCATGAGTTGTTTGCTATTGTAGGTCGGCATTGTGCGAAGCATGCATTGGATGTCTGGGGTCCGATTGGTGAAGTTTCAAGTTTGCTGATTCACCGGAACGTCTGCTTGATGTGAGCATCATTGACGTCTTTTGGAATATACAGCGGCGACTCGGAGAAGGTTCAAATGTTCATTCTCTATGGGTGGTATGTGTATAGTCGTGACGTGTTGTCGTTTGCTGCTGGAAACACAGCTCGATGACCTCGAGAGTGTTGCGCGTGTATACCTTCGCTACTTGTGAGCGATGTTGCCGCTGATGATCGGCTGTGAATAAGCTACAATCCTAGACAAGTCAAATAAGTCTGCCACGAACCCAGAGGCCTAGGGTGAGGAAGACCACTTCAGTGACGACGCTTCAAGTTCGCAGTTGGTTTGTAGAACATTGGGGAACTCTACCCAAGATTGTTGAAGTAATGATCATATTGATCTTCTACAAGGATGAAACTCGCCCTAACCTTGCATCACAGATTCGGGCAGTAGAGCTGTATTTGACGACGAACTTCATTGTACGATGAAAAATTTCCCTGTAGCTTCACTGAAAGATCATATTATGCACCGTGTCCCGTGGCAATTTTGCGATGTACTTATATAATTGTAAATTCACCATTCGATAAACACTGTCCAAGGAAGGAGAGTGCTCCGAGTCAGTCTTCTGAGTCAGAGTGATGTTCTTACTACTAGGGTTCGGCGTTGTTGCTCGCAATATTACTAAGCAGATTTGTTTGTTTGTAGTACCACTGTGGCGGACAGGATGCTCCGTTTACGTTTTTGGCTTCGTGAAATTTTTTTGTCTTTACATATTTGATATTATTTATGGTAAGCTGCGCGCACCAGAGCATCATCGAGTTCCATAGACATCGACATGGATATATGTCAGTGAACGTGACGGTTCAGCTTGCTGTTCATAATTGAAATCGTTGTCATTTACATAATGACATTTGTCTGTCAGTCGCCGTCAGATTTTGAGGGGTGGCATATGACCCTGCAAGACAGGTGAAAGGTGATGTACTTTGTCTCTGCTCGCTGCATGATTCAGATTATATCTGACCTTCAGCAGAAATCTTCTAGCCATGTAGTCCATGACACTAAGTTAAATAAGATATGAAGAGCTGCCCCAGCCTGGCAGCGGAAGTACTGTGGCTTGAGGCCGCCTTGACTCATTGAGCCAGGTGGCTGTCACGACCCAATGTGCGACCGAATAAGTCATCGAGTGACCGTCACTCAATGACTTACTCGGTCGCACATCGAGTCACAGCCACGAGTCCGAGCTAACTTCCACTTGAAGCTGGAAGTCTTGAATCCTTCAAGGTTCCTCATACAAGTATGGAAGCCGAAAGCGTTGAGTATCGACATGCTCACCACGGGAGCGGTGTTGCCTCTCTCTTTCCAGCATCTGCTCGCTGTATCATGATTGCTGAGCTTCGGTGGAACATCTTTGACCTGGTTGCCCCTCCTGACATGCCTGTCAGTGATGCTGAGGGGACATGGGTGTTTTTAGACATGAGAAAGACACTCTTGGCGCTTGCCTTGACGTGCAAGTCATTCACTGAACCTGCATTGGACCTTTTGTGGCGACATCTGGGTGGGCTTGAACCTCTTATCAAGTGTCTCCCACAAAGCCTATGGAAACAGGACGGAGAAAAGCTAGTCAGTCAAGCTCTGGCTCATGCTCAAGAGTATATCATTTGACACCATTTGACAGGAATTTCAAAGCAGCATAACCCTCGATGACTGGTCCATTTTTTGCAAATACAACCACCGTGTCCGTTCATTGCTCAATCAATGTCATGAGAGGTACTCGAAAAACACGATCTGTGGCGCCGAAATATGGCGTGTCCTCAGTTGTCCTCCCTTCTCGCTTCCCTTGCTCCCCAACTTGACATCTCTTACCTGGGCCAAGGCCTCCGACCAGACATTTCAATATGTTCGGTTGTTTGTGACCCCAAAATTGACAATGCTCAACATTTCCGCCGCCTATTATCCACCCTTCACGTTTGGCCCATCCGAACAGTCCATCATGTTATCTATCGCAAAATCATGCCCTTCTGTCTCTCATCTCAATTTCGGTTGGAATAGGGATGAATTCACAGAATCGGTCGGAGACACGTCGACCGTGTTGCAATTATGGTCTCAACTAACATCAGTGAAGACCGGAATAGTGTCCGAGGCAGCCATACTACACCTGTCCAACTTGCCTTCGCTCCGAGTTTTGAAATTCACATTACCTTCAACTCTCGTATCTGCCGATACACGAAAGCTGCTGCAGCGTCTTGTGTTCTGCGCATTACAAGAACTGGACATATCATGCAAAAATATGGTCTTCTTGGACGCTTTTTTAGAGAAGCTCACTATCACTCCAAAAGTATTGTCCTTTACAATCACTCATGGAGTGGGTTCCGCACGGGCCTTACCGGCTCTGATTTCTCGTCTATCCAATGCATGTGCACACAACTCACTGCGACAGGTGCGGCTCAGCATCACTGGTCAGCCCGCTAATCGCGATACTTCAATCGATGCTGCGGCCTTTCAACCACTCTTCGCCTTTAATCTTCGCAAGTTCGACTTCGCAGTGGATGGCCATTGTGTTGTGCGAATGGATGATGCTACCCTTTTGCAGATGGCTAAGGCCTGGCCCCTCCTGGAAGATTTATCCATCATCGGATACTCCAATTTAAATCATCTGGTCACTCCGCACTCCTTCGTCTTGCTGTTGTGGCATTGCCCGCGTTTAGTCTCGGTTGCCGTTCCCATAAACTGGTTCATGATAGGCATGCATGACATACCCCGTGACATTCCTTACCAAGAATTTTCTCACAACGCACTATCCCGTTTAGTCCTTGTAGGTTCGAAGATGGAGAATCCGATATCAGTTGCTGCTTTCATATCAGCTATCGCACCTAACGTAAAATCAATTCGGAGAGATAACGCATATGACCATGATGATGATGATGATGATATCTTCTCAGAAGTCTACCCGACCTGGATGATATTTCAGGATCTGGTCGCGGCTTTACCCATTATCCGTGAGCAGGGGATGAAAATGATGCTTCGTAGAGCAATGCGAGGTTCATACAGCCACCGCGGGAGTGCGCAGCGGGGGGGCCGACAATGAAGAAGTCAGTGTTGGTGATGTTGGTGTCTTCAGGAAGATGGCAGAAGCGAGGGCGACTCGGAATAGTATATGGAACTTTCTTACTCATTTTTTTCTTGATCAAGTCGTTCCTCCCAACCGGAGTCCCTCGACGAATCCCTTTCCCATCCATGTCTCGCAATTTTACAACAGGACTACGTACGTTATGGCCCTGATCTATCAATGTTGTAGTGTACGGATACAGAACGATCAACCTTTCACATGCAGACTCACCTTTTGCTTCCAGTATCACCATGCTCCTCGCCAGCTTCGTATCATCTCTACGAGTCGTTCGCTATTGTAGGTCGGCATTGCTCGAAGCGTGCATTGGATGTATGTCGTGAAGTGTCGGTTTACTAATTCACCAGACTCGGACGCCTGCTTGATGATGTGAGCATCGTCGACGTATTTCGGAGGATGGCCAATCATGATTTATAAACTCTTGAACCCAAATTGTCCCTGGAGCTGTGGACGGCAAGCACGCGGGGCATTTGAGAGCAGGTTTGATGAGAGAGTTCATTCTCTATGCAGCACTTCCTTGTGGATCCATCAGGCTATCGGCTTTGGGCTATTGATCGATCATCGCAGTGCGGTGGGTGGTTGAGGAATCTCTCTACCACCTGGCAGTACCAGGAGGTTCTCAAATAGACTGTAATTTCGCCATTCGAATAATACTGTCCAAGCATGCATGACTGCCATATGGACTCGGAAGCTCAGCGCTCAGTCTTCTGAGGACAAAATGGTATTTTCGAGTGAGGCTCGCTGTATGAATCAGGTTATATCTGACCTTCAGCAAAAACCTTCCAGTCTATGACACTTTAAATAAGACATGGCTTTAATTGACTCAGCTGGTGAAGCTTGAAGTACTATGACTGACTCTTTTCTCAAAGTTCGTAGTCACAGTAGTTTAGTGTGCACGGAGGTGCCAAGGGGGCGGCAAGTGGCTGTGCCTTCTGTTGAAATTGTCCGAGTCCGAACTAACTTTGGATTGAAGTCTTGAACCTCTAAAGTTCCTCGCACAAGTATGGAGGCCGAAAACGCTGAGTATCAACGTGCTCACAACGGCACCAGTGTCGTCTCTTTTTTGTCAGCATCTGCTCGTTGTATCATGATTGCTGAGCTTCGGTGGAAAATCTTCGACCTGGTTGCCATTCCTAACATGCTTGATATTACTGTTGGGCGGCTTTCGGAATTTGATTGGGGAATGGATTCCAAGACATTCATGAGAAAGTCACTTCTGGCACTTGCCTTGGCGTGCAAATCATTTACTGGACCTGCCCTGGATCTTTTATGGCGACACCTAGCTGGGCTCGAACCTCTCATCAAGTGTCTCCCACAAAGCCTATGGAAACAGGACGGGAAAAAGCTAGTTAGTCAAGCTCTGGCTCATGCTCAAAAGTACACCAATTGATAGCAATTGACAGCAATTTCAAAGAACTATGACCCTCGATGACTGGTCCATTTTTTGCAAATATAACTATCGCGTCCATTCGCTGGTCAATCAATGTCATGAGTCGTTCATGAATGGCGAGATGATCTGTGGCACTGAAATTTGGCGTGCCCTCAGTTGTCCCCCCTTCTCCCTTCCCTTACTCCCCAACTTGACGTCCCTTACCTGGACCGAGACTAGCGACGAGACATTTCAATATATTCGGTTATTTATGACCCCACAGTTGACGATGCTCAATATCCATGTACGGTCCTCCACCTTTAACACATTCGATCCATCCGAACAGTCCATCTTGTCGTCTATCCCAGAGTCATGTCCTTCTGTTTCGGATTTCAGTCTCGTTATCGGTTCCGGTCGATCTATCCAACCAAGAAACACATCGACCGTATTACAATGCTGGTCTCATGCCTGTGTTCTGCGCGTTACAGGAACTGGACGTAACATGCAAACGTCTATTCATCTTAGAGGCTTTTTTGGAGAAACTCGCTGTTGCTCCAAAACGATTATCCTTTACGATCACTCATGGGGTGGATTCCGTGCGGGCCCTGTCAGCTTCGATTTCTTATATAGCCAACGGGTGTGCACTCAGCTCACTGCAACAGGTGCAGTTCAACATCACTAATCAGCCTGTTGATCGCGATGCTTTAATCGAAGCTGAAGCCTTTCGACCACTCTTTGCCTTCCACAATCTTCGCAAGCTCGACTTCAAAGCGGATGAACACTGTATTGTCCGAATGGATGATGCTGCCCTTTTGGAGATGGGTAAGGCCTGGCCCCTCCTGGAAGAGCTATACATTACCAGATACTGCGATTCCGGTTATCAAGTCACTCCAAATGCCTTCGTTTCGCTGTTACAGCATTGCCCGCATTTAGTCTCGATCGCCGTCACAGTAGATTGGTCTACGATAGACGTGCGTGCCATACCCCCTGACTTTCCTTCTCAAGGATTTTCTCACAAGACGCTATCTCGCGCATTCTTTGGTGGTTCGAGGATTGACCATCCGATAAGCATCGCCGCCTTCATCTCAGTCATCGCACCCAACTTAAATCTAATCGAGGCATGGAGTCCTGAAATCCATGGGGATGATGACTACCTGGCATACTCCCCAGCGTGGAATCTCGTCCCTGGATTTGATAAAAACTTTCCCCATTCTCCGTAACCAGGGGAAGATGTTGTTGTTGAATGAGCTGATCAAAATGCACGAGGTTCGTATGGGCACTACGAGGTTGCGCAGCCCAGAGGCCAAAAATGAGGGAGTCACTGCTGTTGACGCCGATGAGGGTGGTGAGGGTTTCGAGGAAGATAGCGGAAGCGAGGGCCATTCAGTATACATGCATTAAGTCTTGTCAGACGAGGAAGAATGTTTCAAAGCGTACGTCTTGAATTTTTCTTGATGTTTGCGCTAACCTTTCTCGAGGTCTTTCCTCGATCAGGTCACTTCTCACACTCAACGAATCTCTTTCCGATCCGTCACGGTGTCCCGCAAGTTCATAGTGGGAATACGCATGTCATAGTCCTGAATAATCCATACCGCGGTATACGGATACATAATGATCAACCTTAAGACCATAGTCACTTTTACTTCTAGCGTCGCCATGCTTCTCGCTAGCTTTGCATCACCTTCACGAGTTGTTCGCTATTGTAGGCCGGCAATGTTCGAAGCGTGCATTGGATATATGCGATCTGATTGATGAAATTCCAGTTTAACGATTCATTGGGCCGCCTGCTTGATGTGAGCATCATCGGTCTTTCCGAGTACAGCCAGTCGCAAACTCTTGAACTCGAGTGTTAGAGAGCTGCGGACGGCAAGCACGCGGACTATTGGGAGCAGGTTCGGTTAGAGGGTTCATTCTGTATTGCAATGCTTCCTTGTGGATCATCCACCATCGTGAAACCAAGATTACGGCTGTCGGCTTCGAGTCATTGCTCACGGCGCGGTGGCTGGTTGAAGAATCAGTCCATCGCCTCCAAGTACCAGAAGGTTCTTAAGTAATTCCACTAACCAGGTATTCATAAGTGGCGAGGTCGATATTAGTCGTCACATAGCACCAGCATCGGCAACAAAGACTAAGCACATTGAGCTCGCCGAAAGTGGGCGACGTTACAGATGATAGCACAGAATGAAATTGTGTAGGGAGCAACATCTGATCTCGTCTGTGCACATGTGAAGTCCTCCGAGTATTTGTGCCGGGGTGGGTGTATTCGAGAGCTATTCACCTGTTCACATCTAGCGCACCAAGCCTTCACACTACACAGGCGCGGCTCTGAGGTTCACTCAGTAACAAGAAATCCGTATTGCATTGTACACATGTGAATGTGGTTGATGCGGAATACAATGCGGTGAAAGAAAAATTAAGACTAGACTATCCCTTGGATCTTGAGTAGGACGCTGTCTAGCACAGGTCCAAGACAACATGTGCATTTTAGAGGGGCTGTCGGGCGGGCACAGGCGGCACCATCAAAACAGGATGGGGCCGTGAAAGCGCCGATTATAAGTAGGTCTCTGCATCGCAGGTCCTTTCGTACCAGGGAGGTGCACAAATGTGCTCTCCTAGTCATAATCGCCTGTTCATTATGTGAGATGGCTAGAATACACGGGTGTCAGAAAAGTCTTACCTCCGCCACCGCCATCATCTCCACCACCACCATCTCCAAGACCGTCCATGTCATCTCCTTCACCGTTATCGAAATAGTTCTCCGCATAATCATTGTCATATTCCTCGTCGACGTCGTAGTCGGAGTCAACTGGCTGTGATCCAGCGTCTGAGCGTTCATCGCCCGACTTCTCCTGAAGAGTTTGTTAATATTCCGGAAATAAATGTATGTCTGAAGTCGTGACATACTTGGTCCTCAGCGTCCTCCGCTAAGTCATCAAGATTAAGGCGTTTCGTGGTGCCTTTCTTTTCAACTGTTGATCCATTCAGTAACGGTATGAGGTGAACATTGATCCACTGACCTTTGCGTTTTTTTTTCGGATTGAAATAGCCTTCGAATATCTCTGAGGGAAAAAAGGGTGCATAAAGGTCCTTCCGCTTCAGTGTAGGTTGAGAAGCAGGACTCTGGCGATATTTATCAGAATAACGCTCCAAGTCTGTAAAAGCAAAGGGGTTAGGCTCCTGTTTATCCATTACTTACGATCATTCAAACCATTTGACTTCGACGTTTCGACCACATAGTAAGCAGATTGCCGTAAACGGGTAACGAAACCGGTTTGCAGATCACAGATTCGTTTCTCGTCTGTAGAGTAATCGGTGAGAACTGGCAGAGGATCCAATGGCTGTTCGAATAAAAATGAGATTGCACACTATGATGTTACAAGGATGATGCACCGCACTGGGTACAACGCGTCTCCTTCCCTGGACATAGCTTGTATGTCGGCAAATGTGAGACCCATAGGAGGCATGCTTCCTGCACCGAATCCACCACCACCGCCTCTAAAGCCACCCCTTCCACCGCCTCGACCACTACCGCGTCCTCTGGACATATTTTCGAAACCTTATTAGAAGGCGGTGATTTCCTTGATCAAAGATGTAAGTATAGCCACAGCATACATCATGCTGAGTTGAGAAAGTTTAAACTCCGAAGCGTTATATAACAAGGACTTGCTGTGTTAGGGTCCCCTTGCGTCGCCCCTTTGCCATCACCACCACCAACCCGTCTACTTTGTTGTTGACTCTCGAACAGCAGTAATCTCACCCGCTAATAATTCACGCGTTCTTTAAAAACTTGGAAATAATGGACAAATCACTTGACGAGGTTGGTGTTGAGTTGCAAAAAATTTCTGCCACGCGTATGCAAACCATGATATTTAGGTTATTTCTTCTCGCCCCAGAGGCACCCGTCGTGGTACTGGTCGTCGCGGAGGTGCAGGGGCCAAGGCCCAACTTCTCGGAACTGCTGGCGCCAACCCCGCCACCCGCGCGGCCACCGCCGGCGCTACCAAAGCCACAGGCACCACGTCTGCGCAACCCGCCGATAAAATCATTGTTTCCAACCTTCCAACGGATGTGAATGAAGTTCAAATTAGGGTGTGTTTAATTTTTGGTGACCTTGGTGATTTGTCTAAGCATGAATGTAGGAGCTCTTTCTCCACTACCGTCGGAGCCCTGCGCGACGTCACTTTGCACTATGATAGCGCTGGACGTTCAAAAGGTGTCGCAGCGGTTCACTTCCAACGGAAGGGCGACGGTACTTTGGCCTACCAGCAATATAACAACCGATTGATCGATGGGAGTTAGTATCGCCTACTTTATTATCTCCTTCCTTTATCTCCCGCAAGAGCTCTTCATCCGTTACGGAGATCCGTTGTCGCTGGTTCTCTGTTTGGCCCTGCCAAAAAGACGTGCATGCGTGGCAGAAACGCCTACATGCGGGTTCTCAAGACTCTTTTGGTGGCAGAGTCTTGTCCCCGCTGCCTCGACACCCTTGAGGTGCGTACCAGGTTGCAGATTGCTTTGAAGGCTTGTCACCCTTCGAGCTTGCAATCCTGGTGCCGTCGTAGTGCACGTCATTCCTCATGGCTCAGTCTCGGGATTGAGTTCCAGGCCGGTGCAAGTATTATGGAGTGACAGGCGGGGAAGTACTCCAGATCTTCATCCCTTGACCAATCAGGGCGGCCATTCGCGCGCAAGCCTCAGCTATTGCGGCATATTGGAGGAGGACAGAGTCGACAATGTTCTTGGTAACGGTTTGGACAGTGGCATGCTGCTCGTATCCGTCCCTTTTGCCTGCTTCCTCGCTGAAAGCACAGCCGACTAACGAATGTCTATCTCTTTTCCGAATCGTACTCGCACGTCACTACAGAACGCCCAATGAAGATTGAAATCGTGGTCGACCCCGCACGTCCTGCCCCGTCTGCTTCGCTCGTGTCACGCGTCGCTCCTGCCGCTTCTGCCCCTGCAGCTCCAGACGCTCGAAGTGCCAGGTGTGTATGGCAAAGTTGTTGGTTCCGTTATCTTACCAATTCATAGGCCCTGCCACGCGTGGCTCTCGCCGTGGAAGAGGCCGAGGAAGGAAGGGGAATGAAAGACCTCAGAAGAGTGTTGCTGACCTTGATGCAGAGATGGAGGTTTGTTCTTGAACCTCGTCTCTGGAACATCATGTTCATATAGATTTCTCAGGATTACACTGCGAGCAATATCGTTGCTCCTACTGCTGCTTAAAGTAGCCCGTACCGTGTGTATCTGCTAATGCTGACTGTTTGTTGTGTTCCCCTTTGATACCGTTCCGATTTATTCTTAGTAGTTGTCCTGTATTCTACACGCTTGCTTTCCTGGGACTCGAATTTCTATTGAGTTATGAGTCACTTCATGTTCGCCTGTTGAGATCTGAGATGTGGGACCTTGTGTTGTCCAAAATCGACTCGCATTGACTCTAGATCTGAGTGTTGGATTTAGTCAAGGCGTGTACTTGTTTTTGTAACTATTGTCTTTGTTACCTTGTGATTTCTGACTACGGGGTACTTGTTCATCAATATCGTGGCGAATAAGTGCAGTTACTATTCCTGGCCATTTCAATCTCCTTTGTCTTCTGATACTTGAAACCCCACCATAATCCACATTCTGACCATGAATATCCCTACAGAAGAGGAGAAGCCGTTGTATTCTCGGCGACCTGAGTGGGCCGATGTCGTTCCCTTAGAGCAGTACGAGAATGTCGCCCCTCTTGCGCCCATCTTTTATACGGATGAATGTTCGTGAGCAAACCGGCTTGTTTGCAGACCCTCACTCAACGCAACGATCGGATTGAATCTATTAGACAAAGATGCCACGAACTACTTCAGAGGGATCGTCAAGAGCGGTGAGATGAGTCCCAGGGTGTTGGAGCTCACGGAGAATATAATTCGGCAGAATCCTGGACACTACTCTGCGTGGTGAGTGTGACTTGCTCCATCACGCACGTGCAGCCGAACGTTTCCATGTTCGATTAGGCAGTACAGGTACAAAACACTTATGGCATTGAAGTCCCCCCTCGACGATGAGCTTCAGCTGATGGATGAGCTTGCGATCAAGCATCTGAAGACATACCAAGTCTGGCATCACCGCAAGCTGCTCGTGCAGCAGACTCGCAACCCCGGCCCGGAGCTCGAATTCATCGCTAACTCGCTGCAAGTCGATATGAAGAACTACCACACGTGGTCGTACAGACAGTGGATCCTCGCATACTTCAATGACGACGCGCTATGGAGCTATGAACTGGATTTCGTGGAGAGCATGCTTGAAAGCGACGTGAGGAACAACTCTGCATGGCATCACAGATTCTTCGTCGCCTTTCAGTCTGGGGTACGGAACGGGGATGAAGACAGAGACGCGATCGTTCGGCGGGAGCTTGCGTAAGTCCTGATTTGAGTAATATCTATTCCTAGAGCAATAACGAGATACATGACAGATTCGTAAAGGAGCGAATTGCGATTGCACCGAATAATGCATCTGCGTGGAATTACCTGCGCGGGGTGCTTGATCATGCTAAAATTCCTTATTCCGAGCTTCAAACATTCGTGCTGCCTTATTCTCTGCCCCAACCTCCTTTAGGTACACCCCCTGAAGTCGTTGATCTCGAGAGTCCTCTTCCTTCGAAGGATTCACAACTGCCCTGTGTCGCTGCTATTGAATTCATGGCTGATATTTACGAGGCAACAGGAGGTGGTGACTTGGTGAAGGCCACTGAGGTAGGATGCGTACCTTACGAACTTAACATATACCTGACCTATCGTAGCTTTGGAAATCCCTGGCAAACGAGCACGATACTATACGCAAAAGGTAGTCACTAATTGAGCACTCTGGAGTATATACCTCACTGATCTCTTTGTAGATACTGGGAATACAGGATCGCGGAATCCTTGAAGACCAAATCAGCTGGTGACGGCTGACGCATGCCCACCTTAGCACATTATCAGAATTTTATTCCTTTACGTCAATCAGGTAAACAGGGTATCACCAAATATTATGTGGTTTTCGTTGGCTTTGTATCTCTTCCACTAATCAGGAAAACCGAACCCTCCCATTTAAAGTATTTCAAGGAGCCTGTGCGAGATCTCCAAATAATGCTCTCAATAAATGCGCCTGGAATCAAAGCTGTTCGCTGAGCGCTAGTCTATATGTTCTAATTCAGGAGGTTGGTGCTTTCCTCTACCGTGTTCAAGAACCCCCGCCTCTCATCCCGCCGCAATTAATTCGTTACTGTATACCTTTTTTTGCATTGCCCGATCATCCTTTCGTACTGCCGGAGGCCGTGTCGGCAACAGACGGAGTTCATTTCGGTTGACAACTGTGAATTCGCTCTTCCTCCCCTGATAGACACCAAGACCACTGGATGGACTGAGGTGAGGACAATGTCATATTGAGCAAAAAAAATACTGGAGCTTACACTGCGTAACCTAAACAACTTATAACCGACTTAGAAGGCTTTTGATGTTCAAGTCTACAAACATGGTTCCACAGCTGCAGTATTTCTCACTCATGCGTTGTATTTTCAAATAACTATCCTGACGAGTGGAGATATTGCTCGCATTAGAATCGAAGAAAGATCTACATATCGTTAGGTACGTGTCAAGCAGACACTGGAAAGTATGCTTGGTGAAATGATATCTTACGGAGAAGACTGTTAGACAACGATGAGGGAGAACGAGACGAGAAATGTAGATACGTATATATGTCAAAAGACAGCGAAAATTGCAATCGTTTTCAGGCTGAAATCAACCAAGTATTATGCCATGAGCGACAGCATCAATACGAAGACAGAAATATCATAGACTTACTATAAGCACGTGCCAGCTCCTCGATTCGTTGCAAACAAGATTTATCACTGCAATCCTGTTACAAAACACAAAGAGTGAGTCACAAGGTTGAGTCCTGCATGCATGCAAAGCAAGCTCACAGTTTTCGATGCGCACACATCAGAACAATTCTGAGAGTTTTTATTGCAACACTTGCCAACGGCATGACACGTATCATTGAAAGTAGCTAGGGTTGTACTGATAAGTTGCTGTTACTGGCAATATGTACAGCTCGAGGATTCTCACCAGATATGAAAGATCTGATTGTACATTCGGACGACGGCCCATCCGACGACAAGATAGGTATCGGCAACATCCACGTTCGACAAAGTTGCGAGAACCCCGAGCCATGGACTTTAGCTTGCCAAAGAATGTAGAGAACTGTGACAGACTATAATGAAATACCACCGAGGTTTTGGACCTTTAAAACGGACAGCAATCTTGCATGATCGATATTATTCTTGTCGAGTGACTTCAGAATTGATTGCGCTACGTCGGGGTGAACGTCGTTTGTTGTAAGCGACCTCAGATGGATATCACATTCATGACTCTGACAATCTGTGCAATGTAGCTTGAGAATGGATGGAGTAAAAGAATGTAAACACTCACATGCCTGGTGAGTGTGTCGCTACAATGAGTAGCAGAAAGCGAAGTCCACAGAGACAGTCCCGTCGGCAGGGCGACTCCAGTAAGGTAGATCAACAGATCCAGAAGTAGATAGCAGTCGTGCAAAGTGGATGCAGTCCTCCCGACCCGAACCGCATACACTACAGGGCCACGAATAGATCTTAACATCGATAAAGGGAGCGAGGACTTCTGCTTGTATTTAATTTTAAGGCGTTGCCGTGCAGCGTCATACTGTCACGGTCTAAGTCGTTTGCGACGTGTAGATGTCCGTCCCGGAGGACCCCACTGGAATCATTTGCAAGTAACCGAAGTGATATATTGCAACATCTTCGAATTGCCGACCATAGCTTTCAACACATCGAATGTCTATGGCGGTGAGTGAGCACAGTGAGACGAATACTTTCTTCACTTACCTCTCGTACCCGTACTACGTACTGTGTAGGTCGTGCACGTCGAGAAACGCCAGTATGTGGCACACAAGCTCTGGTGGGAGCCGTAACAGTGTGATGGCCTCCAGTATCGTGCGGTCTGTCAGTCTTCAGAGTTTATCAGGAGTCACCAGTAAGTTAGCCATAGTCGACACTCAGACTCAACATCAAATGATGAGGCCTACTAGTAAATACTTAATAGTAGGAATTCGCTCGAAAATACAAACAGAAGCAAAACACAAGTCGGAAGCAAGTCGGGCCAGGTGCGGCCCTGCCGTGCCTGCCGCGGTCGTGACGCGCCTGTGACGCGGCTGACCGCGTCAAAATAGCTAGCGAGTCGCAGTTTACAGTTTTACAACCCATGAATATTGACACGGCCTTCCGCCTGATGCTATGTAACATGAGAGCAGGTTACAAAGTCGTTCCCATGTACGACTAATGGCACTGTACATCCTCTACCTTCACAGAAATAACGCTTATCCTGGCCCAATATCATGCGACTGCGAAGAGGATTCTCAATATTCTTGAAATCCACGCTTCCGCTGGTGTTCATAGGTTACACGGTATGCTATCTCTATGATCCGCATGGGAGCATCGGCCTCGTATTCCATCAACGAGCATGGATACAGCGCGAACTACTTCCATTGACCCCACTTGCAGGATGTTTTGAGCCCGAGCGTATCAGCCCATTGTACAACGTCAGTGATGCCGTGTATGGCGGGAAACGGTTTGAGGTTCAGGCGGGTGTACCAATGCGGATGGGTATGGACTGCTACGATTTAGCGGGAACAGTAAAATTTGCAGAAGGGGAACGGGAGGCAGAGGAACGATATATCCCACCAGAGGAGCGAGCACAGTTCCACACATATTGGCGCGTCGATCTTGCACCCTTCGGTGAGAGACAAGAGTACATGCTAAAGTCATTCTTCGCTTCGCAAGACCTTCCCCGCTCTCGTCTAATACTCTGGTCGAACGGTGATCTATCGCTCTATTCTGTGGTGCAAAAATATCTCGAACTGTTTCCCGGCTCATTCACACTTCGGATAGTGGATATATCTGAATTAGCCAAGGGCACGGCAATGGAGAACCATCGCTTACTCAATCTCGAGGACAAGAAAGCATGGGTGGACGGCGACCTCGTCCGCTTACTTGTCATCTGGGCATACGGCGGCGCTTGGATAGACATGGACATGCTCCTAACCCGAGACCTCTCTCCATTGCTTGAGCACGAATTCGTAACGCAATGGGACTGCTACGGTAATTCAATAATCAACCCTCTTTCGTCCACTAACTCATAAGATTCCTCAGACAAGATTTACCAACCGTTCAACGGTGCGCTCATGCACTTCCACAAGCACTCGCCTTACCTCTGCGAAGCCTTCCATCTCATGGCATACAGCACTCCCCCGCGCTCTCCAAGCACTGATTGGGGTTCAGTTCTTTATCATAGGCTATGGCGGCGCCTCCTCAACGAATCCATA